ATAAATAGCCAAATTAGATGGCCATTCATCAACAGTTTATTCAGTCAATTTCTCCCCTGATGGAAATACATTAGCTTCTGGTAGTGATGATAACTCTATCCGTCTTTGGAATGTAAAAACATCAAAAGAAACACTTCAATCAGATAGTAATTATAAAGATTTGCTTGCCCAGTTTAACATACCTCTTTAGAATAGCTCCTTATTGCCAAATGGTATTAATTATTAATTATTATTTAGTTAATCCTGATCGCACAATACTTAGAATATGCTAGAATCCTATTTTTGAAGCATCAGGAACACTTATCTTAAAAGGACAATTCGTGAATTATTAAGGGGTAGATTTAAAACCATTGTTTAAAACAAAAGGAAGTTGCTTTTTAGATGACTTAAAGCAAAAGTAAATTTGAATATTCATTAAAAACATTACAATTACAATTTTAATAATTTTGTTTTTTGTTTAATTTTTTGATCTTCATTTTTGAAGATAGATAATTACATGTTTTTCAAAAGTATTCCATTTCAAGCTAGTGATTACATCAATTAAGTTTAATATTATTAAATTTATATTATTTCTTGAGATTTCATTAACAACTGGTATATATTAATATGTTTAGGAATTTAATTTTATACCATCCTTCATTATAATCTAAACAGTAAACAGGTTTAGTCCTAATAATGATAACTAATAGTTTAGTATAATTTAGATTTTCAAGTTTATAATAAAGATAATGATACAACTAATAAACATTTCAAAAATTAAAAAATAACCTAAAATGATCTTAAATGATAACAAAGTTTAAGCATTGAGATTGAATGATTTTACAATTACTCTACTCTAATCTTGGTAATATTTTCGTAACGTGTTAATTATTATTTTCAATTAATATTAAAAGTATTAGAGAGAATAAAGGACTGAAAAGATATATTAATCATCAATAAATATTTCAACCATAATAGGATTTAGAGATCTTAATTATATCCATCCCTAACAATAATCTTAAATAAGTTCTATCTGAATTACATTCAAAAAGGAGCTACTTTCAATAATAATTTTGCATATAAGGAACAGTTATTAATCATTAAGATAAGAACTATGTAATTTTACCTCAAGCTGATTTTTTTTAGAAATTAATTATTATCTACACAACAATAATATCAGTCAACTAGTTCAATTTTATTAATTGTTTTATAAAATTACCCAAAATTGCATTTCATAAACATAATGGATAATGTTAAAAAATAACAAAATTGTTCTTCTCTCTAACCATGAGTTTAACCCTATTAAACGATAATTTTTTTAGAATTTAACTAAAATTATAGATTTTACATAAATGTATTATTTTCTCTTAAAAAGTTTTAATGCTATGTTATTGATAGATACTAGTTAGTATATTTTCATTATTCCAAAACATATATTTAATAATAAATCGAGACATATAACTCTATATAAAGAGAGGCAGTGCAGGATATATAAAATGAAAATATTTCTAAGCTAATGTTTATAAAGTAAATAATAATTATAAGAGTTTGATATGCACGCTAATGAAAAAGAATAAGCTTAAGTTGAATTATCAACGCGTTCATTGGCAGGTATATAATAAATGGTTCTAGCAATGAGAGAAGAAATATCTATTATAAGATTTGAATGCCTGTTTTACAGATAAAATATGGTTTGATATAATATCATCATTTATTTTATGCAAAAGGTAAGAAGTAATCATCAAATATAATTTTATGTTCTCTGTTAAAGATTTACAAGGATTAGCTTATTAAATTAATATGAGAGGATTGATTTATTAACAAGAGGGTTATATTTCTTTACCCCATATCAAAAGATTCTTGATAATATACCTAAATTTTAATCTTTTTATTGCTTCCCAATTAGCTCTTAGATAAAAATTTAATATTCAAGTCCCATTTATTTATAATCAATCTCCCTCCAGTCGACTTTCCTGAATTGATCTGCAAAGGTCCATTTTGGAAATTCGATTAGATGTTCTTACATTACCAATCTCAGATGTGTTCTTATTTAGTGATATTATCCTCATTACTATTATAGAAGTGTCTTTACTCTATTTTTTGCTTATGGTCTGAGATCATGGCCATCAATAACTTTCCAAAGTTTTATTTTAACTCAGCTGCTATGATATTAGGCTATTTCTTAAGTGTCACAATTCTTATACTCCTCCTTTATTTCAGTGTAATGTAGGTTCCCAATATGAATTTATTTATTACTTTTGAATTTTTGGTTTATATGCCATCATTTCTCCCTATTATTTACTCCATAATTCCAACTATGAGTTTCTTCCCATCTTTCTTTTTGCAAAAGCCTCTAGAATATGATTGGGATGACTTTTCATGGAATTACTCAATATATGACATTTTTTAGTGAGGTAAAGTCGCACTGTTCAATAAGTTAATTTGCATTATTCTTTTTAAATTCATGTATTCTATTTCCAAAGTAGCTCTTTTGGATATAAAATTAGAGATATTTAGGTTTATTCATCTTACATCCTTGGATAAACTCAACCCTTTGTGTAGGGCTTATCATATGCCAGTTTAACAAACCCCTTACTATTGTTAATTAGCTAATACGATACTTTTTGATAAAGTAATTTATACAATAATATTAATAATTATTTTTCAATGGGTTGTGCAAGCAGTCAAGCAATTTAATAAGAATAATATGCTTATGAACATAAGGATGATGTGTATAAGGTATTGGCTTCATCAAAACTTATTGATGAATAATTACTCAAGAGGATAATTACTGTTTTCAAAAAGGAGAAAATCACAAATTGTCTAGATTTTCTTTCAAAAGAATGTAAACTAAAAAAATAGGAATAATCTAACATTAAGTTTATAACCGATCTTATGAAAAATTTATCTGAGCTCGATTTTTGCAAAGAAAATATTTCTGCCGATGATTAGTAAAAACAGAGAGAGGATCTAATCACATAAATATCTGATGATAAAAAAATCATTGAATTTTTAAAATTTCTTGTTTTACTTACAGCTTTAGATGAGAAATTTATATAATGTGGATCCAATTCCCTCAAATTATTAATTGAAATGAGGATAGATTTGAAGTAACAAAACTTTGAAAATATCAACATTCAAAATACTTCATTGATTGGCGGAAATTTTGCGAGTTGTAATTTGAATGGATCTGTATTGAATAACGTCGACATAAGCGGCGTAAATTTAAATTGTGCTTAGATGTTTAATTGTTAATGGAAGAATCTTAAGATTAACGAATTAAAAATGTTAAACGGTCATCAAAGTGGAGTCCTATCTGTTTGCTTCTCTCCTGATGGTTCTATATTAGCTTCTGGTGGTTATGATTGCGATATTCGTTTATGGGATGTTAAGACAGGATAATAAAAAGCCATATTAGATGGTCATTCACATTGGGTTGATTCAGTCAATTTCTCTCCTGATGGTACTACATTAGCATCATGTAGTTGGGATAAGTCTATCCGTTTATGGGATGTTAGGACAGGATAATAAAAAGCCAAATTAGATGGTCATTCAGATTATGTAAGAACAATTTGTTACTCTCCTGATGGTACTACATTAGCATCTGGTAGCGATGATAAATCAATCTGTTTATGGGATACTAAGACAGGATTACAAAAGATCAAATTAGATGGTTTGAGTGATGAAATCTGCTCAATCTGCTTCTCTCCAGATGGACTTATATTAGCTGCTGGTACTGGAAGCATATTAAGTCATGATAATTCTATCATTTTATGGGACGCGAAGACAGGATAATAAAAAGTTAAGTTTTGTGGACATTAAAGCGCTGTCAAATCTATATGCTTTTCTCCTGATGGAACTATGATCGCATCTGGGAGTGCAGATAAGTCTATCATTTTGTGGGATATTTTGACCGGAATACAGTTAACAAAATTTAAGGGTATTGATGAAGTGGATACAATCTCTTTCTCTCCTGATGGAACATTATTAGCAACTGGAATGAATTCATACATTTATTTATGGGATGTTAGGACTGGACAATAAAAAGCTATTTTTTCTGGTCATTCTTATTGTGTATCTTCTGTCTGCTTCTCTCCTGATGACACTATTTTAGCATCTGGGAGTGTAGATAATTCTATCCGTTTATGGGATTTTAGGGCTGGATAATCGGAGGCTAAATTTGATGGTCATAGTAAGGCTGTAAACACAGTTTGCTTCTCACCTGAAGGTACACTATTAGCATCAGGTAGTGATGATAAATCAATCCGTTTATGGGATGTTAAGACAGGACAATAAAAGGCCAAGTTAAATGGTCATAATAGCTGGGTCTTGTAAGTGTGCTTCTCTCCTGATGGTACCATTTTAGCATCTGCCAGTCATGATTAATCAATCCTTTTATGGGATGTTAAGACAGGATAAAAGAATGCTTAATTAATTGGACATAATGCTTAAGTCAACACGGTATGTTTTTCACCTGATGGTACAACATTAGCATCTGGTAGTGGATATGAATGTGTAAAAAGTGATGAATACTCTATCCGTTTATGGGATGTTGAGACAAAACGATAAAAGGCTTAGTTATTTGGTCATGATAGTACTATCTTGTAAGTATGCTTCTCTCCTGATGGTGCACTATNATAAAATTAGAGATATTTAGGTTTATTCATCTTACATCCTTGGATAAACTCAACCCTTTGTGTAGGGCTTATCATATGCCAGTTTAACAAACCCCTTACTATTGTTAATTAGCTAATACGATACTTTTTGATAAAGTAATTTATACAATAATATTAATAATTATTTTTCAATGGGTTGTGCAAGCAGTCAAGCAATTTAATAAGAATAATATGCTTATGAACATAAGGATGATGTGTATAAGGTATTGGCTTCATCAAAACTTATTGATGAATAATTACTCAAGAGGATAATTACTGTTTTCAAAAAGGAGAAAATCACAAATTGTCTAGATTTTCTTTCAAAAGAATGTAAACTAAAAAAATAGGAATAATCTAACATTAAGTTTATAACCGATCTTATGAAAAATTTATCTGAGCTCGATTTTTGCAAAGAAAATATTTCTGCCGATGATTAGTAAAAACAGAGAGAGGATCTAATCACATAAATATCTGATGATAAAAAAATCATTGAATTTTTAAAATTTCTTGTTTTACTTACAGCTTTAGATGAGAAATTTATATAATGTGGATCCAATTCCCTCAAATTATTAATTGAAATGAGGATAGATTTGAAGTAACAAAACTTTGAAAATATCAACATTCAAAATACTTCATTGATTGGCGGAAATTTTGCGAGTTGTAATTTGAATGGATCTGTATTGAATAACGTCGACATAAGCGGCGTAAATTTAAATTGTGCTTAGATGTTTAATTGTTAATGGAAGAATCTTAAGATTAACGAATTAAAAATGTTAAACGGTCATCAAAGTGGAGTCCTATCTGTTTGCTTCTCTCCTGATGGTTCTATATTAGCTTCTGGTGGTTATGATTGCGATATTCGTTTATGGGATGTTAAGACAGGATAATAAAAAGCCATATTAGATGGTCATTCACATTGGGTTGATTCAGTCAATTTCTCTCCTGATGGTACTACATTAGCATCATGTAGTTGGGATAAGTCTATCCGTTTATGGGATGTTAGGACAGGATAATAAAAAGCCAAATTAGATGGTCATTCAGATTATGTAAGAACAATTTGTTACTCTCCTGATGGTACTACATTAGCATCTGGTAGCGATGATAAATCAATCTGTTTATGGGATACTAAGACAGGATTACAAAAGATCAAATTAGATGGTTTGAGTGATGAAATCTGCTCAATCTGCTTCTCTCCAGATGGACTTATATTAGCTGCTGGTACTGGAAGCATATTAAGTCATGATAATTCTATCATTTTATGGGACGCGAAGACAGGATAATAAAAAGTTAAGTTTTGTGGACATTAAAGCGCTGTCAAATCTATATGCTTTTCTCCTGATGGAACTATGATCGCATCTGGGAGTGCAGATAAGTCTATCATTTTGTGGGATATTTTGACCGGAATACAGTTAACAAAATTTAAGGGTATTGATGAAGTGGATACAATCTCTTTCTCTCCTGATGGAACATTATTAGCAACTGGAATGAATTCATACATTTATTTATGGGATGTTAGGACTGGACAATAAAAAGCTATTTTTTCTGGTCATTCTTATTGTGTATCTTCTGTCTGCTTCTCTCCTGATGACACTATTTTAGCATCTGGGAGTGTAGATAATTCTATCCGTTTATGGGATTTTAGGGCTGGATAATCGGAGGCTAAATTTGATGGTCATAGTAAGGCTGTAAACACAGTTTGCTTCTCACCTGAAGGTACACTATTAGCATCAGGTAGTGATGATAAATCAATCCGTTTATGGGATGTTAAGACAGGACAATAAAAGGCCAAGTTAAATGGTCATAATAGCTGGGTCTTGTAAGTGTGCTTCTCTCCTGATGGTACCATTTTAGCATCTGCCAGTCATGATTAATCAATCCTTTTATGGGATGTTAAGACAGGATAAAAGAATGCTTAATTAATTGGACATAATGCTTAAGTCAACACGGTATGTTTTTCACCTGATGGTACAACATTAGCATCTGGTAGTGGATATGAATGTGTAAAAAGTGATGAATACTCTATCCGTTTATGGGATGTTGAGACAAAACGATAAAAGGCTTAGTTATTTGGTCATGATAGTACTATCTTGTAAGTATGCTTCTCTCCTGATGGTGCACTATTAGCATCTGGTAGTCATGATGAATCAATCCGTATATGGGATATTTAGACGGGAAAATAAAAGATCAAGCTAGATGGTCATACAGATTGGGTCTACTCAATATGTTTCTCTCCTGATAGTACTACTTTAGCATCTTGTAGTTCTGATCAATCTATCTTTTTATGGGATATTGTGACAGGACAATAAAAGGTTTAGTTATTTGGTCATTCACAAAAAATTTTATCAGTCAACTTCTCTCCTGACGGAAATACAGTTGCATCTGCTTGTTATGATAGGTCTTATGGAATGTTAAGACTGGAAAATAAAAGGCCCAGTTAGATGGCCATCTCGGAGAGGTTAATTCAATTTGCTTCTCTCCCGACGGTACTACTTTAGCGTCTTGCAGTGCAGATCACTCTATCCGTTTATGGGATGTTAAGACAGAACTATAGAGGGCCAAATAAGAGCTCCAACCAGTATTAGAAGGTAGTGCTACTTATAATATTACAACACTTGTTATCTCTTCAAATCAAATTTTAGAAGCATAAGGCTCTTTAATTCTGAAAGGAGAATTTGTCAACTATTAAGGAGTAGATTTACTACCATTATTCAAATCTAAAGGAAGTTGTATTTTGGAATGTTAATGAATAGAAATGAAGCTAATAGTTGATTATTATAAACAATAAAATAAGCACCTATTTTCATTCGCTTTTTCTCCCATAGAAAATTTAAGAACAATTTTTCTTTTTATTATTTGGATTTCCAAAATTANTTATCTGAGCTCGATTTTTGCAAAGAAAATATTTCTGCCGATGATTAGTAAAAACAGAGAGAGGATCTAATCACATAAATATCTGATGATAAAAAAATCATTGAATTTTTAAAATTTCTTGTTTTACTTACAGCTTTAGATGAGAAATTTATATAATGTGGATCCAATTCCCTCAAATTATTAATTGAAATGAGGATAGATTTGAAGTAACAAAACTTTGAAAATATCAACATTCAAAATACTTCATTGATTGGCGGAAATTTTGCGAGTTGTAATTTGAATGGATCTGTATTGAATAACGTCGACATAAGCGGCGTAAATTTAAATTGTGCTTAGATGTTTAATTGTTAATGGAAGAATCTTAAGATTAACGAATTAAAAATGTTAAACGGTCATCAAAGTGGAGTCCTATCTGTTTGCTTCTCTCCTGATGGTTCTATATTAGCTTCTGGTGGTTATGATTGCGATATTCGTTTATGGGATGTTAAGACAGGATAATAAAAAGCCATATTAGATGGTCATTCACATTGGGTTGATTCAGTCAATTTCTCTCCTGATGGTACTACATTAGCATCATGTAGTTGGGATAAGTCTATCCGTTTATGGGATGTTAGGACAGGATAATAAAAAGCCAAATTAGATGGTCATTCAGATTATGTAAGAACAATTTGTTACTCTCCTGATGGTACTACATTAGCATCTGGTAGCGATGATAAATCAATCTGTTTATGGGATACTAAGACAGGATTACAAAAGATCAAATTAGATGGTTTGAGTGATGAAATCTGCTCAATCTGCTTCTCTCCAGATGGACTTATATTAGCTGCTGGTACTGGAAGCATATTAAGTCATGATAATTCTATCATTTTATGGGACGCGAAGACAGGATAATAAAAAGTTAAGTTTTGTGGACATTAAAGCGCTGTCAAATCTATATGCTTTTCTCCTGATGGAACTATGATCGCATCTGGGAGTGCAGATAAGTCTATCATTTTGTGGGATATTTTGACCGGAATACAGTTAACAAAATTTAAGGGTATTGATGAAGTGGATACAATCTCTTTCTCTCCTGATGGAACATTATTAGCAACTGGAATGAATTCATACATTTATTTATGGGATGTTAGGACTGGACAATAAAAAGCTATTTTTTCTGGTCATTCTTATTGTGTATCTTCTGTCTGCTTCTCTCCTGATGACACTATTTTAGCATCTGGGAGTGTAGATAATTCTATCCGTTTATGGGATTTTAGGGCTGGATAATCGGAGGCTAAATTTGATGGTCATAGTAAGGCTGTAAACACAGTTTGCTTCTCACCTGAAGGTACACTATTAGCATCAGGTAGTGATGATAAATCAATCCGTTTATGGGATGTTAAGACAGGACAATAAAAGGCCAAGTTAAATGGTCATAATAGCTGGGTCTTGTAAGTGTGCTTCTCTCCTGATGGTACCATTTTAGCATCTGCCAGTCATGATTAATCAATCCTTTTATGGGATGTTAAGACAGGATAAAAGAATGCTTAATTAATTGGACATAATGCTTAAGTCAACACGGTATGTTTTTCACCTGATGGTACAACATTAGCATCTGGTAGTGGATATGAATGTGTAAAAAGTGATGAATACTCTATCCGTTTATGGGATGTTGAGACAAAACGATAAAAGGCTTAGTTATTTGGTCATGATAGTACTATCTTGTAAGTATGCTTCTCTCCTGATGGTGCACTATTAGCATCTGGTAGTCATGATGAATCAATCCGTATATGGGATATTTAGACGGGAAAATAAAAGATCAAGCTAGATGGTCATACAGATTGGGTCTACTCAATATGTTTCTCTCCTGATAGTACTACTTTAGCATCTTGTAGTTCTGATCAATCTATCTTTTTATGGGATATTGTGACAGGACAATAAAAGGTTTAGTTATTTGGTCATTCACAAAAAATTTTATCAGTCAACTTCTCTCCTGACGGAAATACAGTTGCATCTGCTTGTTATGATAGGTCTTATGGAATGTTAAGACTGGAAAATAAAAGGCCCAGTTAGATGGCCATCTCGGAGAGGTTAATTCAATTTGCTTCTCTCCCGACGGTACTACTTTAGCGTCTTGCAGTGCAGATCACTCTATCCGTTTATGGGATGTTAAGACAGAACTATAGAGGGCCAAATAAGAGCTCCAACCAGTATTAGAAGGTAGTGCTACTTATAATATTACAACACTTGTTATCTCTTCAAATCAAATTTTAGAAGCATAAGGCTCTTTAATTCTGAAAGGAGAATTTGTCAACTATTAAGGAGTAGATTTACTACCATTATTCAAATCTAAAGGAAGTTGTATTTTGGAATGTTAATGAATAGAAATGAAGCTAATAGTTGATTATTATAAACAATAAAATAAGCACCTATTTTCATTCGCTTTTTCTCCCATAGAAAATTTAAGAACAATTTTTCTTTTTATTATTTGGATTTCCAAAATTAAAGTCATTTTTTTCATTTTTCTGTATTTTAAATATCTTACTCAAAATTGTGATTATTATATTAAGATATTATATTATATAATACAATAAGTAATACAATCTTTTCAAAATATTATCTTTTTTTTCAAAAAATGCACCAATTTCAGTGTTCAAAATTTATTTCAATTGAAATAATAATCTTTATCTCGACAAACTCAAATTTAATCTAGTGTGTTCACTACTTGCTTATTCAGATATATTCTCAATAATATTACAATGATAATAAATTCCAGAGTTTACTTTTTCTTGAAATTTCTTAATAATGGTAAAATATTGTGATTTGAAAGATGTGTTTAATTAAAGTGAAATATCTTTTGAAAGAAATTTCGGAAATTATAGGGAAAAATATTGTTAGATTGAGAGTTTCTCTCCATAAAAACAGTTCAAGACAATAATTTAAACTTATTGATTAATTAATACATGATGTTGATAAAGAGATGTATTGAGTAAATTTTTCAAAGCAATCTCCTATGTAAAATATGATTTTGATTTTTTTATCCAAGGCGTTTGATTTTTAAAAATTTCAGTTCTATTAGTAAAAAATTATGTTTTTTCGCTATTTTGATTTTGTGAAACAATAATGAAATTCCTTATTTAATTTCAATATGACATTTATTTATCAAAGTTTTTAATAATCTTGTCATCATTCAATAGAGATTATGAAACTTCTGCAGTAGTCATAATTTTCATTTACTAATTAAGCCTCTTTCCAACAATGTATGATTCAGATAAATAACATTTAAGTTAGATTTTTTAAATTATAGTTAACATAATTTTCTAAATTCGAATTGTATAAAAACATACATATTTTAAATATTAATAATTCATGGTTTAATAATCTCATCATACCCCACTTTACAATATTAAACGTTTTTAAATCCATTAGCTATCAACAAAGTACATGCAATTTTTGCTCTTTATCCTGTTCCACAATAAATATTAATTTATTAATTTCTATTTAGTCTTTCCATATTACTCAACAGTTCGTTAAGAGGAAAAAGTTTAGCATTGTCTAATTTACCCTTTCTCCACTCTTCAAAAGATCTAACATCAATAATTTATTCTGAACCCTATTTGGAGATATTCATTAAAGCCTGTTTTTCTAATTCAGTTGGTTTGGTTATGAATTCTCCAGCCTATTACCATTCTTCAAAATACATGTATCCTAGTATATTATCATAACCTATTCTTGATAATCTCATAATAGTTTGTTCCTCTGTTCCTTTTTCACACACTATAATAACTTCTTTATTATGAGGCAATAGGGTTCCAACCCAATGAGCAAAAGGAATTTGCAATGGAACATTGATAGATCCAGGAATAAATCCTTCAGCAATTGAATTTCTAGAATCAATAATTTAAGCTGTCTTTGTTAATTTTGCATCTTGTGGTGATAATTTTTTATTTGACTTCTTTAGAATCTCATTTAAATCTGAAGTAATAGTATTCTTATTCAACCCAGCGTTATAAAAGAAATATTGAGGAGGTTTAGGTAAATCCCTCACTACTTCCGTAACAAATGTCTCGTAATCCATAGGCNTATATAATACAATAAGTAATACAATCTTTTCAAAATATTATCTTTTTTTTCAAAAAATGCACCAATTTCAGTGTTCAAAATTTATTTCAATTGAAATAATAATCTTTATCTCGACAAACTCAAATTTAATCTAGTGTGTTCACTACTTGCTTATTCAGATATATTCTCAATAATATTACAATGATAATAAATTCCAGAGTTTACTTTTTCTTGAAATTTCTTAATAATGGTAAAATATTGTGATTTGAAAGATGTGTTTAATTAAAGTGAAATATCTTTTGAAAGAAATTTCGGAAATTATAGGGAAAAATATTGTTAGATTGAGAGTTTCTCTCCATAAAAACAGTTCAAGACAATAATTTAAACTTATTGATTAATTAATACATGATGTTGATAAAGAGATGTATTGAGTAAATTTTTCAAAGCAATCTCCTATGTAAAATATGATTTTGATTTTTTTATCCAAGGCGTTTGATTTTTAAAAATTTCAGTTCTATTAGTAAAAAATTATGTTTTTTCGCTATTTTGATTTTGTGAAACAATAATGAAATTCCTTATTTAATTTCAATATGACATTTATTTATCAAAGTTTTTAATAATCTTGTCATCATTCAATAGAGATTATGAAACTTCTGCAGTAGTCATAATTTTCATTTACTAATTAAGCCTCTTTCCAACAATGTATGATTCAGATAAATAACATTTAAGTTAGATTTTTTAAATTATAGTTAACATAATTTTCTAAATTCGAATTGTATAAAAACATACATATTTTAAATATTAATAATTCATGGTTTAATAATCTCATCATACCCCACTTTACAATATTAAACGTTTTTAAATCCATTAGCTATCAACAAAGTACATGCAATTTTTGCTCTTTATCCTGTTCCACAATAAATATTAATTTATTAATTTCTATTTAGTCTTTCCATATTACTCAACAGTTCGTTAAGAGGAAAAAGTTTAGCATTGTCTAATTTACCCTTTCTCCACTCTTCAAAAGATCTAACATCAATAATTTATTCTGAACCCTATTTGGAGATATTCATTAAAGCCTGTTTTTCTAATTCAGTTGGTTTGGTTATGAATTCTCCAGCCTATTACCATTCTTCAAAATACATGTATCCTAGTATATTATCATAACCTATTCTTGATAATCTCATAATAGTTTGTTCCTCTGTTCCTTTTTCACACACTATAATAACTTCTTTATTATGAGGCAATAGGGTTCCAACCCAATGAGCAAAAGGAATTTGCAATGGAACATTGATAGATCCAGGAATAAATCCTTCAGCAATTGAATTTCTAGAATCAATAATTTAAGCTGTCTTTGTTAATTTTGCATCTTGTGGTGATAATTTTTTATTTGACTTCTTTAGAATCTCATTTAAATCTGAAGTAATAGTATTCTTATTCAACCCAGCGTTATAAAAGAAATATTGAGGAGGTTTAGGTAAATCCCTCACTACTTCCGTAACAAATGTCTCGTAATCCATAGGCTAAAGTGCATAATTATTCTTCTTTTAAATCCCCATTGTGCAGCAATAACCTGATGAAATATTCTTTCCACAGGCTGAACCTTAACCATGTCCAGGATATACAATTACATCATCTGGCAATGGCATTAGTTTCTCTCTTAAAGATTTGAATAACATAATCGCCAAATCATATTGACTCAAATCAGTCTTTACTGCCAAATCAGGTCTTCCTACTTCCCCCAAGAATAAAGTGTCTCCAGTGAATAAGCTATATTTTTATCAAATATTGATACCTATGTTTTTTACCAGTTCTATCATGCAACAAAAAGCATGTGGACTCTTATGTATGACCTGGTGTATGAAGGGCCTGAATCTTTATTTATCCAAAATTTAGCATTTCTCCATCTTTTAATATTTTATTTATGAAAGGAGCTTCTGCATTAGGTCCCATTATCACTTAGGCTCCAGTTTAATTTTTTAGACTCACATGACCAGCTACAAAATCAGCATGGAAGTGAGTTAATAGAACATATTTAATTGTTGCTCCCCTCTCTTTTGCAAGGTCTCTATTAATATAATATATTAAATTACATATAGGGTTGAATATCTCTTAAGGGATCTATGATTATGGCTTCCTTATTTGATTCTATATAATAAGCGTATTCTGCTAAACACCCTGTAAAGAGCTATTGAGCATAGAATCCCTCTCCAATTGTTTCACTTGACTTTAATTAAACAGACTTGGTGTATTAGAAGTACTATTAGGAAAATAACCTCATTCCTCTGCAAACCTGAACAATTTTTATCATTTTTTTATTATTCAGATTGACTATTATGAAATCCACATTTAAACCCAATTAAAATAAGATATTAATCCTTTAATATATATTTAATTCTAAAATTGTCATTTTTAAATAAAATTTGATAAAAATAAAAACCATTTGTAATTTGATAACTTTGTATTATTTAATAAATAATGATATAAATATTTTTACGATGACGCATCATGGTTTTGAGCTTATTTCCCCAAATTAATTGTACTTTAATTCTTAGAATATTATCAAATCGCATACCGACCCACCAAAGCAATAAATATCACATACATAATAAAAATTATGTGTTCATAGCAATAATTTGATATATTTAATTTTATAAAATTAACAGCAAACATGAATAGAACACCAAGTTTTCGATAAGCAGCTAATAAAGAAAATTTATTTATTTAAATTGCTAACAAAAAATCACAAAGCATTGGCTCAAAAGTAATAAAAAGCGAAACCTCTAAATATGCTGATGAACATTATGAAGACTTAATTAAAAAAATTTATTAACTAGATTAAGAAAATAATAAACTTAGAGAATTGTTAAAAAAGTCTAATTATTTGCAATTTAAATTTGTGGATTTGTCTAAAAGCGACATTTATCTCCATTCCTTCACTGATATTAAAAATAGGAGTTTAGATGTATTATTATATTAATAATTAGTTAAGCTTAGACGAATTAAAAGGGATTAATCAAGGAAGGAGCAATGAAATGCTATCATAGAAAAAATCCTCTACTCCAAGGTAAAGCTTAACAGCAAAATAAATTTAAATATAAAAGCAAAGAAATAATTTAATTAACTCCTACACTTAAGATTTAATTTAGGAGTAAACTACATTTGATTATTTAATTCCTGATGAAGTTTAGGAGTAAGAGAATTGCTTTTAAGAATTTTATAAAGCTTTACTTATCAATGTAGTTAATAAAGACATGAGAATATTTAAACACATTGATTAAGTAGTTGAGCAAGAGTTGAAATAAAATTTTTAAGCGAATTGTTAAAATTATGATAAGCAAAAGACCCTTTTAAGCAATTTACTTTAATTATTGAGTAATATGCAAAATTATTGTTGTGGAGAGCATCCAGATAATTAATTTATAATGAGAGCTTATAAGTAGATGCAGGAAATAATAGGATCTATTTTCAGAATGTTTGAAAAAATGAAGCTTCATATTTTACCTTTAAATCATATATAATTAAATTTTCAAGAGAGAATCAGTGAAATTGATAAGCTTTAAGAATAAACTGAATATGCTTAATAATAATTAAGAAAAGCATCAATAATAATTGAGCATCTAAGCAAAGAGAATTAATAATTAACAATACAAAACAAGGAGTATTAAGACTTTTTTACTTAAATCAGTTATAAATTATAGATAAATGAAGATAAATCTTAGTTAAAATAGAGTTTGGATTCCTTAATGAATAAATGTATAGAAGGAATTATAAAACTACAAAATTTCGAATTTTAGAAATGTCAAAAAATAGAAAAAATTAGTCCAGTTCAAAATGATTAAACTGATCTTTAATAAAAACTGAAGATAATTTAAGATAAATATGAGAAATTGAAACAAAAGAATAACAAGAATAAGGAAAAATTTAAGTTTTGTTTAAATAAAATATATGATTGCTTTGAATAAAATGTTAAGCAAGATTACTTTTAACAATTAACAATTGAAGAATAAGTTTAATTTTTGTGCTAAACTATATGCCAAATAAAAACTTTATGATAATAAGATATTACAATTTAATATTATTAAGAAATATATATATCATTAAATTAATCAATTATGATTTGTTCAGTCTACTTAGTCAACAGTAGGATTATGTTGAAAATCATTTCCTCTATTCATGTTAGGCATTTATGGTCCTGCTCCAGCAGCTGCTCCTGTTTAAGCATAGATTCTTTACATAATTGGATGGAACTTTGATTCAATCTCCTTCAACTTTTCTTTGTATACATCAGCTTCTTCATTTTAATGAGAATCAATCCACTTTTAAGTTGATTCAATTAAATCTGTTAATTATCTTTTTTCATCAACTGTGAATTTATCCTTGAATTGCTCCTCATTCATTGTATTTTTTACATGGTAAGTTGTTGATTCTAACGAATTTTTTGCTTCAATTCTTTATCTAATCTTTTCATCATCTGCTTTAAACCTTTCAGCTTCACTGACTAGTCTATCAATATCTTATTTCGACAATCTTCCTTTATCATTTGTTATAGTAATTTTATTCTACTTCTTTGTTGCCTTGTCCTCAGCAGATATGTTCATAATACCATTTTCATCTATATCGAAAGTGACTTCAATTTAAGGTACTCCTCTTGGAGCAGGAGCAATTCCATCTAACTAGAATTATCCTAATTTATGGCAATCTTTTGTCATTTATCTCTCTCCTTCATAAACTTGAATCAGAACTCCTTGTTGATTGTCTGCATAGGTTGTACAAATCTAGCTCTTCTTTGTTGGAATAGTAGTATTTCTTGGTATTAATACACTCATAACACCACCAGCAGTTTCAATTCCCAAAGATAGAGGGGTAACATCCAACAATACTATATTTTCACATTTTTATGATCCAGTTCCTGTTAGTATAGCTGCTTAGACTGCTGCCCCATAAGCCACTGCTTCATCAGGATTTATTGATTTATTAAGTTCCTTTCCATTAAAGAAATCTTTTAATAGTTCCTAGACTTTAGGAATTCTGGTAGAGCCACCAACTAAAACAACTTCATGTATTTAACTTTTGGACATTCCACTATCTTTAAGGACCTGCTCCACTGGAGGAATGCATTTCTTAAATTGATCCAAACATAATTCTTCAAATTTTGCCCTTGTGATTGAACAATTAAAGTCTTCATTATCAGCTAAAGCATCAATTTCTATAGATGTTTGGTTAGCGGATGATAGAATTCTTTTAGCTCTTTCACATTAAGTTCTTAATCTTCTTAAAGCCCTTGCGTTTTATCTCAAATCAATTCCTTTTTTCTTTTAAAACTCTAGACAACAGTATTCTACCAATCTATTATCAAAGTCTTCTCCACCCAAATGTGTGTCACCGGAAGTAGCCTTGACTTCAAATATTCCATCATCTATTGTTAACAGGCTAACATCAAAGGTACCTCCTCCAAGATCAAAAATTAAAACATTTTTTTCTCCTTTTTATTTTGAGTCTAATCCATAAGCGATAGATGCAGCTGTTGGTTCATTTATGATTCTTAAAACCTTTAAACCAGAAATTTAGCCAGCATCTTTTGTAGCTTATCTTTATGAATCATTAAAATAGGCTGGAACAGTAATGACAGCATTTTTAACTTATTTTCCAAGATAGGCTTCAGCAATCTCTTTCATCTTTGTTAAAACCATAGAAGAGATCTCTTCTGGATGGAATTTTTTTGTTTCTCCTTTGAACTTAACTACAATCAATGGCTTATCATCAGAGCCAGCTTCTACTTTAAATGGCCACAATTTTATATCCTTTTAAACAGTTGGATCGTTGAATTTTCTTCCAATAAGTCGTTTAGCATCAAATACTGTATTTTATGGGTTTCTAGCAACTTAGTTCTTTGCAGCATCTCCAATAAGTCTTTCGTTATCAGAAAAGGCAACATAGGAGGGAGTGGTTCTGTTTCCTTGGTCATTTGCTATGATTTCAACTTTATCGTTAATAAAAACACCTACACATGAGTAAGTAGTTCCTAAATCAATTCCAATTGCTGTATCATTTGATTTTGACATTGTTTTATAAGACTGTATTTTGTTTGGTAAATTAAATGACTACTCATGTTCTTCAACAAGTTTTAAATCAAAAGATAGAAGAATCTAGAAATTTATAATTCTCTAGAAATTTCTGGAAAAATAATATTTCTGGTGATTTCTTTTTCAATTATAATTAATTTGTTAACTAAAACTAATAAACATAATCTATTCTATTTATTAACTTAGAGTAAATTATAGTTAGTTTATTGGTTTAGATGATAGGAGAATGTTATGTTTAGATCATTCATTGACAGGGTATATATTACATGTTAAATTATAAATGTCTTTACTTTTCTCATTATTTCCTCATGTATTCCTAAATTCTCCATTTGAGATTGAATTGAGATTAGACAATTTTGCAATTATGATACTCAAACTTAAAAATAGGATCTCATTTTTTATCATCAAAATTTACAAGTTAAATGAATCTACCATAGAAGAAAACTTTGAATCAAATCAGCTTTGTTTATTTTTGAACAAGCTATTTGAAAAAATATAATATCTGAAAAGTTTATATAATATTTATATAAAATAGATAGTTACTATGCAAATTGGAAAATTTAAATTAGATCATTTAGTTGAAAAAAATAATGAATGCATAATTTATAGGGGTAGTAATTAAGAGGATAAATTCATCATAATATAATTGAATCGTGTAATTTGTCAAATAATATATTAGTAACCATTATTGAAGGTTGAATTGTTTAACAAACATTTCCAAGAAGAACTTAAATTGCTATTCAAATACTGTTAGAAGCCATAAATAATTCCTACAGATTTTCCATTTCAAATACCTGAATCTGAAACTCTAGATTCAGAGTTAATTGAATTTCCTTAAATAATTGAAATACATCAGACAGAAACCCATTATTATTTCATCTTAGCCAATTGTCTGCAGGGTTAAATATTAACTTAGGAAGTTGATCATCCAAAGTATATCAGTACTGATATTATATTATAGAACATTTTTACAGATTTACACACTTTATGATTATTATTATTAAGAATACTTAGAAGGAAGAATAAAAGATCGAGATTTTGCTTTAATGAGAATATTCAGGAGCCAAGATAAATTGACATTGATAGATTTTGGTTTTGCATGTTTGTAAAAATAATTACCCAAAAAGCCTTGGTAAGTGAAGTTAGGTGAACTCTTTAACAGTTTGACGTAATTCAAAGCAAAATTAAAAGGAAAAAATTTAATAAATACTCTGTTGGCAGGAAAGATAAAATGGGAAGAAATTAGAGATTTTATCAGCATCTCCTTTGGATTGAATGAAATCGATTAAACTCTCTAAGAAAATTAGAGTGATAGAAATAGTAAAATAACAAGATAAAATTCAATTCACACAAAACAATAGACATAAACATTGAGTATGTTCCCATAAGAAATTATTACCTTGAATTAAAATTCATCTAGAAAAGCCTCTCCATATAACCATAGCCAAAAACAATAATCAAGAAATTCCACCATGATGTAAACTAGAATTATATCTTATGGCAATTAATAGAAAGAGCACTTTTAGAAAATAAGATAATCATTGAGTCCAGGATTTAGTGCAACAAATAGATATCCTTGTAGAATATTTTAAATTGAACAGGCTATATAAGAGACAAGTCCATAAGCAAGATCGGTTTCAAGGAAGGCTTAACATTTGAGCAACAATCAAAAGCAACCTATAACCAAACCTTTAGAAAACTAATATGAATATAGGAACAGATCAACTCCAAGAGAATAAATTCAATATGAATAAAATCAAATACAACAGTTAATGGGAGATCAATATTTACCAATACAAGAATAATAGAAATAAATTTAAAGAAAATTAATTTCCATTACAACAAATTAGTCTTAATATGAAGCATCTTCATATGCACCCACTTTGATTCAAAGAGGACAATCTTTAAATGAGAAATAAGATGGGTAATTCTAATAAAACAATCATGAACTTAGACCTAAATCAAGTAGAACTTAAGATTAAAAATAAGAACTCAAAACACTCCTTAGAACTTCTACGAGAGAACTGTAACAACCTGCTTAAATAAATAAAAAATCTACTTAAGAATATCCAGTCAACCGAACAATAAATTATTCAGATACACAATCATTATTTGATAACTTAGAAATTAAATAAGTCAGAAAACCACAATCAAGAAGGAATTCAATAAGAAAAAGTAGCACTAATAGTATCGAAAATATAGAGTTATCAAACGGGAGTACAGCAAATTAATAGAGATTAATAATTAACAATAATTTATAGAATAATCGGTAGATGTTCAAAACCCCTAGAGATCAAAGATAAATGCAGTATTCTTTTCAAAATTCTCCTATCGAGAACCCACATATCAAAAAGCAAAATCCAATAATGGCATAATAATAATATTAGTAATACCAGGATGATGTTTAGAATTTTTAATAAAAATCAAAAAAAAACAGTGCAGAAGAAGATAATTATGAGGTTTGTAGTTATCAGCCCTCTTTTGAATAACATTAAAATAAATCCAAAAATTAGGAAAATGTTGTATTAATCAAGAATAATAAATAAAAAGAAATTGAAATTGAAAAATATATTGATAATGTTGAGCAAATCTAGTAAAATAAACAATATCAATTCCAAATGTCAGAGAAAAATGAAATTCCTTCTTTTTGCTAAGAAAAATAGAAATCAAATAATCAAGAAATCATCTCCCAGTAACAGAGAACACAGAATGAAGTTTAAATCATAAAGTCCCCAAATTAGGATTAACGTATTACAGTTGAATCTGTGGATGAATATTATAAATAACCAATAATAAAGAAATAAAACTCATTTAAGTTGCCTCCAACCCCAAAAGCTGATAAAGCAACAAAGGAGTAATTTAAAATTGAATTATAACAAAATAATTACTTATAAGATAACCAATAAAAGGAAAAAAGTATCCAATAAAATGAAAATGTGCAAAAATTATAAAAAATTGAAGACACTCCGAAATCGAATTTAAGATCAAATCTAAATGATATCGAAGTTGCTCAATTGAACATTTAAGAAGTAAAGGTAAAATTAGATGAAAATGAAGCCAGACGAATAGCCTAAATTTATGAAAATTAGCTAAAGTAATAATTTTAATTTAAATAAGAAAGTATGATATAATAGGAAAAATGGTAGGAGGGAATGTAAAATACTTTTAAGCTTTAAAAAACTTTTGGATAGTTCCATTATTTCTATGTTTTAAAAGAATGGTGAGTTTTAGGAAACTATATGAGGAAGGATTAAAAGAGAGTGTCAATTTTTTTGATCTTGATATGGAGAAAGTAAATTAAGTAGATAAGATAAAAAATCTATAAAATAAATTAACAAATGATAACAAGATAGTTGTATAAGAATTGGAATCCTTATACACATAGTGTTAAAAGACATCTTAAAAGTTTGACTCTAAAGTAATTTATAGATCAAAATTTATTATAGGAATTAGCAAAGATCTAAAAATTTTTAAATATGGACATACAATAGGACATCAAAGACATTTATTTTGTTTATTTGTACACTTAAATATTTAGGACTTTATAAACTCTAAGAATCAAATGCTAATCCGATAATTAAAAAACAAAAGAAAATTTGGTATTGTAAGCCAGTTGTCTAGCATCATTAATAATAAGCGAAATGCCTTTCAGCAGCGACAAGAAGTTCTTTGATTTAGATGAATTTGAAAAAGTTACTGAGAGCTAATAATATAATTAACAATTGTTAGAACAATATATAAAAACAAAGGATGAAGTTATTGGACATCTCAAAAAAAGATTGATCACCAAAGGAATAAAGATTTGAATGATTATTATATATTTTTCTAGAAATTTATCATAATTTAAGGGGTTGAGGAGAAGCAAAATAGAATTATTGTTAATAAAGAAATTTCTGTTAAAATTGTATGTTTGATTTATTCATAAGTTTCTATTTAATTGAATAAAAACATAAATTTTTTTAATAAAGGTTAATAAATAATTTCTTCAAATATGAGTTATCAGTATGGCTAATAAATGGGCTAATACCCCTATGATCCAAATATGAATATGGTAAGATTATATTTTATGTTAGATGGGCTTTGATCCTTAAATGTATTAAGAATATGCCTACTATTATTTAGGAGGACCCCCTACTCCTCCTCCTCCTAAGGGACCTTACCCAGGAATTACTCATGAAGATTATGAGTCATTTGATATTAATAAACAAATTTTGTTTTAAAGATTTTTAGGTGAGACAGCAGCCTATTATGCCAAGCACTTACCAAAATATTAAAAAGAGATGGAGGAGTTTTTGAATACCAATACTGCTTATCAAATGAATGAGTCGGAGAAATAACTTATGCAAAGCTACTTGGATTTTAAGAAAAAAGAAAAGGAGTATGAATCTTTTCTGAAGTAATTGGAGTAATCAACATAAGCACCGAATCCTGAATTAGAATAATAAAAAAAATTAGAATAATAAAAATTAGAGCAACAAAAGATTGAATAACAAAAGTTAGAAGAATAAAAGAAACAACAGCAATTGGAATAATAGAAATAATAATAATAACAATAATAATAACAACCATAGTAAGAATAACCTAAAGAAGGAGCTACAACTACAGTTCGTCCTAAAAAGAAGTTAAACTTAAATGCAAAACCATTAGAAATTGCTTTAAATCCTCCAAAAATGCCAATCTTCCCTAAACATCCAGACTTTTTAGATTTTGATAAATTTTGGAATAATTACTCAACATACATGAGTTTTTATAACCCAAGTTGTGAAGATGAGTATAAAAATTATCCAAAGCCAGAATAATTGAAAAAGAAGGAAGCTGATGAAGAAGCTAAAAGAAAAAAGAAACAAGAAGAAATTGAAAGAGCAATTAAAAGTATAAATTAGTTTTCATTATAATAGAACGTCAAGATGCTTAAGAAAGAGCTAAAGATAAACCAACTTAATCTGTAAATCTTGTGGAACAAGTTGTGAAGTTGGAAGGAGAAGTGGATTTGCAGAAATATGTAGATGTAAGAATTTCTTGTAAACTTAGCCTGATGAAACTAGGCAGCCAGTTAATTTAGTATTTATTGGACATGTAGATGCTGGTAAATCCACCCTTTGTGGAAGATTGTTATTAGAATTAGGTGAAGTGAGTGAAGCAGATATTAAAAAATATGAATAAGAAGCAGTTTAAAACAATAGAGATTCTTGGTGGCTAGCTTATGTTATGGATCAAAATGAAGAAGAAAAATAAAAAGGAAAAACTGTTGAATGTGGAAAAGCCTAATTCGTTACTAAGCAAAAGAGATTTATTCTTGCTGATGCTCCTGGGCATAAAAATTATGTTCCTAATATGATTATGGGGGCCTGCTAAGCTGATTTAGCTGGTTTAATCGTTTCAGCTAAAACAGGAGAATTTGAATCTGGTTTTGAAAAAGGAGGTTAAACCTAAGAACATGCTTTATTAGCTAAAAGTTTAGGTGTTGATCATATTATTATTATTATTACCAAGATGGACACAATTGATTGGAACTAAGATAGATTCAATCTGATATCATAAAATATCTAGGAGTTTGTACTTAAATAATGCAAATTTGATAATATTTATGTAATTCCTATTGATGCTTTATCGGGAGCTAATATTAAAAACAGGGTAGATGAATCAAAATGTAATTGGTACAAAGGTCCATCATTGATCGATTTAATTGATACTGTTTCAATTCCAAAGAGAAATGAAGAAGGCCCAATTAGAATGCCAATTTTAGATAAATTTAAGGATATGGGTTCCTTATATATTTATGGTAAGTTGGAATCTGGTAAGATTATTGAAGGATTGGATGTTTCTATATATCCAAAGAAGCAGCCATTCCAAATCACTGAATTATATAATATGAAAGATTAAAAAATGAAGTATGCTAAAGCAGGAGAGAATATCAAAATTAAAATAAAGAATATTGAAGAAGAAGATATCAAGAGAGGATATATGATGTGCAATTTAACATCTAATCCATGCTTAGTATCTTAGGAATTCTAAGCCAAAATCAGGCTCTTAGATTTACCAGAGAGCAGAAGAATATTTTCAGAAGGGTATTAATGCATTATGCATCTTCATTCTGCAGTTGAGGAGATAGAAATTTCATGTGTCGAGGCAGTTATTGATGCTGAAACAAAGAAATCAATAAAATAAAATTTCCTCAAGTCATTTAATGAGGGTATTGCTAAGATATCAGTAAAAAATGTTATAATTTTAGATTAAAAATCCTGTTTGTATGGAAAAATATGACACCCTAGCTTAATTAGGTCGATTTGCTTTGAGAGATGATGGAAAGTATTAAAAACTATTTATTATTTAGGACAATCGGATTTGGTGAAATTTTAAAGGTGAAACCAGTTAAATAAGGTTGATTTTGATTTTTTTTTATTTTAAAAGTACATATGTAAACAATAATCCATAGCTTATATATCATATATATATATTAATTGGTTTATAAAGATTTTCTTTTTTCATTTCTTTAGATTGTGATTAATGAATAAATTTATTATAACAAAGAAATTATACTAAATTTGTTTTAAGATTGAATATTATTTTTGAATATTAATATGATAAATGATTCTGAAAGTGTGAATGAGATAATTGAAAAAATAAACAAAGGGTCTTCAGTGCCATTTACAAAGCAATAACTAAATTTTCGGAAAAAAAAAGTAGGAACAAAATACTAATTTTAATCGATTGCAAAATTTGCAATAGTTATGCAATAGATATTTTTAGTCTTTGGGACTTTATATTTGGCATCTTAGAAGGTAATTTATCGAATTCCTATGGAATGTTATCTGATTTATAATCATTCTTTATGTAAGGTCTTATTGACAAGCATTTATGTGCTTATATTTTTAAGAATTGCTAGAAGCATTATTAAACTTTATAGGAAATAGGAAAAGTAAAGTAAGTATTTCTTTCATAGTTATTTATTTAATTGCGATATTACTCTTTAGACTTTTAGGTATTATTTGGGAATTAAAACACACATTATTTTATTGTTTGCAATACAGTTTTTGATTGAGAATTATTTGCTGATAACAGTTACATAAATTTGGAGTAATTAAATTAATGAGAGTTCTGGTACATATTTCATGATATCAATTTTGATGCAAATATTAATTTGTGATATTACTTATGAATATTTTATGATATATTCAGGCAAATATGGTGTGGCTGATAGCAAACGAAGTGCAATCGTGATTAATAAATAAAATATTTTTGATGCAGTTTGTAAATTAAAGTTATTGAGTTATTGCTTAAAGTTTTGGAAGCAAACCAAGGAGAATTATTAAATTTATACGAGAAAGAAGGGAATTCCATTGTTTTGAAATTTTAATGTTTAGATATAAAAAATTTAGGCATGCATTGGTGAAATTCGAATGGATGCACTATGATTTTTTATGTTAATAAATATATTTTTTATATAAATATTTTACAAATATTTTTATATGATGAATATTTCAAGTAAGCAAGACATCCCTTCATTTGTTAAAGAGTAATTAAGAAAATAAACAATAAGTCCAGAGCCATAAAAGCACAGATAATTAAATTTTCATCGAAGATTAACAAGTTCTTAGTTGGATGGAGGAATTTGCAACAATAATGTTACTCAGAAGAAATCAAATAAGCAAATGTCAAGTACGAATTTAAATATTACAACGTTAGTGCATGGATTATAACAATTATTAAAGACTAGTCCTTACAATAAATTAATACAACAGAAATCGTAATCACAAATGTTGATTCAAGAAAGCTTCTCTCAACAATATCTCAAGGACACAAGTGCCGCCTATACTCCAAATCAATAAGGATCTCTCTAATAAAACTTCTTTCATAAAGTTGGTCTCTCGTAAAATTCAACGATGTCAAGTAGTGTAAAACCTCGAATGAGAAGTGCAAATAAGGAAATCTTGAGAAGAAAATTAGTAGCTGAAACAACGCAATTGCTTTCTAATAGGGAAAAGGACAAACAAATCATATCCTAGTTGCAGCAAATTATTATTCGCACTAATTCTCTGCTATTGCACTATTAAAATGAAATTCAAAAGCATATTTCAGAAAAGGAAGAATTAATTAAGTAGATTAAATAATTATAATCTTCATGATATTTGTTTTAATCAGCTCTTTTTTGTCTATATATAAATAATTTAACGTAATATTTTTAAAATTAATTTTCTAAAATGGCTCAACTTGACATAAACAAAAAAAAAACAAATGAATTCACATATACTGAAATATTGGAGGAAGTTAATATTCATGTTTATATTAGAATAATATGTTGAAACGTAAACTTTAGGATTTGGTGAAGCAAATCAAACAATTTGAATAGGAAAGCAAAGGGCTGCAATATGAGAATGAAATTTTACAAAAATGCTTGGCTTAATAAAAGAATAATACTTAATAAGAATAAAAAAATAAATAAGTGGAGGATTAAATTGCTCAATTATAGGCAATTCATCAAAGAGAAAAAGAGTATTGGATAAGAGATCAATAAGAACAAGTGAATCGAATCAAATAAGTATAAGAACAAACCAAGAGAATATTATAAGATAAGATTGATCATCTTGAGAAGGAGAATGAATTTTTATAGATGGAGCTTGAGAACAATAAAACGATAATTGAAAATTATGAATTTTAAATTGAATAAAGTAATAGCTTATTATAAATTAGTTTAATAAAATCATAAGGCTGAATCAAGTAATTTATAGAGGGAATTGAAATAAAAATAATACAGCATAGATGAATTAAAATTTTAAATTCAGGAATAAGGAATGATATCTTAAAGAAGCAATAATAATTAGGAGTTGTTAAATAAATTAAAAGAAGCAATGTATTTATAATTGAATTACAATTTTAGAGACGAATTGAATAAGTGTAAAAAAATCATATCTAATCAACAATATGAAATATAATTATAATGTAGGCTCTTTGATGAATTAAGATAAGATTATTAAAAGAAATTATGTAAAGAACGATCTAAATCCTAAATGAGTTTCAAAGCAGCTCAAGAGGTCAAAAATGAATATGAAAAGAAATACTGTAATCTAATGGAGCAGATAATTAAAAACCAAACCTCGAGAAGTTGCAATGCTTCTTTTAAACTATTGCCAAGCTCAATGGATTAAACTATGAATAACGATTTTTCAAGAATCTCCAATAATTAATCTAATAATATGTATGTTTGATTGTAGTAATTCATTTTAGTGGAGGATTGAGTGCTATCAACAAAGCTTTAAGCGATTCTATTGATGATTACGAAAAGAGTATATTGAATAACATATCTGGAAATGTAACAAAGAGGAAACCTAGCAAATCCGAATGGGAAAAAAAGTAAAAAGGACAGCAAAATATCATGATAAGCGTTACTCCAGAAAATTAGATGCGCCCTCAATCTTAATAGTAGGAAATATGTATGATATTTTGATGTCATGTTTAGTTTCACCCAAAATTTCTCAAAAGAGAGCCTAGTCTATTCATTCAAGCAAGGGTATAAAATAGTATACATTCAATTTATGCGAATACAATGAATCTCGCAATTCAAATGATTCTGATCAATTTTATAGTTAATGCACTTAGTAGACAAGACAGAGCAAGCTCACATTGAAGCCATAGAAATGTAATAATGATGTGAAAAGGAATTCAAAACATTAAAAATCACTTTCTACCTATAGGAGTGTCAAGGACAAAGAAAATCTTTAGTTTACTATTCCAGAGGAGAATCAAAAAATAAACAGTATAAATACTAGCAAATAATTATAAATTTTGGAAGATAAAAATGAGAGATTGGATACTAATACAAAATTTAACTCTTTATTAAAAGTAATTTGAATATGCTAATGCATTTATTTTTACAATTTAATTTTATTATCATAATTTTTATGTCTAAGTAAAGCTCTTTCTTAGCAAATCCTTTGAATGATAGTTCAAATGATTTTAATGCAAAAGGCTATATAAGTGATAATCAGCCCAATTCAGGACAAGATGAAGAAGACTGCCCAAAAAATCCATTAGAATCAGATAATGAAGGAAATGAATCAGCAGTCTTATAACATTTAATAGATAACGAGAGTATGTGATGATGAAATATATTTTAGAAGAAGATTCCTCTTCCAAAAGTGATGGTGCCTCTAACCCAATGATGGAAATGGATCCTGTCTCTTTAGAAAATGTTATCAACTAAAATTTTGCATCTATTGGATAGCAATATCATGTTTGTTAAACAATTGTGGATTGTAATAAGACGATTGAATTGCAATAGGATTAGAATCCTTTATTTTCTTGTGATGAATTGTTAGACCCAAGATAAAGCAATAAAGAAAAATCAAAAGATATAATCAAGAATTATGAAAGTCAGCTGCAATAACTTTAAAAAGAGAACTAGCTATTGAAAAGTAAAATTATCTTTATAATTGACTCAAAGGTCAACTAATAGAAAAGGACATGAATTTTAGAGAGAAAGCACAACTAAAAGATAATGAAATAGCAAGTTTGAATGAATTAAATAAAAATCTCAATGCAGAGAATGTTTCGATGAAAGGAGAGATGTAGAAATACAAAAATGAAATTTAGTCTTTAACATAAAAAATTCATTAACTTTAAGCAGAAAAATTAAAATATCATAGATCAAAAACAGGAGCTGAAACAGCAAGAGGATTTGATGTTTAAGTATTAATTAAACAATTTAAGGAATTGCAAAAAGGTACCAGTTTAAATGATTAAACAATCGCCACTATGAGCGCTAATCATTTAGAAATAAGGAAGATTCCAACAACAAGTATTGATATACCGTGTCCTTTTTCTGCAAAATAGAAATAAGACTAAAGAAATCAGTTCACTTTTAAGAATGGGAAACCTGATGCTAATCATCAAACAAGTACTTGAGTATTTCTAATTTCTAAGCTGAGCTATGTGATACTTAAAGACTGCGGAAGGGACCCAAAAACTAAAGATCCTTATAAGATTTAATTTTCAAAGCATAAATAGGGATTGCATTTTCGAAACCAAACAGTATAATTGCAAAATTACACAATAGGTACTTCCTTGTAAAAGGCTTAAGGTTTAGGGTAACTATTTTTTGAAAGTAAATCAACTAGAAACAATCAGCAAAAAACTTAGTTAGTCCCCAAACAATGATCTCCCAGGTTATGTTGAATTATGATGAATTATTGTAATTAATTTATAAATAAAATCAAATTATGCTAATCCATTCATGGGGTTTTCCACCAGTTTATATTTCATTTAATTGCTAATATAATTGATGAGTTAGTTCCCCAGAATTCAGATTCGGATTATACTTAACTTCATAGATTTTATCATTGAAACCGATGGCCTCAATTGGTTAAACCATAACTCCTGTTCCACATCCAAACATTTCAATCATCTAAAATAATATTATGATTTACTCTGCCTTCTGCTATAGCTTCCACAACTTCTTAAATGTAGACTTTCCTTTCGGTAACTTTAAACTTATTAAATTATTTTGCCAAATTCTAAAATTAGTGTAATTATAAATACGAGGATGGAGTCTCTAACAACTCCTGGAAGTATGGTCCCATCTAACATGGGTGTGATCAATTCATTTTCGCCTTATTTATTTTTCCAATAAAAAAACAAATTACACACACCCATCTCCTAAACCAAACCATCTGGAAGTAGCCATAAATTTTAATGGAATCCAATCTTTTAAACCTCCTTTAATGGTAACACAGTAGGAGCGTAATTTCCAGCAACTTTATATTCTCCAACTCCTCCCGGGTAAGACCGTATCTTTCATAAAATAGTATGTCATACAGTAATTGTATTACAGAAGACGCGAACAGGCTTTAATCCAGATGGGAAATAGGGTCCAACTGGACAAAGCACAACAAATAATTTAGCTCTACTCGAAGCTCTCACTCCCAAAGCCTCTTCTGTAGCTATCAGAGTGGGTCGAATATAACAGCTAAACCCAGGATGATCTGGAATCCAATCTTAATCTACTTTAATCAGTGCTTCTATGCATTTTTGTAATTCATGACCATCAAAATCTGGTAGGGATAATCTCTTTGCTGAATGCTTCATTCTTAGCATATTGCAATCTAATCGAAACACTCTTATGGTATTGTTTGGGCCCTTGTAAGCCTTTAAAGTATTGTTATATATAATAATTACTTTAGAGCCTTCAAAACATTCGATTGCATAGTGCAAACAAGATGAGAATGGATGAAGTTCTAAGTTTTTGAATGGAACTATCATAGGTCTCGACCAACTAATTATCAGTGTTTACTTTACCCCATTTTATCAGACCAATCAATTTCTAATAGATGATCGGTGTGGAAGGCACCAAAGGTCATAATCTTTGGATCACAAGGAGGCTTTGTAATATAGTGCTGAGTGTGAAGTATTTTTAAATCTCTAGCCTGATTTTGAAGTTATAATTAGAAATACCTAGAAGGATGCATGAGGAGAACTCAAATCCATATTGGCATAATACGAAAACCGATAGAAATTCTATGATAGTAGTAACGTAATACTTTGAAGACGGATCTCATCTGAAGATTATTTAATTGATGTTTATAAATCATATATCTAATAGTTTATAATTTATATATTAAATTCAATTTGATAATTCGAATCGTCTAAACTTAGATTTATAAAACAATATAAAGTATAGTTAAAATGGAGTAAGAATTAGTAAAGATAACCAGATTCCATATTGCAAGATTGTTGGCAAAACTAATATGTAATTTAAAGCAAAGCCCAAGACCTAAGCCTATTAGTGAATAGTACATTTGCTATTCCCAAGATCCAAGTGCTTACAATCAAAGACTTTAATGGATATAGCTTCTCGACGAATGCCTCAATGGCTATTGGATAAATAACGTTCAACCCTATTCCACTAAAGATGTTCAATATAATCAAAAGCCAAAAGGGTAAATAGGAGATAAGAAAAGCTTATAGAAGTAAAGCCAAGAAACCTAGCAAAGTGGTGTATCTTATGATGGTATCGTAATCGGGTTATTTCCCTTATCTTGCTTGCTAATCTAACTTAAATGAGATCCATATTCCAGCAATTATCCCAGACCCTGTAAAAAATATGCCAGTAATTCCTATCTCCAATTAGGTATAACCAAAAGGATATAATTGGAGTGAGATAACAGAAATGTAAACCCAAGAAATCCCTATAAACATGGCAAAAGCCAAAAGATCCAATGAGAATTCTTCGATTCTAAAAATGTCAAAGAACTATTAGAAAAATTTTACATTTTCCTATAATTTATTAAATTAATTTTTTACCTCTCCACTTCTGGTTCTTTGACTTATCTTTCTTATGAAAAGAAAACAAAATGGGACACAAATAGTATTTAAAATTGCAATAATAAAGTTCATTTCTTCAATTTTGACATTAATAACTTCTTAATCAATTAGATCCCAAAACTAAAATGACGAATATGTATAGGAAGCCATGATTCCGGCTAGAGTAGCATAGCTTCCAAGACAAGTGGCCAAAGTGCGATCATAAGCAGTGAACCAAACTTCCGATAAATCTACATTAAACTAAAGTTAAATAATTACAAACAGGTACTGCCAAAAATAAAGCTTCACTTACTCCAATAAAGAAATATCCAACCAAACACATGAAAAAGCTTTGTTTCCCTACCCATATTATCCAAGCTCCTGCTGCTGTCAATATCGAGGATACTTATAAACATAAATCAAGTCTTTTCTCTAATAGTGGAATAAAGGGAGGTCCAAATACAAAAAATGTTATATAATATATATTTCCTATCCAATACAAATCGTTAGCATCGACATCATAGTAGACTGCTGCATTTAACCAAACTGGCGAATAACTTACAAAACCAAGCACATTTGCAAATCTATAAGGAAATTCAAAAGTTTACGCTAAGAAACTATAAGCAAATAACACGAACCATTTCATCTTTTTGGACTCTTAGGGGGAAACTTATTCGTTATAAAATATTTCAACTTGATTGCTTTTAGACATTTTGTTCTTGAATAAAATAGATTAATCTGAAATTTAATATATTTGTTTTAGTTATTTTTCTAAAATTAAATATTAGTCATTGTTTGTCAATTAGATAACTCGAATCTACGATATCTTGATTTATAAAAAAGAATAAAATATAATTCAAATGGAGTTAGAATTGCTAAAGTCAGCCATAAACCATATTTCATAATTACTGGTAAGATTAAAAGATAATTAAGAGCAAACCCAAGTAACTAAAATATAGGATCTAATACATTTGCAAATCCAAATACCCATGTTGCCACAATCAGAGACTTTATTGGATATAACTTTTCTACAAAAGCTTCAATTGCTACTGGGTAAATCACATTTAAACCAATACCGTTAAAAATGTTTAATAGAATCAATGCCCAAAGAGATAAGTATTGTATAGTAAAAGCCTAAAAAAGAAGAGCAAAGAATCCAATCAAGGTAGTTATTTTTATGAAAATATCATAGTTTGGTTGTTTACCTTATTTAGCTTCTTAATCTAATTTAAAAGAACACCAAATGCCTGCCAAAATTCCTGATCCAGTAAAAAAGATTCCAGTTATTCCAACCTCTAATTGTGTAAATCCAAAAATGTATAATTATAATGATATTACAGATATATAAACCCATGAAATTCCAATAAAAATAGAGAATGCCAAGAGATCTAGAAAAAATTCCTCTTTCTTAAATATATTGAAAAATTATGCCAGAAAGTTAATATTGTCCTTATGAATATATACAATAGAATACTTCTGTTGTTTTTCCTAGTTAATTCTTAAATTTGATAAAAATGAAACAAATTGGAATGGAGAGTGAATTAAGAATGGCTATAATTAGATTCAAATCATTAATTTTATTATGTACCGCTTGTTCCTCTTCAATTCCAAAGAATTAAAAGGATGAGTAAGTATATGAAATCATGATACCTGCTAAAGTAGCATAACTACCGAAACATGTTGCCAATGTTCTATCATAAGCAGTAAACCAGACTTCTGATAAATCTTTTTAAATAAATTATTATAAACATACAAACTGGTACACCTAAATAGAATGCTTCGCTGATTCCAACAAAGAAGTAGCCAATTAAACAGACAACATAATTGGATTAGGCTATCCAAACAATCCAAGTTCCTAGTGTTGTTAGAATTGAGGCTAATTTCAAACATAAATCTAATCTTTTTTCTAATAATGGAATAAAGAGTGGACCAAAAACAAAGAATGTAATGTAGTACATATTGCCAATCCAGAAAAGATCATTAAGTGATATTTAATAATAGAGGGCGGCATTATTAGAAATGGGAGAATAGCTTACAAAACCAAGAACATTTGAAAATCTAAAATTATTATAAAATATTACGCTAGATAACAAAATGCAAAGAGGACTCCCCATTTTGTTTTATCTGAATATTGCGGTTATATGTTCTCTTGAAATTAAATTGCTGGTGTTTTTGACATCTAATTTTAAATAAAGAAAAAATAAGATTTCTATATAAGAGTATATAAATAACTTATTCTTAAAATTTTAAAATTATATTTATGGGTTCTTATAAATCAAAAAATCATAAAGTGGACATAAATACACTACCAGTAGTAGATCCAGAACCTGATTACGTGATAAAAACAAGACAACCTATGCCATCAAATTGGTAATTGAATATTTTAAGAGGAAAAAGAGAGGATGAATTAAGAGGATTGTCATATGCATATGCTAGGTAGAATGAGTGGCTAATTTAGACGGAAGTGTCATAAAGCTGTGAATGATTTGCTTCAATGCGAAAAGGATTACGGTTCTTTTTGGGCTGCGTTTGATTGTTAGGCAGAGAATCACGATATGAAGGAATGTTTGGCTCATGAATTTGAAGTTGAAATGGATAAATTGAGAAGAAATATGAAAATGAATACAGAATGGTGGTGGAAGGATCTTTATGATGAAAATGGGGAAGTGGGTGAATAGGCTAAATGGAAAGACGAGTATTGGCTTCTACCTATATTGAGAAGCTACAAAGATTTATTATATTCAATGATATCATCGAATAATTGATATGATAAATATATATATATAGATGATCATTTTCAAAATTTCCAATCAAGTTGATTTTTATGAAATTTCTGCACAGATTGCCAGAATCAATAAACTTGCCACATGTTCACTCGTCTATATAATTACGTATTCCTTGTGTTTCATTTCCCAAGCGAGTGCTGACAAACCATTTGGTAAAATAATGCCTCCAACAATAATAAGTATTAATTGGAATGTCGAACTGTAATCCTAGAATTAAAATATCTCATTGATTCATTTACTTTCAGGTTGAGATAGACATAGAAAAGGATAAAGCAATAGCTTTTAACAAAACGCGCCAAAATTTCAATTATCTAACCATTTGAATTATCATTTTAATAGGGTTATTTGATTTGAGCCCCTGTTTTCCATTACACTCCAAAACAACTTTCCGAATACCAGAAGTGTCCTCATTTCTTTAACAAATTAAATACCAAAGACTGATGTGAGAAATGTACCGACTGCAGCTGGTAAAATTTATTAATACATTAATTAATAATCATTCATCTAAATGAAATTCCATAAGTTCATCCAATTTCAAATAATTTGTATTGTATTCTCGTATATCTGGATAATTTACTGCTTCCTTTAAATAATCAATTAGAGCCTTCAACTCCTAATCATTTTGATCATTATGCCATTCCATTATCGGAATCCCATTCTCAATTTGAAATCCAAAAGAATGAGCCAAATTATCAATTATAAGCATATCTTTCAATTGTTTATTGCCAATCAATCTCAGATCCTTGATAAAGAACCCATTCTTAGTTTCCATACAATTATTTCTCGATAAGACCCCAGAGATGTATTGTTTCTTCGGATCCAGATAGCCGATGATTGCCTAAGCGTAAGCTTACGAGGACGCAGTATAAATGTAAATGGTATAGAATTAAGAAAGAGAAGATAGGAAGAGTGAAGTATAGGGACGTATGTTAATACCAATCTAAATTAGTATGAAAAGATTTACTTTTGCTTCTTCTCCGAAGTCTCCTATTGCTGTAACATAGACTTAGGGGTTTTCTCTGGGAGTGCATGAATGTATGAGGGTCTCATCCAAATCAAGAATTAGGGTTTTCTCTTTTTTGGGAGTGATTTCATTTAAATATACTTTCTTGGATTCAATAAATTTATCAGATGGTCCTTTTAAACACTTCCGAGCATAGATTAACCCTCTCTGTGTGAGAAGCAAATGCTTTTTGAATGCCTGTTCATTGATGTATTGTCCAAATATTAAATGGCGAAAAGGATGTTGGGCGATTTTATTATTTTAATTCAGTTATGGGTTCTTTTTATTTTATTCCTAGTCTGAGTTTGTGTTTAAATTTTGCATCGACGAGGTTTGTCTATTGATTACACACTTAAATACTTTGCTTTTGCTAACTTTGGATTTGCTTGTGCTTTTAGGGAGAGTTTTTATTAAATTCTTTAGGCTTGTTCTTCAATGTTGTAATTTGCTTCTTGATTGCCTTATTCAACTGGCCCACGATTGTTTTCTGTGTCACTGAAATCTGGTTCGTTTTCTACATCGCCATCTATTCTTTTTGTATTTACCAAATTGCTAAATCTCGACATCTTTGCTGCTTATGTCAAAATTAAAAAAAGTACTTGTGTGTTATTACTAAGTATTTCTTTGACTCTTGGGGGTGCCTCCTTCTGAATCATCAGTTTAGAATCCGTTTTACTTAGGAATTGGTTTGTTTATCCCCTTGTTGTCTGGTGTTGGTGTATTGTCTTGAGAATTGGATGATTCTCCTTCCTCCTCACTATAAAATTAGAGTTTCTATTCTTGTGTAATCACCTGTTTCAAGTGGCCCACATGAGATTTTGCCTTGAAGCTAATTAACTTGTCCATTTATAATTAATAATGTCGATATTTCTTGATTTATCAATTAATCAAAAATCGGCCCAGTTTAAACTGTTCACCTAATATTAAATCCTAAATAATACTTATGAAATCCTTTTGAATTTTTAGTTGCTCTTACATTACCGGGTGCAATTTAAATAAATATATAAAATAAGGCAAAAGCAAGAAATCGATGTTGGAATCATAGTTTTATTGTGTGAATTGTGATATTTCATTTTATAATAATTATTATTAATAAACAATATTATATTCAGTTCTAATTTTCATTATCGTTCAGTATTACACCCCATCTCAATGCATCCAAGTTATTTGTTACTCCTAAATTCAATTCTATCATTTTGATGTCAAGTATTTGAGGAGTTCCGAGTCCAAATTTATTTTTCGTTTATTAACACTAAGGTTAGGGAGTTAACAGATATGAACCTTACGATTCTCATTATAGAGGATGAGTAATGTAATCTTGAAGTGGGTGGACATGGCAAAAGGAAAATTTGATAGGAATAATTATATTAGGGTTTTGTAAGTGCTGGAATTTGAGAAATTTAAACAGAGTTTGAAGGAACAATATTATAAAATGATTTTAATATCTAATTATAAAGTATGAATTTGAAACAATATTGCATCATTTGCTTATGAATTAATGATTAATAACTTCTATTTATGATATATAGTGCGTATTAAATTCATAAATTTATGTATTATTTAACATAAATTTCATCGTCTTATTGAAATAATAATTAAATAATTAAGATGTCTGAATCCATTTATAAAGTTAGGACTAAGAAATACCTCAAACCAATCATTGAGACCCAAATAATTGGGCTTTCCAGAGTCATTCTTGGTTTACCCATAGACCATGTTTTTGATAGATTCAAAACTTTAGTACAGGCTGAAAATACGCAATCGTCAATTCGACAATTATTCAAGGAAACTTACAGACGAAATGGAATGCTAAAAGGTGTATTTGCTGGATTCTCATCCCAAATCAGCATTCAACTCTTTAAACAATATTATAGGTAAATAGTTTAATTATATCTCTAATTTTAGATGGCCCATGATGATCTTAATTCCAAAATATTACAAAGAACTCCTACCATCATCCTGGATCCAGAACCATCCAGCATTACACAAAGGATTGGCTGGTGCCACAATTGCCCTTTTTGAATCCCTCGTCACCTGTCCTATGGAACGAATTAAGTGTCAATTAATGACCCAATACGAATCCAAATCAAGTATCTAACTTTCATTTATGTTTTCTAGTCATCAAACAATTGTGGAAAAATGAACATCAATTTTCTCATTTTGTCAAAAATATTTATACTGGAATGGAAGCCATGATATTAAAATAAGTAGTTTCTTGGACCAATTATTTATATTGGGATCACAAAATCAGATACCTCTTCAAGGATAGTCCAAGTCAAGCTCTCACCTTATAATAAATTGGAATGTGTAGTTTGTTGACAGCCATTCCAAACATTTTGTTTGTTTAACCATTCGATGTAGTCAAAACTGCCTATCAGATGGAAAACAACGCAAATTACAAGTCATTAACCATCCCCTAAGCCTTTGTCAAAGTGTACTAGGATAAGGGATTAAAGGGATACTATGCTGGTTGGTAGTTGAGACTCTCACAATTTATTGTGCAAGCAGCCTTATCTACTCCAGTAATGGATTATTTGGAAAGATTGCATGGTCTTCCAAATGATTTTTGAAATTAATAGAAAAAATACTATCAACTAATGACAATATTTATTATCATTATAATTAATCACTATTTAATCGATTTTCGTGTCTCCACTATTGATCCTGTCAATTGTCTCTAGATATTGGGTCTTTGTTGTCTTGAAGCGGATTATTGTTCTTGTACAACTTACACTTATTATTTGCTATGACTAGATTACTAGGAATCGAAGGACTCTGTTATCTAATGATTAAATCTTTACTATTGATATTATTCATTCTATGTTTGATGCTAATATTCCATTGTGGGATAGATGTTTTAAGGTTCAGGGGATCTCGGAATTTGTGATTATTAGTTATAATAATTGTCATTGCTTATTGGTTATTTTATCTCATATTAACCAGTTAATTGTTTTTGGATTTATTAATCCCTCAGTAATTGCGATTGTCTTGGTTACTAAAAGTTGGTTTATTATTATTAATAGCTTTGTTATTGTTGTTCATATTGTTTTATGGACTACTGAGAATATTACTGATAGTTGTAAGTCTAATTATAGGGTTTAGCCTATTCGGTATTGATAGATTCGAATAATTGTTAATGAGAAAACGAGGCAGTATTATTATTGATGGGTCGTTGTGAATGCACTTTTTAATTCGAGTTTGCCAACTCAATTTGTTCTAGAACACTTTGATTGGGCTTTTCATCTATTTCTTATTAGTTGTACTCGTATTCCTCTTAATCTTGATGATTATGAAAGGAATTAACTTCCTTCTTCAAATACTGAGGTGCATTATTGTTATAAGAATAGGTGGATTGTTTGTTTGATTGAATTTCTTGTTTGTATTCACTTAATTGCAATTACAATTCCTTCTATGTTATCGGAGTAAGATTGTTGTAAATCTAGTAACTGTTGGTGGGTTCCCATTGAGTGGATTTAATTCTCTTGCCAGGTGTTCTTTGATACCTAACTTAGGCATCTTGACTCCTTTACAAGGCGACTTTGGCTCTTTGTTCTAGAATCTCCATTTGTTCATAAATGTCGGTGGTGTCTACCAATTTGCTTTTAGCTATTTGATGTTCTTCAATTCTATTGGGTAGTTTGTTGGACTGTCTGAATTCAATGGAATAATTTGGTAGATGTTCCTTGATTGTGGATTACTAAATTAATCTTAGAATATTTTACTCTAAAATAGTCTTCCAATTAAAATCTGAATCCTATCAATAGGTCGTTTGCTGAATATGAATTTGGTCTATTTTCAGGTGCTAATTGCAATAGCTAACATACTATAGAACACAATTATTCACTATAGAGTGTTTTCATCTCTCTTATATAGCTATCTAATTTATCGGTGATGATGAGATAATTGGAGTTATCATAGATATCGTAAATACTATTGAGAGTGGCCATTTGTAATGCAGTCAATCCAATACTAAAGACATCGGATTTGTCTAAATCATAAGTTGGTCTAAGCACTCTTTGTTTGAGGAATGTCAATTATTCAGGACTTAGGTTATATTGAGCATGTTGTTTGGCCACACATCTTCTGAATGCATTCATATCAGTCAATTCCTAGATGTCAGTCAGTTTGTAAACAGGGAGAGGTTCATTTTGTCGATGAGGACTCTTCTTGGGAAACGAAGTGACACTTATTGTAAGTGGACGGATGTCTCCATGAGACTTTTATTGTTTAGTTAATTTTTATAATGCCATCAGCTAGGTGATAATAATGGTATTATACAGTGCAATGAATCATAGCAGCGATTTCAATTTCTTCAAAATGTTATTTGGTGGCACTCTGTTCAGTGATCACTCTTTCCAGATATTCATCAAAATATTCGTATACACTATGTGCTTAAGTCATCTAGGTACATAATTCCTTTTCTGTGACATGTTACAAATCGATCATTTAGATTAGGAACAGATTCTTGTCTCTCGAAGTCATATTCATTTCAGCTGATTGTTTGAATCTCAGCCATTATTCCTCATCCTATAAGATGTGATCCTTAACAGCAACAGCGTGTCCGTCATTTAATTTATACACTTTGATTTCTCCATATCTGATATCGTTCACTTGTCTCCAAAATTATAATTCATTGATCTTAGGCACTTGCATTCTAGATTGCTGCAAATTCTGAGATGAAGATTACCCCATTCTGTTAAAATTTATTTAATAATAAATTATCTGGAAACATCAATGTAAAAGATTATAATACAGTTCATCTATTCATAAGAATCATTATAATGGTCTGAGCTCCAAGAATTTGATTTGGATCCCTGGAATGTTCATAATCTTCTCCGCCTAAACAATCCAATCATAAATAGGGTTTTTATTGAAAGCACTTCTCTTCACAACAAACTGTTTCCCAATCTGATTCACCTTGCCTTCATCCAATTCCTCAAATGGCATCTTATATTAAGATAGATCCATAATCATCATTATCGTAAATGACAATCTAAATAGAATACACAAAATCAATACTTGTTATTATCTTCCTTGACTCCCAAGGCAAGAGCATCATTCTGAAATTTGCTCAACTTAGTATTAGGGTCTTTTTGCATAAAATTCAAGTAATCATTAATCTTGGCTTGAATTGTAGTCTGAAATTACGCTGGAACCTAAATCTTGACGAATCTGTGATGCATTTTAACTTCAGTGATCACTATCTCCAAATCTTGAAGACCTTGATCAAGAGGTTAAGTGAAGTTTTCAATCTTGACTTCCTCATTTAGAGGAGAGGGTGGAGAATAATCATCTATCCTAGGTTAATTGTAGTCAATCAATGCCCAAGAATGATTGCCCCCTGCAAATAATTGTTTAATTCTTCTTTATTCCAAGAAGTTTATTCTCGTGTATTAAGTCCTGCTTTCATAATCACCAACTCCAAGTTGTCCTGCCTAATTGTGTCCGCAAGTATAAACATCAGAATGACTTGTCAACACAATTGAATGGTTCCATCCAGCTGCAATCTAGACTATTGTCTTTCCAGATAACCCTATAACTAATTAGAATTTGTTTTGATTTTCAGTGGCCTTAATTCCCAATTGTCCATGTTAGGCATACCCACAAGCATAGACAATACCTTTATTGGACAACAACAAACTGTGATGTCCCCCTAGACTAATTTCCTTTATGGTTGATTCTACATTTATATGTTGGAATATACCTTATTTATTCTACACAAAGATATCATCAATAATGATGTGTTTTTAATTGAAATTGATTTTCACCTTTTTGGGCAATAAACTATCTTAGAATTCGCCCTGACCAGTTTCGCCGTACATCCCAGAACCCCAAGACCACAATTCTCCATCCTTATCTAATGCCATCATATGATAGCCTCCACAACTGAACTTAACTATATTGTCCTTAACTATCTAGGGTGTCTCCACATCATTTAAATGACCATGACCCAATTAACCTCGATTGTAATCTCTGCCTCCTCCTCCCCAAGTATACAGATCTCCATTGGCACTCAAGGCTGCACTATGAAAATCACCGCACCCAATCTACACTATGGTTTGTTTCAAGGTTTCAATCCTGGCTGGTTTGCCTGCCTTAGAACCTAACTTTTTGTGAAGTGTGCCTCCCCATGCATAAACCTACCCATTGTCCAATAAACACAAGGTATGGTAATCTCCTGTGGCCACTTGAGTTACAAACAATCCTTTCATTGCCTGGACTAACAAGAACTTAGGGTATGATGGTTGATTGGCATCTTCAAAACCCAGTTTCCCTAAATTATTTTTAAATTTGAATTGCAAACCGTGTAATGCAGATCCGCAAATAAAGAGTTAACCATCTTGTGTCACTATTCCTGAATGGTTGGAACCTGAACTAATCAACTGCACTGTTTGATTCTTCAATCCTTGCACTGCCTTCGGAGCATTGCACTTCTTTTGATTGCCCTAACCACATTAATCATACTCATTTTTACAATGGACAATTCTCCATCTTTGTTACGTCCCCATGCAAACAGATAAGTTATTTATTAATCATCTCCTGCGAATTATGGCAAAGGATCCATATATTAATTATTTTTATATAAAAATGGATCAATAACTAGAAAAATGGAAGTTGAATAGTCAATATTTTATTCGAGATAAATATTTTAATCTTTATAAGAAACTTGGAAATCAAGCCCTCAGACAACAAGATCAATTGCATTTCAAGAGACAACGCATTTTCAGGAACACCTCCTTCAAAGATCGAGAGAAACTACCTCCCATGGAATAATCTACCAAAAAATGCGATTACAGTCTCCCAGAATTCATCTACCCCACTATCCATCAAGTTAGCACCATCGATGAATATAATAAAATATTGCAAGCCAGAATTAAGAGTAATGAACAAAAGGAAAGGAATGAATGGAAGTTGCCTCCTTTAGAAAAAGAATATAAAGAGAAATATCAATTAAAACGAACTATCTCCTAAGCAGATTTGAAGATCAAATTGTAGCACCTGTTTTGAATTATATTTAATGCTATTCTCGAACTCCCATTTCATTCTGCTTCTCTTTTTATTAATTATTAATATTTATTTTTGGATAATTAGTCTGAAGTAAGAAGGATAACAGGTAAATAAATACGTCGAAATTGTTGATTAATCATAAGGCAGCACATCTCTATTAAGCTGAATAGCATTTTACAATAAACTTGAAGATAAGGTATGAATCCAAGATTAGGATTTTACAACAATTTTTTGATCTATGATGTAACTATTTTGAAATAACCAGGGATTATGATTTTAGAGGTAGATTAATAGGAAATTAAAGAAAAGTAAAGAATTATATAAAGAAATAGTCAAATTAATTACACAATGTCAACTAGATCTAATTAAATTCATAAATACAATGGTCATAAATATTTTCAAAATAATACTTACCTCAAGAAATAATGATATATTATACATAGGGATATTTTAAACAAATTGGATTGATAAAATAAAAAAAAAATAAATTGAAATATCAAAAATAAAAAAATTTCAAAGAGGTTACTTTGGAGTACAAGGAATAACGGAATTAAATAAGCAAGTCTCTCTTAATAAACTAAATTACAATTTTCTTCATTTATCTACATCTTAATTTTTCAATACTAGTTAAGTTCCAAAATATGTGAAGCAAGTAGATTATAATGAATTTAATAAGCTAGTAATAATCTGCGATATCTCGAAATAATAACTCTTTTGAGAATGGAGATTTATCAAGACTGATTTTATTCATGATTAAAGTAATCTATGAAATATCAAAACAGAATGCTTTATAAGAGACAAATAGAAAATAAATAATAGGTTATCGTAAGGTGCTATCTAACAAATATCAATAGAAAATCACTTAATTTTCTGGATATATCTAATTTCTGAATAAAAAACAAAAATAATATAAAGAAAGAAAATCTATTGTTAAGGATTGTATATTTCAAAGTATGCAAACCCATTTTTGAGGGATATAAAATGAGTTATTATTAATTGGTTTTGCTATTTCTTTTGTTAAATTATTTATTTAATTTAAATAAGGATTCTCCAAAAGTGACTTATAATTTGAGTTAGTTTATAGCATTTTTTTGAAGTAAAGAAGTGGAATTATTTGATATAACATTTAATATGAGTGGCTATGGCTTTGTCAGAAAGTTAGGAGAGGGAGAATAGGGATAAGTTGTTGAGGTTATAAATTATAGGGATTAGAAGAATTATGCAGCTAAATAGATTTCATTAAATTTATTTTCGGAAAAGCTATTTTAAAGGTTATAACAACTCAACCACCCGAATATTGTTAAGGTGTTCCAATATGAAATCAATAGCAACTCTGCTTATTATTTGATGGAATTATTGCATGAATAATCGCTATATAAGTATATTCGAAATCATCAATTGGAAATGGAAGCCATCTCATTTTATTCTGCATAAGTCCTGTTGGCTTTGGATTACCTCCACAAGAATGACATCATTTATAGAGACTTGAAGTCTGAAAACCTGTTGCTCATGAAGAATGGGTATCTGAAATTGGTGGATTTCGATTTGAGTAAATTGGTTAAGCAATCTTAAAAGACCACTACTCTGTGTGGAAGTCCAGGATTTATAGCCCCTGAGGCAATAAAGGGTTAAGGTTACAATCAAAGCGTGGATTATTGGAGTTTCGGAGTGTTGCTGTATGAGTTCTCAACTGGTGAGTTGCCTTTTAAGGGCAAGACTCCCTACGAGGTGTACTAGGCTATTTTGAATGAGAAACTGGAGTTCCCATTCAGCATCGACAAGTTAGTATTGTAATTATGCTTAGGTCTGTGCAATCATTAATTAAATAATTATTGACTAAAAATCCTTAGAACAGAATGAAAAAGGTAAAGAACTTTGAACAAATTTTGGCGAATTCAGATGTGTATTCTTTGTTAGACTCAAATGATTTATATAATTAAAAACTATTAGCTCCATATTATCCCTGAAAGTATTTAAATCAAAAAATTTGAAAAAAAATACACAAAAATAGCTATTGAAGCTCAAATCATCTTGCAAATTCATATTGCCTTCTTCCTTATAATTTAGCATATTTCAATTGGCAAATTTACTACAATTAATGAATATTTAAGAAATACTTTCTCTGTGTTAGACCATTTCTAATTATTAAATGTTCTATAAAACCTTAATACCACATCCTGGTTTATGAAGTTAACAAATGCATATCCCAAATGGCCTTCATTCTTCAATTATACAATTAGAAATACATTGTTATCCAAGGGCAAATAGAAAAAGTCATAGAGATTACGGAATTCTTTATTTAAAATATTTCTCAAATCGTTAGGCTTCATGCTCCTGGGTATATTTTTGAGCATCAAAGTGGTTCTATCATCCTTGAGAATCTATGTTTTTATTGAAAAAGCTATACATTCTCTTCAGCAATCTCTAAGGATGCCTATTACTATTATAAATATTTATCATCATTCAAGAATATAAGTTTGTCTTATATCAATTCTTGACTGAACTGTTCAAAATTTATTAAGCCATCTTCTTCAGGGACTAATAATTTAAACTCTAAAATGGATTATAAACCAATTACCAAAAGCACAAAGAGATGCTTCAAATTTTTCATCGAAACTCAACAAAGGTCTTGGAATTTTGAGTTGGGATGCTTCAAAAGAGGAATTGCTTGAACTGTTTGGGGATGCGGTTGTGTTTGTCTATGAAAATCTTCCTTTATTTGGAGTTGTTCTTAGAGTATAATCAACTAAATCACAAATCATTATTTAATAATAAAAACAATGGATCATTGTCTCATTGGTTTTCTAACTTTCTAATAGTAGCTCTTGTTTTGATTTATCTCTCAAAATTTCTTAAGCAATTAAGACAGTTCCACTTCCCTTACGGAACCTCCTTTAAGTTGATACATTTTGGATGGAATACTTTTGGGCAAGTATCACAACAAATGACTTTGCCGCCTTTGTTGCATTTCTTACATCTGTCCTCCCACTTAGTCTCCGTCTCAGTATACTAAGGTTTCACTTGATTTCTTTTCCTTAAATTTTGAGTCACATACAATTGTGGTTCCTAAACAAGTTGGGGTATTGGTTCGACATTCTTTTTAATAATGACTTCTTCTACTTTCTTCTTTTCCCCCACAGGTAAAATTTATTATTGAATCTAAACTTTTTTCCTGTCAATGTAATCTTTAACTATCTACCCCAACACTTCCAAACAAATCTTCATTTTGGCCAAGTTGCAATCGAATTTGAGTTGTTCTATTAGATTCTACCGGAGAGTTTCATAATAGGTCCCAAACAATTTCATAGGCAATTTTCGAACTCTCACTCTCCCATTATCCATCTATTCTAATTGCTGCAACATGGTTTAGGGTTACTCATCAACGGAAGAATCATCTTCAACAACCTTTCTCCTTCTATTTGGTTAATAGGAATCCTCATCATTTTCGTTGAATTATTTATCATCCATCTCTTCCTCTAATCTGAGTTCCAACTTCTCTTGCATCATTGTGTTATCCACAAAGTACTCAATGGCCTTCCCCAAAGGTTACAGATCAATTTCATCGTACTCTTGAGAATTCTTTTTTTCAATTACATTCTAAAAACCCTTCAAGAATCCCGTCCTTTGTTCAGTACTGCACCACCTTGAATTTTTCTAATTTAAATATTGTGTCAAACTCGATTCGATTTCAACAAATTCATTGACTAGTTCATCCACATCTAAATTGATTAAACTATTCATTCTTTCAATTTGTTCCTCACTTTAATTGTGACCCTCCTACTCAATATCCACTCCTTTACCATTCTTATGATTTTCTTATTCAATTTAATCACTTTACTCCTGATTTTACTCATTGATTTATATCAATTTGGCCCTCTGCAATTCAATAATGTTATTTTTGAGAGTGTTCTCTCGAACCCCTTTTGGACACAATGAATTAAGTAGATTTTGTATTTCAGTCTAATCATAAAAGCCCCATTATTATTGTGATCCATCGTCATCAATGATAGAATGTCTCATACAAACAAAGATTTTGTCAGGCTCATATAGAAAGAAGTAATATGAACTGTGTTTGGCATCCTGACCTAAGCACATGGAGGGATTTAACAATAAGGCTGGCATTTAAGTGATGGCCAATTCCTAATAAGAATGGAAGGCTATTTTACCTTGTCTTGTTAATTATATCTTTCTGTTAAGGAGGCTATTTCTTTTTCTAATTTTGAGTACTGTTATTTTAATTTTTGTGCCTATTTTTAGGCTTGTTCCATTTATTTTGTGAACTTCTGTGTTTCGACTCTAGTTAAACCATCTTGTTGGAGTTGAGACTATGAAATAACATAAGAGAGAATACTTGGGCAATCGAAAAGTTGCCTTCAGCCTCAATGATTTCTTTGTTGATATCAATTTGCTGACTTCTTTGTTGTTTTATTTGTGTTCCCAATTGTTGCTTGATTCTATTGTTGGACAGGAGATTTTCAGTTCTGAATTGATACAAAAACTGTGTTTTCTTTAGGCCTGTTAACCCATCAGACAAGGCTATAAGCAATTTGCACACTTTTTTGATGTCAGTGTAATCGCTAAAGTCTATCAAATCTTGTGCCAAATGTAATATTCCTTATTTATAGATATTGGTGGGGAGCGACTTGATGTCATCTCTCAATAACTCGTAATATCGAATTCGATTGGTGAACCACATGTATCCGAGAAGATGCCAATATGGGATTTTCTAGGAGTATATTTGATATGAGTTACGTAAGACTGTTTTTACATCTATTCCTAATCCAGATCCTCGATGATTTGTTTGAGATAGAAGTAGCAGAAGAAGAGGATCAATTCATCAGGCTTGGTTTTGACGATATGATATATTTCGGACCTACTTTTTTAACTATAGGGGGTGTGGTTGTCTTTGAAATGAATGAGGGTGCCAATGTTATTGACTTGGCTTTACTCTTGTTATATAAATCAATAGGGATACGTTCGGTTTGCTGTTCTCCTGCGTAGAGGATGTCACTCACAATTTTGTCCATATAATTGTAGGTGTCCCATATTTTAAGAACGTCTTCAAAGAGGCTCTGGGGAATGGCAGGATCAAGTTGGAGTTGTGGCTTCTTTTTGATTTCGATGGTAAACAATTATTGGTATGCGGTAAGATATTCATCAAATATGGGAAAAATTACTCTCCCTTATTGGACATAGGTTGGATATTTTTGTTGGAATTCGGTGTGTTTTTTCAATTTATCTTCCTGTGGTTGAAGGGTTTTCTGAAAGATTTCAGGGATTTGGCTAGTTTTCTTCTTTTTCTATGGTTCCGACTCTTTCAATTTTCGCTTGGCCATTCTCTCTATACAGGAGAGACAGTACCATTTGGTGCCGTCCTGGAATTATGGCTCTTTGTTTTAAGTTCGTATGCATTCCTTGTGGTATTTAAAGTGACACCTGATACAGATTATAGTTGGAGTGGATTGAGTAGTCACTTTGCATAATCGACATATAGATTTGTCACCGAATTGTTATTTGCCATCAATTGGCTTTTTCTAGTCTTGTTTCATAGTTATTTTCTTATCTTTCTTGTCCTTCTTCTTTTTTGGATTGTCTTCTTCTTATGATTCCTCAATTATTTCATCTTCAATGTTGACTTCCTCCTCACTGGCCATTAAGTATGTCTGCGAATTATTTCAAATAATTTAAAACTGTGAATCCAAAAGAAGTGCTATTAACTTAATTACTAATATATTATAATATGCACATTTTTTTTTATAAACTTTCCTCAAGTGAGGGTGTACTAAATTCCTCAATTTTATTCGGCCTCCTCCTCCCCTTCCACCCACAACATACACACCCCTCATTTCCATTAATATATATATGCAATAAAATAACAGTGCAATTAAACATCTCATTAAACCATTTTCTTTTGAACTTCCCCAATCCGAATAATTTAACCCACTACTTTTGGACAATCTCAATTGGGATTACGTTCAGGCGAATCTGTAATTCATCATATCTCTCTATTCCCTAGGGATATAGCTCAATGTGGCCCATTTCTCAAAAACTTTGTTCAATCCAACTTCACATCAGATACTATAAGAAACATGGAATTTCGGCAATTCAAGAAAATGTTGGAGGTCTGCCAATTTGCTATGGATTTCTACACTCAAAATCAAGAATAAAAAGAAATAGAAATAGATGAAAAGGTGCAAGTCTTGAGAAACAAACAGGAGTAATTAGAGAAGCTGAAAGAAATCGAAAAACAACATATCGATAAGTAAAATTCAATTAACAAGGAACTTGAACTCTTGAAAGCAGAAGCCAAGAAGGTGAAAGAACAAGCTGTCAAGAATATCATATTCAAATGTCATCATTGTGACAAATGTTACACATCCAAACAAGAATTGCTCAAACACATCGATAACAAACATGTGGAAAAGCAGAAGGATGACATAACCAATCCAGAATACTTGGGCTCGATGTTATAATAGTTGTAATAGCAATAAACTCAATAATAACAATCAATGGCAAACACACAGCAAAGTTTCATGAAGCAACAGCAATTTGGCAACACCATGTAATCTATGCCTGATCCCTTGATGATTGGAAGTGCTGGATTTTAGCAATTAAAGTAGTAGCAAATAGAGAAGATGGAGCAAAAACAAAGGAGAAAGGAAGAAAGAAGAATCAAAAGAGAAAACGATAGAGAAGAAAGGCAAAAACGAATATTGTAACAGGAAGAATAGATGAAGCAATTCTAAAATTAAATGAAGGTCTTGATTGAATAGAAAGTCTAGGAGATGGTTAAGTTGAACAATATGGTGGGATCATAACAACAAGCACAAATCATCTAACAAAAAAAATTGATTGCTGAATTGGAAGAGTTGAAATAGATGAAGTTTGTTTAGAAGGAGTAGAGCATTATTTAATTGGATCCTTAGTAAGTCAATTAATCTAAGAGCAATGATGATGAAAAGATCTTAAATATCATTGACAAAGAAGTCAACGATTTAGACATTTCATAATAAAGTCTGCATTCATAGTAATTGTCCAGGGATCAAAAACTTCAGATCAATAAGAATCAAAAGGCTGGAGATCAATCAGGGATGATGAGTTTCCACAATTATTCGTATTCCCAAAATTCACAAAATATGATCAATGTTAAAACAGAAATGGGTAAGGCTCATTAAATCAAAAACAATCAATTGAATGTAGCTGAAATGGCACATGTGGGTGAGATAGAGAGTGACAATGAAGTGTTGGATCAGGATGGCGATGCTTCCTATTTGAGACCAGTGAACAAGAAGAGTGAAGTGTAACAAGCAGAAATTGAATTCATAGAAGCCATAAGGAAGAAGAAAATCTTAAAGGAGGATCCTTAGGATGACGATGATGAAGATGATCGTGATTTCGATGATTTATTGAACAAGGAAAAACAGAAACTATTGGGTCCCAATACTGAGTCACAGACTAATAAAGAGTTGTTGGAATCTTTAAATAAGATTTAATAGCTATCTAAAGACAAATCTTGAATTATAATATTATTCAAATTAACTTAGCGTATTATTTAGTAAACCCAAGAAATTGAGTATGTATTGATATTTTTATATTAATGAAATCTGCAAATTCAAATTTGCCCAATTCTATTCAACCTGACCAAAATGAAATCAACGAATACATAAAGGAGTATCTTCGGTATTCCTCTTTCGCTAACACTCTTGAATGTTTTGAAGCGGAAATCAAGAGCAAATAAGTTTCCAATAAAGTATTCATCTGCCTAATTCTTTCTTTTAGATGCTTAATAAATAATAATAGCAGAAGTAAATAGGCGATGAGGCTCCAAGACTATTTCAATTGTTCAAGAGTGACAATACAAAAACCAAAAGAGAAATCAATTTGGAGAAGGATTAAAAAGCCTTCAATAAAAAATATCAGCAAATCCTATAGGCTGGAAGACAGATCTTCTCTGTGAGTATCAACCTGCTCCAATTGTTGCATTCACTCAAGGAAACAGCCAAGAATGAGAACCTGAGTGAAACCTTGGAGAATTATAAAATTTAATTGGGGAAATATCATAAAGTGATCATCAATGAAGGTAAACCAGAAGGAACTGAATTGATCACTGAATAAGTTATGCATGAACACAAGACCAAATTGTTTAAGAACTTTCAAGATAAACATGTAGATGGAATGATCGAGGTCTTGTTGTCTCTGAGAGTCAATGCCTTACAGATAGCACCTGAGTTGAGGAAGAATCTGGTCTATGAATTGATTAGAAATGATGTATTCAATATTGAGGCGACAGAGAAGTTTGATTTTGTGGTTCATTTATTGGATATCAACAATCAGAGTCTGAGACACGCTATTACAAGTTTGATTAGTGTCATTAGTAGCACTTTACGAGGAGTGGAATATCTCACATATAATGGGAATATGATTATTATCGAGAAAATCATTAAGATTTTGAAGGAATAAGAGAATGGGTCTGTTACTTAAAGGTTCTGTTTAGCAATTCTACAAAAAGCTAGTATTAAAGATACTGTAATACCAACATATGTTCATAATGAAATGATTTAATGGATCATCTTATTAATACAAAAATCAATAAATACAAAAATTCATATATTTTGTCTTGATTTTGCATCTGCCACATTGGCGAATGTCATTCACACTCCATACACATTACAATATCTTGAAAAACAAGGGAGATTTGCTCATTAGGTTATGGAATAACTGTTAAAGTTCATGAAGGAACAGATTTAAGTAAGTGTGTTGATGCATGTCCTGATTTGTCTGTCGTATTTGAGTAAGGAGAACTTTGCCAAACAGATGGAAGAATGTAGGTTCGTGGAGAGAATCAGCGAATTCGTTGAGTATTACAGTGTAATCAATACAGGTACAGAATCATCAATATGAGTTGAATAGAGAATGAAGCAGCGGAGATAGACAAAAAAACAGTGCTGGATTTGTGTGCTCACATGTTTCATCCAAAAGATACTTCTCTTGATAATTCGGAAACTGTGGAGTTGAATGAATTGAAAACGGAGGACAGGATCAGGGAATATGAAAATGAATAGGGAGAACTAATATTTGAATGTTTTTAGGATGAAGTGAGTTGATTTTGAAATTTATTATTCAATCGATTAATTTAAAAAATTATTCTTGTCCCAAAATGTTTAGTTAAGGAACAAAATTAAAACACCTTTTCAAAAATGAAATAATCCATGTTTATTTATCTAAAATTTGACCAAATTTTCCTTGAATATTTAATATCAAATTTTCAATGATTCTAAAATCTCTTTTCATCTACGATCTTATTATTTATATATAACAATAACTCAATCTTAATGTACAGAGTATTTTTAATAACTCTTAATACTGCTGAAAATGGAATAAAATCCTGTTCCTATCTTTGAATAGACAAAGGATAAAACTAAGTAAAGAAAAGCGATTGATTAAGAGATAAAAACAAAGCTTATATTGAGTGTGGTTAATGACCGTCTTCCCATTTATTAGGTAATGAAGAATTACAATAATTAATTATTTTAGGCAGCAATTCTCCATAAGGTTAAATATTCATCTGCAAAACACATCCTCAGAAATTACTTCAATGACTCAGCTAACTTTTTCTCCACCCAACGAAAGAGAAAGCGAAAAATACTTTGCAATAATGTCTTTGTTTTAATCGACGCATGTTCTGGAAAGATCAGTATCAGGAAATAGTAACCTCATTCGATATCTTGTGCTCACAATGGAGTGACCCCAGTCTTGCAATAAAAATTCATCAGTCAACTTTCTAATGCCATCTATCAAGAAGTTCATCCGATTTAAAGTATAACTAAATTATTCAGTATTCTTAGAAAAACTCAGCAAATACACAAATGAAGCCAATCATATTCAAAAAGACATATATAAGTTATACGATATCATAAAAAAGCAGCATAACGACATGACGAATTTAAAGGAATAATATTGAAATTATCAAAATTAATAATTATTTTACATTGAAATTATAGAACGAGGTGATACTAATAGGTTAGCGAATTAATTTAAAAAATATGTTTAGCTTATTCTCCCTTCTGAAATTCTTAACAAATTTCAATTTATTTCATTTCCTCTGCAACTTACACACGAACCTATTTTAAATATTAAAATTTTGATTAATTAAAATATCAATTATCTCTTTTAAATTACAATAAAGAAACTATCATCTTCTTTATTGCTCTCAAATAAAATAAATCAATATTTTCATCCTTTAATATTAGCAGCCTCCTTATTAATTTTTCATAAAAAAGTTTGATCAATATAATCTAAATTTTCATTCTTATTTCAAATTGTCTCTGTCCTTCAAGGGAATTTAGCAATCTCTCTACCATCATTGTCTTTCTTGTTCCTACTCCTACCCGCATTCAAATCCACTAGATCCAAGCTTCTCACTCTGTTTAGTATTAAGTTTTAAACTCTCCAGAATCAGTACATAAATTGCAATAAAGATTATTAATTAACTTTCTTAAATTCTTTTTATCGTTCGCTGATGATAATATAAATAAACAGATTTTACTTCTTCGTTTTTGAGAATCAAAATTATTCGCACATGAATTGAGTATGAGATTCTAATGATTATCTAAGGTAGTACACTTTCGGAGCAAGATGGAGATATAAACTAAGGTGATCTAATTTTATCAATGAAAAAAAAAGTATTTCCTTTTAAGTCTTAATGTCAAGGATATGGTCTTAAAACTTAAGTACTGATGTTATTATTTCAATTAATGCACAGTTATGATATTATTGACAATAACGTGGATGAATTGAGCGAGAGTATTTCTGATTAGTCTTGTTCATTTGATTATTATTATCATTAATATGACTGCAACCTTCTTAAGAGTAGAGTCATGGTTGATATTTTCCTGTTTAGAGCTGTTTTTAGGAAGGCAAGTTTTGGAAAAGAAGTTTCCACAATTATGCAGAAAGTGTGATAATTGATTGGCAAATCAGGTTAGGCAAATTCTAGAAGGGATTTTGATTGAGTAGAGTGTTTGTATTGGTAAATTTGGGTTCTTGTGTATTTTTCAGATTGAATGGTTTAATTCTCAAATAAATTATATTGATGGAGCATGATATATATATTTGTATATAATTAGTGCTTTAATTAATGGAAATTGTATGTTAATAAAATTTAAATATAGCAATCAATACAAATTATTTAAGAGAACGACTATATATAATTAGTGAGAATCAAGTAATTAATAAATTATTAAATAACAAGTAAAGGATCAAAGAGATGTTTCTGGATCTTGTATTTAATTTTTGCTGCTCGAAACGGCAGAGGGACGAAAAGGATACAAAATCATAAAATAGCAATAAAAGTTAGGAGGAACAATTTTTGGAGCAAAGACGGATTGAGTTGGACATTGGTAAAACTGCAATGAATGAAATGATAAGTAGCAAAAATTATTGAAATTTAAAAGAGTCTAAGCCTGCATCATCGATTGGATCGCCTACGGATAACTATCTACAATTAAATGAAGAAAAATAATAAAAAAAGAGTAGTTTCGAAGAAGACAACATTTAAGAGAATTAGTTCGATTATCGAATGGAGGATGCCAATAGAGGGAATCATTATCAAGTGAAAGATCACTAAGGCGTTCGGTAAGAGGAAATACATATTGTTTTATAATAGTTCCAAATCTCAGGAGAAGGTAGAGAAGGGTTTGAAAAAGAAGATAAGCAAAGCAAAGGAGAAACAAGAAGGAGACAAGAGGGTTGTAAAAATTTGGCAACCCGAAGAGGATTAACGCCTAAGAAAACTGTACTAAGAGTATTAGGGAAATTGGAGCAAAATAATTCAATTTATGCCTGAACGAAATATTTCATAATGTTCCCAGAGATGGAGGAGGATAAATCCCATTCAAGTTTTTATTTGGATGATAATTTTTAGAATAAACAAAAGTGGACTTTGGAGGAAGATACAAAGTTGGTGTAACTGGTTGCTTAGGAAGGAAAAAATTGGACTAAGTTGGCCAGACATTTCTAAGGAAGAACAGGCAAATAAATAAGAGAAAGATATCTCAATAAATTGGATCCCACACTCAATTTTGTACCTTGGACAGAATAGGAGGATAAGGAAATCGTCAAATATTATAATCAATATGGTGCGAAGTGGAGTGTGGTTGCATCCCATTTAAAGGGGAGATCTGTACAATTATGTAATAATGTAGGAAAATATGGTGAAAAACAGGTTCTACTCACACATCTAAAAACACTTGTTGGGTCGACAGAATAAATATCAAATTATTTATAACTCTGGTCACAGCCAATAGAATGGCACTTAATAGCAATAAGAAGGAAATTAAAATATGGATGTTGAATATTCTGATACTTCTAATAGCGAATAAAAGTTAGTGCATTCCGAAAATTATTCAGTATATATCAACTATTATAAGTAGTCTTCAATCGGATCGAGTACCTTTACTTTTTCTTATTATGAAGATGAAGATTTTAGCGGAAATGGTTAAGATTTAATCTATGATAATTAATTTGAATAGGATTTCGATGAAAAAGCCAGAGTTTATTGAATATGTTATTTTTATAGAAATAATAAGTATCAATATCTTAAATATTCTGTGTTGTCTAACATATGTATCATTGCTACCATTAAACTAAAGTCTCAAGTAGACATAAATCTTTTAAGCTGAAGCATACATCTATATTAAAATAATTTGACTATTTAAAAATAACAGCATAGTTAATTAAAATAGACATAAAATTAATTTGAAATTATCAAATTTTGTATTATGTATTTTTTAATAATTCAGCCATATATTGTTTAGCATTTAATTGTGAATTATCATAAATCAAAATCACTTAATTCACATTGCTATTCTATATAGATAGAGCATTTATTATTAATTCAAGTTTCTATATGATTCATTTGAAACTTTGAAAAAATCAATGAATACAAAGTAAAAAAGAGTTTCAATCAAATCAATCTGTTCATTTTTATCCATCTAATGATATAATTTACAGTTGAAATGTTTGAAATTAAGCATTTATTTAATGATTTAAATTTAATTTATTCGTTAATGGGAGCAGACCAAAGTAATGCAAATGAAATGAACACATCATAATAGTACCAAATGTTTTTACTTTCATATTCTAAAGAAAGAGAATCTGATCATAACTAATTTGGGTTAGTAAAGTTGTACAACCACAATCAAGTAAATAATCTGTTAGAATTAGAATAATTCTATGATTTGTATAAAGAAATTATAAACAAAAAGTGAGACAGAATTAACATAGATAACAAACCATTTGAGGAAGAGGAAAATTTATGTGCATCCTAATTTAGTGCAATTATTGGCTGTCAGAACTAGCAATGAATAATCAATTTGTTCTGATTCTAGTTTAGTAATGGTGATTTCAGAGTTTTTTCCAGATACACTTGAAAGTGAGTTAAAAAAGAGAAGGCAACCAGTAAAGAGATATCCTGAATCCCATATTTGGCTATTGATATAATAAATTGTAGATCCTTTAGCATTTTTGGAAGACTAGAAGTAAGTGCATGGAGATATCCAGCCTTAGAATATTTATTTGGATGAGAGTGGAAGTGTAAAACTGGCTGAATATAATTATTTTCCTGGAGGATAAAATGGATTTTAGAAAATGCTATTAATTAAGGATAAAGCCTATCTTTCTCCAATCTTATTAGATAACTATAGAAACATGAATTTTAAAGCACAACACAATGAATATAAGAGTGATGTATTCTCCTTTGGGATGACTTTGCTTGAAGTTCTACTCTTGGAAGAGTCATATGATTGCATGGATTTTCAGAATGGATGCATAATATAAAATGTGGTTGATTCAAAGTTATAAAAAGTAAGGAGATTAAATTATTCACAATTATTAACTAATTTTGTAAGAGAACTATTACAAATTGAAGAAAATTTAAGACCGAGTTGGAATGATTTGAAATAAGTAATCGATTAATTCAGAGATAAAATCTTCAATTTGATACCATTTTATCAAGATAAACGATAAATGTCTCCTAATAAAGTAGTGTATTAATCAAGCTACGTACCTCAACAATAAATATTGAGTTCACCCTAATCAAAAATACTCAGTTCTCCAAGATAACCATAAATGTTATATCAGACATATCATCAACCATAACCATTATACTAAACTAAGTAAATGCCATAAATACCAATGCAATAATCAATATATTTTGAATCTGGATAGAAACAGGTACCAATAAAGAAGATAACAAAATTAGAAGATTCAGCATCTAAATAAATGTAATAACCAGAGAACAATTTAGAAAAGACTACTTTAAAATAATCTGACACTAAATGATATTATTATTATTTATATTAACCTTAAGAGAGAATATATCTTTAACATTTCAAACAATCTTTAAAATATCAATTAATTTTATTGTATTAACAAACTGAGGTTAAACTTTGTAAATTTTTAATTTTTCTGCATGTTTCTTTAGTTTTTTTAAATATTAATCAATACTAAAGTTTCTTATTCATTACTCCATTCTCTAAGAGTATTTTATTGATTGCCAAAAAAGGTTTAATAAATTTTGACATTTTCTGCTAAGTAAAACCAATAAATGAATAGATATGGAACACAATCGCTGATATAAAGTAATTCAATAAAGAGATAGATCAGATTATTATATATTGTAACGTTGCTTCATAAACCAGAATGATATCACTCTTAAAATAATAATTCTAAACATTCCCTATAAAAACACACTTACTCTCTAAAAGTTTATAAAACTAGCAGTTTAACATGACCTCTATCTGGAAGTAATATTACATGAGCATTCTGTTTCTTCACAAAGTTACATACCCTGAATCTAGTTCCAATTGCAATTTAGACTGGGGATTAGTCTTGCTTTACCATCTATAATTGTAAATTTAGATTAAGATTACCTAACACAAATTCACTCATGAAATCAGCAATTACTTCTGTTTCTATTTCAAAGGGTTTACTAAATATTAAGGGTAGTGATTATAAGAATCAATTTTGAGTTGAAGTGATTAGTGGGTTATGCTTATTCAATAACAAGCGATTTTAATTTGTTATTATCCACAAGTGTCTAATATTGATGGCAATAGCATGTTGGTTGTAGGTTCCACGTATTTCCAAAGTGGCTTTTGATTATTACATTTAATTAAAATGAGTTATAACCACCACTAAATTGTAGAGAGATGGTTGAGGCGATTCAGGGGGTGTTTGAATTTCTGTTATGGAAGCGATTCTCAGATGATAACGATGGAATTGCATAAAGGAGGTGTTCAATTGCTGAGCGTGCCTTAAAACAAAAACATATTCAACACAAGGAAATACAGAGTAAAGTTCATGATAATGTTAGTTATATAACTTTTTACCTAAAACATTATACTCTGCTTTGGAAAGATTCGGAAACATCTATCTTTTAGGTATTTCCTTAATAATGTTGATTGATCCAACATTAACTCCGTTTTATAGATGGATCACCATCTTCCCTGTTGGATTGAGTGTGATATTTTATATCCTGATGGAATTCATATTAGACATACGTAGACAGAGTCATGATCATAAAATAAATATGCAAACAACATCCAGAGGAGCTAAAGATGGCTCACTAGAATACATAAAATGGAGTGATATTCAAATTGGTGATGTTCTCTACTTGATCAAGGGTGACATAGTGCCTGCAGATATCATCTTATTGGACACGGGATAAGTGAGAGATAGAGAGGCAATCTGCATGGTAGACACTCAATACTACGATGGCAAATCTACTTTGACCAAGAAGAAATCATCATACTTGACTCAACTGATAGTCTTAAGAACAAGATTGAAGAATCAATTTCCAGAATACAGAAAAATGTTAACTGGAAAACTGGAATACGAAGCACCTAATGGGAACACTGAGAAGTTTCATGGAAGATTAAAATTAAAGAAGGATCCCAAAAACGAAGAATTAACCATAGACAATTTCATCCCCAAGGGCACAAAGATTAAATAGACCTCCTGGCTATTCGGTTTAGTTGTCTACGTTGGCGAAAACACCAAAACCATGTAGAGTAGTCATTACAATGCACAGAAGCATAGTTTCGAAGAAAAGCAATGTAACTTCTATTCCTTCCTCATGGCTTGCTTGTCCCTCTTCTTTACTTTGATTTCAATCATCGTCCTGCTTGCGAGATCAGATGAAGGTAATTTTGCCTTATTGATCGATACCAACACTACCAATGGAATGAAGGTTTTCCAATTGGCAATCCTGTATGCCTAACTAATTCCATCCACTCTTTATCTACTATTAGACTTTGTTAACTTCATTTCACTATTTAAATTTGAGATCAATTAAATTGAAGATAATATTACCAAGTATGTTAAAATAAACTCGTCTAACAACTTGAGTGATTTAGGACATGTTGATTACATGTTAATTGATAAGACTGGCACTCTGACTACATCATATTACAAATTGGATAATCTTTTGTTTGGTTCCTTATCATTTACTTTGAATTATGATTAATTGCAATCAACATTGAATTTAAAATCTGCTAAGCCTGAGGACAATGAGGATCCAGTCAAATTCGCTAGCATTAATGACAACAATGAGTATTTGATCCCATTTGAATATGAGAGAAAGAGCAGTCCTTCAGATGTCCAGCCAAGTGGGAAATTGTTGTTGAAAAGTGTTAAAACCTCAAATAACAATCCTGTGTTTAGTCAGATAACTGCCTTGCCTTAGAATAAGAGGATGACGATGTTAAATATGATGGAGAATTCACTATAACAACCCTTGGCTGATTATTTGTAAACTCGAATATTTTTGCCTCAGCCGAAAACGAGAAATAGTCCTGGGAACAACAATGATGAGTTCATTCAATTAGTGAATTAATTAAAAGCCAGTTCTCCCCAAAAGGAATACTTATCTACTGATGATATCAATACATTGTATTACGACGCATTTCTGAAATGCTTGATGTTGTGTCACGAGGCTAGACCGGTGTTTGGGGCTGATTCCATTACTTATGAATCCTTTTCAAAAAACGAGGAGATCTCCTTAACATTTGCTCGTTCTTGTGGTTACTCACTTGAAAATTTCAATAAATTTGATAGTCCCGATATGTACCTATGCAAGGTGAGAGGAAATCCGATTTGGTATCAGATATTAGGATTGAATTTGTTTACATACACCAGAAATCTTAATTCAGTTGTGATATAGGCACCTGTGACGATGGATTTGGAGTTGAAGCAAAAGTGCGAGGCCATCAATCAACTATGCGGGGAAGGATCGAAAAACAATTCATTATTGATTTGCAAAGGAGACTATGAAGCAATAAAAACTAAATTGTAATTAAATCATAAGGAAAGAGAAGAGTTAGACTCCTACATCTAGCATTACAAATAGAGGGGAATCAGGATGATCATCTATGCTACTAGAGTGTTGAGTGAGAGGGAGACTGAGAACTACAAACAAAAATTCAATTTGCTGCATAGTTCTCTGACTAATCAAGACATATTGCTTGAACAATTGGCATTAGAATATGAAAAAGAATTGAATATTATGGGGATGATTGGATTTAAAGAAGAATTGAAAAACGATGCCTTAGATTTCATCAAGACAGTGAAGGATTGCAATATCAATATTTGGTTGTTGAGTGGAGATTAGGAAGTGTAAACAATCAGTTGTGCATAATCTCTGGAAATGACTGAGACATCAAAATACCTGAGGATTGTGGCCACAGAGAAAGAATAGATATGGCTACAGATCAATACAGCAATAGGACAGATCTAAAGTGAATTACAGAAAATTCAAGAGAAGTAATAAGATAAGCATTAGGATGAGAACTTGATGGTTAGAAGTATGATTAAATCGAGTGTCACTCTTTTTGAAGGAGCCTCTTATTAACAAGTCTTGCAATTTGTTCTGATTGTCAATGGCCATTCTTTATCCTTGATAAGTGAATCAGCTGATTTGATGAGTCATTTCAGATTCTTATCTTGTGTATGTAAGAATGTAATAGGGTTCAATATGAATCCATAATAAAAGGAATTAGCTTGTTTGATTATTCGTAATTACTTTCCTAACAACCCTACTGTTCTTGGTGTGGGAGATGGATACAACGATGCATTGATGATGCAGGCTGCCAATGTCAGTATTGAGATCATAAACAGCAAAAGAAATCACATTTACCCTCAAGTAAATGCAGGAGACATAAGCGTAAATACTCTTTCTGAAATCAAAGTACTCTTATTGTAGAAGTGTAAATTGCACAGTGAAAGAGTGTCAGCCATGATCATCTATCTGTTTTATTGTGCTGGTTTCTTAGGAATGACACTCTTCTTTTTCAATTGGTTCTGCCAATTCACAGCCACATCATTGCATGATTCAATGACAGTATTTCTATACATCTTTTTGTACACTACTCCCAATGCGTTAGTCATCGGTTTAGCTGATAAATAAAGTCAGCCTGCCGTGAATGCTAGGTTTCCAGCTTTCTACATTGATGGATAAATCAGAACTCGCAGATTCTGGTTCTTTTATCTCATTGAAGGTTTCTTAGAGTCCTTCATAAGTGCAGCCTATACATTTTATGCTTGTACCTACATGGTTAATTATGCATGGACAAATGATGGTCACTAATCTGATATTCAAATGGTAGCAACATCAATCATTTATTTACTTATCACTGTGTCGAGTCTTAAAGTGTTGTTCAGACTGTTCTACAATAAGGTGAACATAGTGATAATAGTCTTCCTATTTACTTTTGGATTGTTGGTAGGATTTGTTTTCATCAATTATCGGAGAGATTTCAGTAATTTTGATTATTAGGAATTGACTTATTAGTTATTTACAAGATTCAATAGCATTGTCGCCATGGTATTTAGTCTCATAGGTTGCTACTTTATCAATTACTTTTTACATAATTTTATAAAATTGATATACTTTCCAAATGCATATTAGTAATTTGCATTCTAAAATACAACAGGCACAGAATGGGAAATTATTAGAAACTAAGAGATTTTGCATCAATGTCTAGATTAACATGTGTAAATAATTAATAATATTAAACAATAGTAATGTGTCTTCAATCATACAGAATTTGTTCATTGATTGCTCAGCAACTTCACCTTACATCTAGGAGATGCTGAATCCAGGAGACACCAAAGTAACCGAAATGAAATTGAAGCCTCTCACACTTGAGATGAAGGAATTGGTTCTGGAATAAAAGTTTTTAGCCCACAAATTGATGCAATCTCTGAAGCATTTAAGACTCTTCTTATGCATCCTATTAATATACTACATAGCATATTGTTTGACAGACTTCTTTATGACGGATAAAAGAGTCTTTACGGGAGCATACTATTTGGTCGTATTTGGAATAATCTTTTTTATAATACTGTTTTCTTGTAGTCAGGCGATGGAACTGTAGTATTATACTTACTCTCATCTAATAGTGCTGATCATATTTGCCATTAAAGTGGCGATAGATTGGTTATCAGATGATCTGACCATAACTCTATCCGCCACCATAGTGATCCTATTCAGTACATTTAATTCGATGAATATGAGTGTGATTCCAATAATGTTGTACAATGTCTGTTATTTGATTCAACTCATTGTAAGAATCTTGATAGTTGTGATTTCAACAGATCTCAGTACCTCTAATGGAACCTATTCTCAAAGTAGAGTGTCTGTGTATGCAGCCAGCACTCAGATTCTGTTGGTTGTGAGTATCACTATTCGATTTTTGTTCAGTTATTACAAATCTATAAAACATAGAAGAAACGATTATTTAGCAAAGTATCAAATTGAGCAGGATAATGTGGCTGCCCAAGACATACTGAGAATATTGGTGCCTGGATTTGTGAGACAACAGATTTAAACAGGCACATTTTCAATGCAACAGGCTTAGGATGATGTTTCAATATTGTTTGCTTACATCTGTGATTTTGACACCATAATGAAGGAGGAAGGCAAGAATGTGGTGTTGATGTTGGATTCATTGTTTAGATTGTATGATAATTTGTGTATTCAACATGGAGTGCAGAAGATTGAAACTGTTGGGTATACATACATGGCTGCCACAGGAATTAAGGCATGCGAATAAAATATGACAGCTCATGTGACAAGGATAGAGAAGACTATGAGATTAGTTAATATGGCATTCGATATGATGTAGTAAGTGCAAGGGAGAAAGTATGGAAAGGGTAATCAAATTGAGATGAAGATTGGAATACATGTGGGTCGAGTCATTGCAGGTGTGATAGGTCATCATAAACCGCAATTTTCTTTGATAGGTGATCCTGTCAATCAGACTAGTAGAGTGGGTTCCACTGGAGATACAGGAGCTATAACATTGAGTGAGTAGGCTTTTAAATAGGCAAGACATGGGATCAAGTACTATGAGAAGAAATAGAAGGAAGCTAAAGGTTTAGGAATCATAGACACTTATCAAGTTTTCAAGACTAAACCAGCTGGTTATTAAATACCAAAGGCATTTCAATTGTGGTAAAATTGTACAAAGCTAGTGGTGAAAGAATTACGGTAGCATAGAACTTCAGGAACCAAAAAATAAGGATAATTTTTATCATAATTACAGAACTCAATATACCAGGACAATTTGCAAAAATCAAATAGACTTGATGCATCCCCTAGAGGACAGTAGACAGTTCAAATTTTACTGCCTCAAGGAGGGTCAGCTCAAGAAGAAATTAGATCAAGGTTAACTATTCCAGCACAAATAACTGAGCAAATATTAACTGATGATTCAATTTTGATTACAAACGAATAGGAAGAGAAAGAATTAGAATTAATTAAACCAAATCTTATATTAGATATACCAGAGAATGAGATAAAATCGAATTTCTATTAAATTCTCAAGGAATAAAATGTTGATGAATCTAGAATAGGTATGATATTTTTATGGATAACTTATTTTGTAATTACTCTGTTGTCAATTATAGTTCGTAAATTGTTTAAGCATGACTTATTGATCTTCGTCTTGAGAGTAATAGTTTAATATTTATATATAGGCTATTTTCCTGATTTTATCATTTGTTCTATTCCCAATTCTGTCAAAAGCTTATAGAAACAGAACAGTGAATACTACGTATTACCTATTACTCATTTATGCTATCTTCACTGTGCTCTTCTAGGCATATTTAACTGACAATAGAGAAGTAGCAATTATTTGTCTCCTTGAAATACTGTACATAATGATTGTGTCCTGCTAGATGAAGATGTTTTCTTTTCTGTAGGTAATACTCTACATGATGATCATGTTTGGATTATTCTTAGGATTCTACATCTCTACTGACTTAATCACTCATTATGCGATTTTCTATATTTGTTGTTGCATGCTCATTCTATTACTAGGTTACTATCTCGCAATGAGTGAATAGATACAAATGTTCAACAATCTATAGATCAATGAAGAGAAGAAGGTCAAACGAATCAATCTTGTAAGTTAACTGTTGCCTATGCATTCCTACCTCAAAATGAAGAACAGTTCCATCTATGATAAGAGTGACTTCATAGATGAGTTTGATGACGTGACTCTCCTCTTTGCTGACATCAAAGGTTTCACAGAGTACTCTCACACTCAGAGTCCAGAAGGTGTCGTACTCATGTTGAGAAATCTCTTCACTGAATTCGATAAACTATGTTAAAGATACAATGTCTACAAAATGTACACCATTGGCGATTGTTATGTTGTCATGGGATTCACTAATAGTGCCAAACGAAATGTATTCTCTCATATCCATTTATGTAGCCTATCCAAGAAGCCATTAATACTGTCAAAATGGGATTTCAGATGGTCGATATCATCATGTCTGTGAGGTAGAAGATCCAATTTGACAAATTGAATATGAGAATAGGTATTCACACTGGTTAGGTAACTGGAGGTATCATTGGAACTGATATTGTCAGATATGATATCTATGGAAAAGATGTCTCCATTGCTAATAAAATGGAAAGCAGTGGAGTGGAAGGAAGAGTCCAAATCTCTGAAACAACTAAATTGATGATAGAGAGAGCTGGGAAACATGCTTTCAACTTCAAATTCCATCATGTAAAATACGAGTTTGTATCTTTAGGATGTTGAGTTGAACAAATTCAATATGAACATCAAAGGATTTCTTGTGGATTGGGACAAAAAAAGAGAAGAAGCCAGTCTGGATCAATACAGATCGCCAAGTCGCCATTTATGATGCAAAATATAAAACTTAATGTCTAAATTATTATGTATGCATAATTAATTTCTCTAAAACCTTTCTCAAATTCAATCAGCTTTCTTTGTGCTCTCAGTTGTGTGCTTCTCACCCTTTCCTTTAGTTGACACCTTGGCTGATGCCTTTCTTGCAAGCAATTGCTTTCTGTCTTCATTTAAGTATGGTTTGGTGATGATGCATTGTGATGCTCTGATTGGTATTTAATATGGCATTCCTATCGTTATTATGAATTGACTCTACCATTTGCCTTGGTTCGTGTCAACTTCTCAATCTGAATTGTCCATCTCTTTCTATACACAGATGAAACCTTTCCCTTTGTTCCCTTGTGAGTGCCTTTCCATACTACTTTATTCATACCTCTAACAACTGTCACCTCGTCATCCTTTCTCACTGGTAATGCTCTAACATTATATTTTTTTCTCAAATCTTTTGATAAATGTGCACTCATTAATTTATATCTAATGTTAGATGGAGCACCGAGTTGAGCTCTTCTGCCCTTTCTTCTTTGACTTGACACTTCTGTATGAGTTTTCATTTGAAAAGATTTAATTAAAAAATTAATTTATTGTTTTCTGGTATAAATTAGTTATTCAATAACATTATTTAACACTTCCTTTTGGCAGAATCAATTCATCTGAAATAGGTATTCCAATCGTTGAGATGTATAACAATTTACTTTGAATATATAATATACTCCTATATCATCTAATCAACATTGCATCATCATCATATTTGATTAAACTGCATATTTTCATCATATTAATATTCCAAATATGAAAGTTATTATAATTCTAAGCAACACACTTATTTTTATATGAGAATTTGCAACCCAACTAATAAACTCTATCATTAACTCAGTTGGATATACATCAACTATCTAATATTTTAAATGAAATTTTCAGAATTATGGCTATTTGTGAATGAAAATGGACCACCGACTTTGTAAAGATCCTCAGAATACAGGATATCAAAATGAGGTACCAAGATTATATTGGAATACTTATGACTAATGATAAACTCAGGATAATGTGTATAAACAAGCTGAACCTTTGAAAATAATCAAAAAGGCAGATAGCTTGCCAAAATCATTGCTAATCCAAATTACAGTAATGAAAAAGACTTAAATTAATAAATAACTTTATTCTTATGATGATTCGAAACTATTGTAAAGAACACTATCTCCATAGTATTACTTGATGAAAATCTAAATGATTTTGAGTTTCTTTTATTATCATCTAATTCATACCCTTCATTTAATAATAAATTTGTTGATTCCTATTAAATACTTCTTGTTTCTAACACATTTACCGTCTTCTAAATATTAGACATCTTTAAGTCTTTATTAAATTTTAATAAGCTTGAGAGAGTGTATAAATAGTCAAATCTTCATAATTAAATGATAGATGCTAATTAATCAATCTCATAGCCATAAGCACTAAGGTGAAGAAGTTAATACATCTTAAGAGTGCAATCAAGACAAATCTTCAAATAACTAGCAACTTTAAAAGGGTTCCTTCCATTAATGTAAAACATCATTATTTGATTAGAATCGCTATAATATTGTTTTACATTTAAGCATTATTTTTCAGAAATTGGCTTTCATCTCAATACTATTTGCAAATGATAACCTCTTCATTCAAATAAAAGTGTGTACATCAAAAAGACAACATTTACCCAATTGATATCTATTTTGTATTGATATTTCTTTAATTATTCTTAAGTCTAGTTGAGAGAGATTAGAATATTCAGAAACATAAGCTAAAAATGAATATTTTCACACAATAAAGGCAAAAGAAAATAGAGTATTTATTTTTCAGTCTAAAAATTTTAGGTTTTTATGTTTTATTATTTTAATTGTAAACAAATGTTGAACAAATCATCCAACTAAAGAAGGAGTTTAAATTAATTATTATTAATGTTTATATTAAACTAATTCATGCTCCAAAGCCATAAAGAGTTCTGCCTTATCTCTTTAAGGAGTACACAACATCCATTACGGTAACTGTCTTTCTTCTGGCATGCTCTGTATAGGTGATAGCATCTCTAACAACATTTTCTAAGAAGCTCTTCAAAACATTTCTTGAGTCATCATAAAGGAATGATGAAATTCTCTTAACACCTCCTCTTCTTGCTAATCTTCTGATAGCTGGCTTTGTAATTCCTTCAATGGATGCCTTGTTTGGTTTTCTTGCATGTCTCTTTGCGCTGACCTTGCCAATTCCTTTGCCTGATTTTCCTGCCATTTTTATTGATTTGAATTAATGAAAATAAAAAAAGTAGGTTGTATATTGTAATATTAATCCGAATAATTGATAAATCAACCAATCATAATTTTTGTTTAGAAAAGTTAATTTATATAGGTCTATATATATATTACAAAATATAATTACTTTCCATCCAATTCTAATCCATTCATATTTGCTAAAACTGTCAATGCCACCTCAGTAGTGGCATATTTCAGGATACACAAATACTTGTTGCCAGTAGATAGAATTCTAATTATAACATTGATTTTACTTCAACGCTTTGATTTATCCAAAATCTTGCATATATTATTACATTATAGAATTTTGACAAGAATTTCTTGTAAGATTAGAAACTTAGATTGTGTCACAAGGTGGAGCAAGAGTATAAGTGGAATCAGGTTTGATACGGTGAGTTTCTTCTCCTCCTTAAAAGTATTCCTCTTGGGTTTTTGGATCGGAAGCAATTTCACCTGGTTTGGTTGGTTATGTTTTTAAGGATATTTCCTCATAATTTGAAAAAAAGATCTAATTAGTAAGTGGTAGATACTTTGATTTATTATCCATAAAACATGATGTCATTCAAAGCCTCTTTGGCTATAGCTGCATGACCCTACATCACATATTGAATGAGACAACTTGATCTCTCCTTGAGATATATCATCTTGTCGATGTTGCCATAGATGCTGAATATATTGTAAAGCATAGCCGATGTGACAACTTTCTTGTCGAACCATCTTGCATAGATGACTTTAGATTTGCGTAGAGCTAAACTAAATCAATAAAAGAAGAACCTTTAAAAAATAGGGGATTCACATATTCTTCAAGTTTCTCTTATTATTGTTGCAGAGTCTGACTTTTTGAAGTACTTTATCTCTGGATCTTGCCTTTGCTGATCAATTGATCAATATTGTCGACACTCCTAGATGATTATTCAATGGTATTTTGCTGCGTTTGTTTTTCAACTTGATGAGCCACTTGATTATCATTTTTGTCAAAGAGCATATCTTGATTCAGTTTATTGAAGATCTTCTGTTTTTCTCCTTCAGTGAACTCTTAATTCTGATCAACGAACTTGAACAATTCATTGTTGATGTCATCTTCATCGTTTTCAATCTCATTATCGCATTAGAATAGTTCTTCTTCGTATTCCTGAAGATTGTCATCCTCTCCTTCTGAGTCTCTCAAACCCAATCCATTGAAATTGAGATCCTCTGCTTTCGCAACGCTCTTCCCCTCACTCAAATACATTTTCTGTACCTGCATTTGATCAATCAATTTATCAGAACTATGGAACATAACATCCTTAGTAACATCGGTTTCATGATAACTCTGTATGAATTCAATCTAATCCCCATTTTGAGCCTTCTTGTCATTCGGCAATGTTAGTTTCTTCCTATTTTGTTTGCCATTGTTGCTAGATTGCACACTGATTGACTTTTAATCGTCGAGTTGGTTGTATTCCTATAAGAAGTTTTAGTAATTGTCTGTGAGATTAGAAAATTTTAGTTAAAAGTCGTAAATGTCCTTCAAAATCGACTGCTGCTTCTCGATCTGATTCTAAAGGTCGGTTGTCTATTGTAAAGGTGTGGCAAAGCCTTCTGCACAGGCCTATTGCAATTGTCCCATCAAAGAATTGATATGCTGAATTTGCTGAGACATTTGGTGTTAGAACTGCATTTGTGATTACAAGAATTAGAAGTTTTATTAAGGAGGAATGGGATTGCTTTTGATGGACGAAGAAGATTAAGTCACTTCATTTGGAGGTGAGGATTCCTTTTTTCTTAACTGAGTGTAATCTACCAATTAATCACACTCATACCTACTCCCCCAGTGTTGTTTTCTTGGAATGTGATGTAAGTCAATTTGCTCGCATACACATTCATCAACAATGTGTTATCATCACAGAAGAATTTATCATTCATCTATGATCTAGCTTTTAGTGCTGATTCTGGATTGTCGAATTCCACAAAGGTTTTCCATGTGAGTGATCTCTCAAAGATGAGCATCTAAACAATATTAGCCCAACACTTACTCTCTATATGGTACCAAAAGGGCTAAACACTTTAAAATATTTATCATGACTCAAGGTTTTGTTAGCTTTGTTAGTTATTACAACCAAAATCACATTAGTGCGGGGAGGATCAGAGTTTCTTTCGATTTAAGAATTCATAATTAGATTTAGAGAAATTTAATATTTATTTATTGTTTACATCAAATGCAAATTATAAATCTATACAGATTTCTGCAAATTGTCTAATCTTGCTTATCTCTTTAGAATACCCTCTCTTCAATGTAATCCAACATTCCTTAAACACTCCGCTTAAATTTCTATTCCATAGATAAAATATCTTTCTCGAGGTTAGTTATGATTATCAACACATTGAATTTATGTATGTATTCTAATAAGATTGATTTTGAAGTCCTTTTTAAACAGACAAAAAATTAATTAAATTAGGATAATGACAAAATCTCATAAAATAAGATCCTTAATTTTTAAGTAATCAATTATTAAGTTTATTAATTATTTGTCTTTTTATTCTAAAGAGCAATCTATTAATTTGTATTATTGCTTGAAATCTGTCACCGTGTATATCATTTTATACTTTAAATAATTCTTTCATCATTTCATCTTCATTAAAAGATTATGGTAAATTCAGGGTAAATTAGACATAATTTGCTTAGCAATTAAGTTTATATGTTATATGTTACTAGTAGTTAGAATATCACTAGACTCTACTCTCATGTTATATAGAACTTAAGTCACAAAATATGTAGTTTATTTTCTTGTATTTTACAAATAAATTTAAATAAATATCTATTCTCATAAGCTAATATCATTAAGTTGTTTATATATAAACCTGAAGTATCAACTATTTACAATAAAGCCTTACTTTGAAAATCATAAATGTATAAATGCTATTTCGTGTATAGTTAATCACTAAATTGCAATTTAGATTAGAAATTTATGAAAATTGAATTAGAATGCACGACTTAGAATTGAGGAATCCAAATATTTTATTTTTATGTAATTAAAATATTAAACATTGTAAAATACGATAATATTTACATTGCGAACTCTTTTTAATTATATATTTAGCTTTTAATAAAAAACAAAATATCATGAGGATTGTTTTATTAATTATTTAATTAATAGATGAGTGAATAGTAAACTCAAAATAGCATTTACCCATTTTATTAATTTTGTTTGGAAGGACCATCACAAAACTTTTTGAAGTGTACTAATTGTATTATCTTGGGTGTTACTATTCTTACATTACTTTCTATTCTGATTCTACAATTGCAAAGGAGATACAAGGTAGGAACTAAGAAATTATCAAAAAAGTGCATCATTTTGTACATGATTACGACGAACTTTCTAAGTAATCATGACAACCTATTCAAGTATTATTTGTAGAATCCTCCATCATAAGCAACAAATACTTGACCCAATCAGAACCTTACTTCAGAACTACGGTGTTCATCTTCTTTTACTATTATATTAGTCTTAAATTAAGTAAACTTTTAACAAACAGGAAAAGAGCATAGACAAAATTCAGAAGCCTTGCTATGTTCTTATTTGCCCTTGTGCTAATTGGCTTAGTATTTGTATTTGTAGAATTGATTAAAGAAGACCAGGTTTTCTATGAGTGCTATTGTAAGATATGACTAATTCTAGTTAAATATAGTTTGGTTTCTAAAATATTGGGAGGGTGCACTACTATAATTTTGATTGTCTTTAGTGCAAAGCTATAAAAAAAAGTGGATGAAAAAGTCAAACCACTTTACAAAGATCTACCGCTGTTACAGATGAAGACATTTTAAAATAATGAAACGCAAAGGGAAGACTTGAGAATGATAATTGTAATGTGCAGTGCTTCTTAATTTTTAACAATATTCTAAATGATTTACTTTTATATAAAGGAACAAATCAACGTAGAATTACAATTTCCTAATTGCACTCCATGTTAGATGATCCCATGTCTACAGATGTCACAAAATAATACGATTGCCTTTGAGCTCTTCTTGAGATTGTCATTTTTCACAATCATCATCATTTTACCATATATTGCACTCCTCTCCTTCTTCTGGGTCAATTCGACTTAATTGCATAATGACTATGTATTAGATTTATATTTAAAGTCTATTTAGCAAAGAACAATATCCAATGAGGAGGACATTTGGATTAATTTCTTTAAGAAAATGGGATATGAAAAATCCAAGATGGATTTATCAGAAATAACAGAGTAATAAGAAATATCTTCATCATCAGATCTGTCTAAATGATGACTAGTTAATATAATTATAATATTAATTATACTTATAAATAAGATTTGCTCTAAATTCAGAATCTATTGAATCTTAAGATTAGCAAATTCTTTTCTTATGAAATTGTTATCATGATAATGAGATATATTAGATACCTAATATGATTAAATTATATTGTTTCATAAATCTGTTTTTTGAATGATATTCTTTTCTGGAATATCTTTTACATACTAACTCAATAATACTCATTAAACAGACCAATAATTAATATTTTCTAATCATGTCATACTAATAGAATGAAGTAATTATTAAAATCATAATTATAAGGATTATATATATAATAAAATAGTAAATAGTTAAGCATTTATAGAAGTATAATGGTTAAATGAATGCTAGAAAATGGATTTCAAATACTCATTTTTTAATATGGAGTAAAACACCATTAGAAAGAAACGAATTATTAATTTTCTCATTTACTGAGCCAATAAAAAAGAGTTGCAAAACATATATTATATTTACAGAATTTGTTATTGTTGTAAAACTATTAAAAACCAATTTAATTGGATAATTGTAAAATCTTAGGTCGAAAGACAAGTAGTTATATATTGAATAGAATATCTATTAAATTATTCGATCTTATTTAATGAGGATAGATTTACTATTGGAGGAGTAGGATAAGTCAAGATTCAATTTATTTTTTTTAATTGGTTTGAATGAATGTAATACATAAAGAAATTAAATAATATTGAATATTTTAAAAAATATAAAATTTCATAATATATTTATAATAAAATTAAAATATATAATAAATGAATTGTGAAAGTGGCAATGTTAACAAAGACAAATTCTTTAAAAATATATTAAATTTATGAGTCAGCTAAATTATCGGATGCAAATTAATTTAATGTTTAGAGGGGTCACTTTTAAGTTAGATAGCTAAAATTAATAGTGTAATAAATGATTGAACTTCTAAATAAATTTGATATAGCGGCGAATAAATTACAATTAAAGTAATGCTCTAAGGAATTGTCTTTAAGAGTGAGGATTCTATGATCTTGGGGCAAGATTAGAGATTAAAGTAATTCATTATACTAAAAATAGGAATTTCATAGGAGATATTAATATAAATTGGTTCAAATACTTAGTCTTAATTAAGCATAGTTATGTTTAAGTCGAAAAAAGAAAAGGATTAGTTTGAGAATAAAAGAAGTGGGTATTGTTGCCTCTGGTTTACAAAATTTTGAGTATATCCATATATCTCATTTTAAAGATTAATAAATCATTTAAGAATTGAGCATTTGGTAAGCTCTAATGAATATGCGAGATGAATTTAAATGAGAGTAGATATATCCTTTAATTATGATCGAGAAGATCGTAGAGGTCCTAGGAGGTGACTTGAATTTGGAAATGAATGGTTGAAGTGCAAGTTTCGTATGGATTTATCTTATTTAATGATTATGTGATAAAAAGAATAAAATTAACCGTGTTTTTGTTTAATAATTATAATGAGAATGTTTAACATTAGTTTAAATTGTCAATTTGTGTTGAAAATCATTTCATTAGTTTAATGAGTCATTATAGGATGCCATGTCCTCCAAATGATACATATGATTAATAATTATGTATATTAATCTTGAGTCATTTTATTTATTCTCTAAGTTTAGAGACTTTGAAATTAATTATTTATGGAAGTTCTTATGGTGTAATATAAATATTAATTAAACTTGCTCTTAGCGATTTTATTATGTAAACAAGAAATTGGAGAAAGAAAAAATAGCTTTTGGAAAAACTAGCTCGAAAAAATGAAGCAAGTAATAGAGCGATATATAATTGATAGTAGCATAGGCTAAAAATGACCAGTAGTTATCTGAAAGTAATAGGGAGTTTTTCTAGAAGTTCTAGAATTTCTATGAAAACGTCAAGGACATATCGATTCCGTCCTTATAGTAATGTATTTTTGTATTCAGGTTTCTGTAAGAATAATTTCATATTTCCGAATTATTAACTGACCAACAAGTATACTAATTACAAATGGATTTACATCAACAATGGACTCCGAAGTTGAGAAAGAATTGGACTGATGACGACAAATAGATTCTCATTTGGATTGTATTAAAAATTTGTGCAAGAGATGGAATTAGCATACGGAAAATAGTAAATTTTGAAGTAATTTAAGCATAATAAGATTTGGGAAGAGGTAGTAATGTTGCTTAGTCGACGTACAGTTGAATAATGCAAAAATAAATGGAATGACTTATTGAAATTATCATTATAATAAATTCCATGGACTGAAGAATAAGATATACTTTTGCTTGATTTAATTAGGTTAATTTGATTTTAATATATTAGAAAAAGCAAAGAGGAAGGTAAATAGAACAAATGGTGCAGATTGGCCAATTTACTCAATCAGCACTTTAAGGAATCTCCAAGAACTGGGAAGCAATGCAGAGAAAGATGGAATAACCATTTAAATCCTGACATAAATCGACATCCTTGGAATATTGAAGAAGATATTGAGTTGTTAGAAATTGTAAAAAAACACCATAGAAAATGGGCTTTTATTTCAAAAAATTTAAAGACCAAAAGAAGTGAAAATGCAGTTAAAAATAGGTTTAATTGTTTACTTAAAAAAAACCATTGCACTTCAATTACAACCCTCATTAACATGTTAAAAAATAGATTTAAAACTGAGAATCCCACTATTCCTTTATCAGCCCTTAAGAAATAGAAGGTGTATCACTATTATTAAAAGGATCAGGATCCTTAAAGATAATAATATATTAATTAATAAACAAATCAAACATCATTTGCGATTGAAATATTTGATAACCTGAATTTAAGCGACCTAAAAAACCTTTAGCCAGCATTTTACAATTCAAAAACTCAAACCATTATTATGAGTTCTAAATAGCAATTATAGACTTTCCTTAATAATCAAGTGATTAAAGTTGAGAGTGGCTTAAATATGAACTTTTTTAGTGAAATGAATATTTAGCAACCAGAACTTTCAAATCATAATTCCAGTGTCCTTAATATCAATGATTCTTCAAATTTTGTAAGGTATGTACCATGTATGATTCCTAATTTGGTATCACAATAAACAGGGAATGAGGATAAAAAGTATATTATAACATTAATTTTAGATCTCAATTCAATATTCCTGGATTAAAGACCTAGAACAGCCAATAACAGGCATTATTAAGAAATAAGAATTGTAGTTCTTTCACATTCTTTTCAAATTAATAATAACGGGACAGTACAGAAAAATCAATTTAAAATACTAGTCCATTAGAATAGCGAGATTTAATTGCAATGAATAAATTATAGGTGGAATTCACGGCAAATGAGTGAAAACAAATTTTTATATATATCATATCTATACAATAAGAACTAAAACAATAAAACCAAATCAATGTCCTTAAAGAGTTAATTTTATATTGATAATAAAAAATAACCCTATTAATAATTGTCCAAACAATTTTTATTTTGATAATAACTAAAGATTGAGATGATATATCCAACCAAAATTATGATTATTATTCTAATTATAAACACAGAATATAATAAAATCAATCATCTCATAAATTACCTTCCATCCGATTACTACTTTTTATTCCATTATCCTGGTTTCTTCTTATTCATAAAAGATTGGACCTTTTATTTACGCTTTGTTGAACTTGCAATCTTAATATCTAGATATAATTAATAAGATTTAAATACTTAATGACACCCTGGGTGGACATTTAAAACCAAATGACTTGGAGACTTTTACAAGATCTAAATTGTTAACATCATAAACATCTTTCAGACTATGGGATTGATAAGACTAAAATAACAGGAATGTAATACATGTAGATATGATCTATAAGCCTCGAAAGCACTTTTATTAAGAAAGTAATTCTTCTCTATGAGCTTTTCAAATTATTCTTATATATTTGCTAATTTCTCTGAAGGAAACTCAAATTCATTCATAACCACTTTGGCCAATTTTAAGTGACCCAAATATCCTTTTTCTTCTGGCAGTAAAAATATCAATGCCTTTCCTGAAGAATTGAGTCCTCTGCATGTTCTACCAACTCTGTGGATGTACTCTTTTGTATCATCAGGGGGATCATATTATATAATCCAATGGACTTCTGGAATATCCAAACCTCTAGCTGCAACATCAGTACATATGAGAACTCCTTTCTTAGCATTACAGAATTCATAATATGTATTTGTTCTCTTACTTTGCTTTTACTTTCCATGAATATCAAGGACAGGCATATCAACAAAATTCAGTAATTCTGCATGAAATTTGACTGAGTTGCATGATGACATGAATACCATGATCTTCTTATCAGAATTCAGTTATAGGAATGTGAATAATAGTAAAAACTTCTTGTCTGCTTCAACAATTACATAGCCTTATTCTAAACCACTCACAGTGGCTTCCTAAGCAATGTCATCGACTCCAATGTAAATGGGTTGATTGAGTGATAATCTAGCTAAGTCATCAACCTTTTTGGTTTGAGTTGCTGAGAATAATACAGTTTATCTTTCACTTGGTAATAATTTAAGAATCTCATTCATTTCTTCTTCATAACCAATCTTTAATAATTGATCTGCTTCATCTATTATCAAACATTGTAAATTGTGATAAATAAATCCTTTAGTATTTTATAAGTGATCTAATAATCTACCAGGAGTAGCAATTAGAATGTTCACTCCTTTTTACAATCGAATAGCTTCTTCTTTTCTATTAGCACCTCCAATAAGTAATCCTAGAGTTTTTTAATGATAGAATAAGAGATCCTTTGCAACATCAAATATTTATTAGGCCAGTTCTCTTGTAGGTGTGAGTACAATGATACCAGTTCCATTTTTTTATTAAAATTAATTTTTATATAATAGCTCTAGGGCTGGTACCAAGAAAGCCAAGGTTTTGCCTGAGCCAGTCTTTGCAGCTCCTAAAACATCTCTACCTTTTAATAAATGTGGTATTGTTCTAGCTTGAATGTGGGTCATTTTTGTAAAGTTCATCTTTTCTAATGATTTCCTAGTAGGTTCACAAAGTGTGAAATCAGTAAATTTCTTATCAGACAAAATGGCTGTGTTGAGATTTTTATTCTATTCAGGTTATTCTTCCAATTGATCTATGTTGGAAATTCTCACCTTTTCTTCTGATTCAGATTATTCTTAGGGCACTTGTTCCTCATTTTCAACTTCAACCTTTTTTGTTTCCTTTACCAATTGCTTCTTCTGTATTTTCTTATTAATTGTCTAAACTTTGTTAGTACCTTAGTTTATTATCATAATTATAATATTTATGATTTTAATTGAGTAATTCTTTAATACTGCATTAACGATTATTATAATGAATCAAATTTGAATGGTTTCAGATGGGGAATGAGTACTAAAACCTAAATAATTCATAAGCAGTATTATGTTTGTTAGTTTGTAATAAGTTTGTTGATTTTCTTTAATATTACCAGTTATGATGAAGTAATATGATAGATAATTTAAGAAAAATTATTAAAACATTTTTTTAGTGGTTTTTTAATAATGATGAGCTCAGTTAGATCGAGAGAAAATAGAAAGCATTCTCAGGCTAGCAAATCATTAAATTTTAGTCTTCCGAGAAGAGCTTCATCATAAATAAAGTAACCAATTATTTAAGAAACAGAATCCATCATTTGCCTAGCATCTCTAATAATTCCACATGTTGCAGCAATTCGAATACATCAAGTCCTCCATAAAGTTGCTCGAAGTTAGAGGATGATTGTATTGACAGTAATTGATCATTTTGATTAATAGTTTCTCCTGTTTCTAAAAATACATCTGAAGATCCCTTGAATTACTTTAATTATGAGGATTTCAATTCGATTCTTCCAATCACTATCAATGGAGTCAAGATCTTGAAGATTGATTGGAGTTACTTTTCAGCTCCTCCAAATAATTTGTCACGTTGGAAAGCACATTGCTTCTGGACTGTCGGATACACTTTTGACATCAATATGAAGAAAATGAAGAAATCCTCAAATATAAAATATCGACTTGTCATTTAAAGTTGGTGTTGTCTCAACAATAAATCTTGGGTGAAGAATAAATGGGATAGATTGCTGGAACATGAAACTGGACATTATTTGATTGGGTGTCTTTGTGCTTTGGAATTCAAATAAAAGTATAAATATCCTCTAATTGTAGAGCTGACAAATTCAAGTACACCAAAAATTACAGGATGGAATGCACTAAATTGTTTTAAGATACCTTCTAATATTACCTCCAAATGGAAAGGCAGTATGATGAAGAAACAAATCATAGTTAGAATGTGTCCAAATAAAAAGAATGGAACGAATTCATCAAGTCAGAACTTTTAAAATATTGATCATTTATTAATAATCTATCTCATTAATCCAATAAATATATCAAAAATTTAACTGATTAGTTTTGATGAATATAATATCATAAAGGCTTAAAAGTAATTTTATCTTTCCCATATCCAAATTGTTATGAGTACATATTATACTGTTTCTTGTCAGAGTACTTCTTTTTTGAAGTAGATTCCTATTATGGCTTGCTTTTTCTGCAGTAATTCTTTACAGAAGCCTTCTTCATTTCAGTTCTTTGGAGCGTTGATTCTTTCAATTTTTAAAGCTTTTATTGCATCTGCAATCTGACACCCTCGTTTTTTACTTACTCGATTCTTCTTTGTAATTCATGTTGCAATTCTCTATCCTCAATTTGCTTATCATCCAATTATTCTAAGAGTTCTTTCTCTTCTTGATCCTCTCTTCGTCTCTCCTCATCTTCCAAAATCTATTATTTTAGTTGTTCATATTCATCAATTAAATTATTCGTATTGTCATACATCAAATCCAATTTATCATCAATATCCTCATCATCAGGATTCAATTTGAATTCCTCCTTTATCTCCAAATTTAAGGCTTCGTCCAGATTGCCTTCTAAGATTTACAACTTCTAAAGAATTGTTAAATTTTTCCCTTCTTTCTCCAAATCCTTAACCTTACCTTAAATATGATTAATCTCATCTTAATAATCCTAAAACTCATGCATTAATTGATCTATGCATTTTTCATTCCTTTCAATTTCATAATTTATAGCATTAACCATTTTATTTTTTCTATCCTGCTATCTCTTAATGATTCCTTTTTAATCGAAAAACTCTTCTAAATAGTCCCTTGGCTAATAATGTTGCAGTTATTCAAACTTCTAAGGTTCCTATTTTAATGGGATAAAATTTGTATAATCCTTTTCATCCAAGTCTTCTTCTACAACAAATTCGGGTTGTATTTTAACTTCAACCTTCTCCTTTTAAGCCTATTAGCCTTTATATCAAACCATGTACATACTTTTTCTTAATTCCTCCTGCATTTTCTAAAATTCTAAGGACTATTTATGTGGTGGTTTGAGGAGTTTGGGAATTTTGTACATAAATGCAAATTATATTTAAAAAATTATTATAAATAGTTCAAAAGATAAATTAAAATATTTTAAAAGAACTTTTAGAATGAGGTCTAAAATGGATAGCCTCAGTTTAGTGCTCAAAGTCTTACACATGCGATCAATACCATTATGATTCATAATACACAAAGAATTAGATCTAAGACTAAATCTAACAAAAGACTATATTTAATTTAAACATGATTTAGCTTTTACTTTCTTCACAAATTAAGTTTTAAGCAATATCCGCCAACAAGAGTCTTGTAGAAATCTTCCTTTTTATTATTCATTTATGTAATTTAATAATGAAAACAGATCTAAAAATAATAGAAAATAGATCGATATGACCATCAAATGTCTTTCTAAGTATGGGGAATAAGCAAGGAAAACTGCTGCGACAAAAATAACCTAATTTACAATCTGGATTTGATTCATAAAACTAAAAAAATAATTGTGAATAAGACTATACACAATAGATTGGTCTAGTAATCTCGCATAAACGATGACGGACATAAATGAAGGTGGATTTGAGGAATACAAACAGAGGGACTTGTTAAATAGGAAGGAATTGAGTTATAAATCAAATCCTTTGTATCAGAAAGCCAGAGTTACTAAGAATAAAATTATCTAGAAAATAGTTTATTTGGCATCTAATAATTTTAGAATTAATTAAAAATTCATTAGATCATATTAATACGCATTATTTGACTTGTACAAGATTTGTGTTGTATATTGAGTAATTAGTGATTTGAGGATGAGAACCTGAATGAAGGAGCTGAGATATGGGGAAAGGAGCAAGGAAGAAGAAGTCCAGATTGATTTCAGTATATGTTATTATATAAATAAAATGAATCTGGAATTTGGAGAGGATATGAGAGATGTTGGAAGATATCATAAATTTGATGATTAAAATTACTATTGTTTAATTTAATATATTTGGATCACATAAAGTCTATTGATGATTAAATTATTGTCATTAAATAAATTATTTTATATTCATAGAATCCATAATGAATTTTGAAGAATAAATGAATCTAATCAATGGAAATCCCTTGTTGTAAACTTTCTTATTGAACAATTTCTTTTCTAATCCATAAATATTTTAATACAGTACAATTTATCATTAGTCTATTAGTGATTCCTCAGATATAATATATTCCGAGAGTTGATTTAAGGGAAGAAAACACGAAAACTTAGGAAGACTAGAATAGTGATAGAAAAATACAAAAGTAGGAGAAGCTTACAAAAAATTCAAAATAACTACTTGTAGGAAGTTAAGCAGATTAACCACCTAAGGGAAATACTGATTCTGACGAAGAGGAAAGTTCATCAAGAGTAAATGGTACAAAATTATTTGATAATTCCATAGGCCATTGGAGTAAGGAGGAGCATCAATTGTATCTTAAGTTTGTCAATGATCACGAAGATATATTGAGGTCCAAGTATGATAAGAAATCAAAAAAAATCTTTAAATTGATGAGCCAATGTATTCTTACTAGAACAGCCACTTAATGTAGATCACATCATTAAAAGTTTAATCCTCTTTAAAAAAGCAAGAGAAAAGGAAAAAGCTTTGTGCGACCAATCCCATCTGTTATTATTTAAGAAAATTGATTTATAGCTGTTAACTATCATTTAAGAATTTTTTCATGTTTTTTTAAATAACTTAATTCCTAATCAGGAGTCCTCAAATATAAAGTTCTTATATTGAATATGAAACATGAAAACATGAAAATTCAAAGACAGAAGCATTTTCCTACCTATAATCAAGCCATTTCCCCTCAACCTTCTGTTAATTCATGTACTTAATTTATATTTAAAAAATCACTATTTATTAAATTAACTGAATATAATATATTTTATATATTTATTAAATGAAAACAACGAATAAATTACCCCCCAGAAATGCAGCTATCCAATTAAATTATGCGAATCAAAATCTATTGATTTTTTAGAATCAAAAACCAATTAACTTAAGAAGGTATACAACAGGAGCAGAAGAAATGAGAAGACATCAAAAGAGTTATGGTTCCTAAAAAAGAAATGAATCAAAGTATAATTATGAATTGAGTTTAGTGAAATCCTAAAATAAACCAAAAGTAAGTGTTAACATAATACAAATGATAAATAATTTACAGAGAATGGAAGACAATAACATGTATCAAGTTTGTCAGATAGTCAATCATAACAACCTCCTTTGGTAATGATAAAATGCCAAGCAAAACCATAATTCGAGAATTTTAAGAATCATGCAAATGCAAAAAACCATAATTTTATCACCCAATAACAACGAAATGAGAAACCTCATTCATTTAAATAAATTGCATAAGCGAATAATAAGCACCTCTCAAATTGTAATGAACTTATTAAATTTTAAGTGTATTATGTAGGGGATTTGTAGAATGCCATTTTAAACTAAAATGCAAAGAATTCAGAAATGTTTAGGGAACATATTGTTGTTTCCTTCACTTATATTCCATTGATTCAGAAATCAGAAATTGATATTAAGTAAATAGAAGATAAAAAATTACATATTCCTTAAGCAAGAAATAAGAAATGTAGTTATACTATTGATTATTTAAAATAGACAATAAAACAATCATTTTTGATATGGATGAAACATTGATGCATTGTAATGAAGATGAAAATGACAAATGCTAATTCAAAATTCCAATAGAATTCGAGGATGGAGAGAGAATAGTAGCAGGGATTAACATCAGAAACTTCGCAAAAGAGATTATCTAAAAGTTAAGTGAAGTTTGCGAAGTCATGGTCTTTACTGCCTCTCAGGATATTTATGCTAACCAAGTAAAATGATCTGTTGTTATTTGAGGTTATAAATATTCTAGACCCACATAATAATCTAGGTCATAGGATTTTCAGGGATAATTGTATATCTCTGGATGATAACCATTTGATCAAACACCTTGGAGTTTTGAATAGAGATTTGAGGAATGTGGTCATAATTGACAATTCTTCTTGCAGCTTTGCGTAATTGTTGATTTCGACAATAAGTTAGACACCATTTAGAAAATGGGATTCCGATTATTTCATTTTACAATGATGAAAAGGACAACTAATTAATTAAGTTGTATCGATACTTGTGTTAATACATATTACCAGCTGAAGATGTAAGGCCAATCATTTTATCACACTTCAAATAAGACAAACTTAACTAATTTGAGTCTGTTGAGGAGGCAGTTAAATAATTGTATTTTTGAGATATTTGAGTCTTATTTATTTCTGTAATTTTTGTTAAAACATATTTTTAATGTGAAAGTCCTTTATTTTAATACATATTTCAGATTAATGTTACTTGAAAGTGACCAACAATACGAGAGTTCGAACCTGAATAATCTGTAACAATATAAATCTGTACATATACTATCTACTATAGAAATAATTTCAGTCAATGAGGAATCGACGGAAAATTTATGATGACAATGATTTTAGAGAAGTTGTCAAAAACTTTTATAATTTAGTTTCAGACTTGAATAAAAGTAATAATTCATTACAATCCATTAAAAGTAAGGAGAATTCCTAAGCCCATCATAAGGAAACAGCCTAAATAAACTAAATAGAGAAATGCCATTCCAACCAAGGAACCTCAAAACACACAAAGAGATATCAACATCAAACCTGGATTATTTCAAACTCAACAATACTTTAATTGTTGTTTCAGTCAATAAATCGTAAGCCAACTAATCCCCAATTTCAATCAAACTAAATAAGCACCCGATATCTACGACAAAAACAAACAACATCTTTACTTCTAACGCAATTAGACTCACATATAAATCGCATATAATATCTACATTAAGAAATTTGGCTCATCCCTTGTTGAAAATTAGGATCCCACTTCTATTGCCAAAAAAGTTATGAATACCAACTTCAATCCTATAGTAATTTCCATATTAACAACTAGTCTCAAATTCAAGAAGAGGAAAAGTAAAGTGAGGCATCAGATGTAAAAAAAACAAATGGTGAAGATTTCAAATCGAAACCCTTGAAGGATTTGGTTAGAGAGTTTTAGAGTGATTAATGATTTTCAAAAATTATAGAAAGTAAGTATATAAAATAAATCCATCAATATCATTAATTTTTAAGTAATCTTAATTTCATCTCCATACTTGTAGATTATATTTCCTTATAAGGTTTTTAATTAACAATTGCGTTTCTTGTATTTTATTATTCTAGTATTTTATTCCTCAAAACATCATAATTTACACTCTTTCTTTCAGTTAAATTATCTTACTACTTATATGATTAATTCAATTGCTAAACTTTTGAAATCACATAACTTTTTTAATACTTCTCCTAAGAAACATTGCTGTTTGTGCATCCAATTTACTATTTATTTGGCACAGGTGATATACTTAGTTTTTACATTTGACTTCTTTTATCTCTTTTAGAATTTTCGCTACTTGTAATTATAGGTTTAGTTATCTTATATTTTTCATAAACAATTCCAATTATTGAGTCTAGAGGATCAACAAAATCATTAATCGATTTTCTAATATCCAAATAATTCAACGAAAAGAATTATAAATATGGTAACTGTTCCTTAGCCATTTGATATGTATAGTACCAACATAATGAATTTTCTGAAAATTATGCATTTTGTAATTTGAATATCGTATCATTTGAAACGTATTTTGAAATCTTTTCGGGAATACCATTCAAGGTAATTTTTGAATTGATTGGTATTAGGTCAGATAATTTCAAAAAGCTTTCACAATTTTCTTCATTTTATAAAATGCAACATAAAAATAAACATGAAATCTTTCTGAGAGTGATATTCTTTTTATCGTTCAAATTTTTCTAAATTTTATTTAAATCTTCGTGATTAAAGGATTCAAACATTTTTCTTTTAAAACTTGGATTTTAATTCATATATTCCATTAATCTCAACATAGATTCAATGAGGGATTCGATATCCGAATCAGAATTTTTTTTTAAATTTATCATATTAAATAAAATTATACATTTTTCATTGTAAATAGAAATGCATGTACTTAGGCAACTTTTGAATATGTTTTTCAACTCTTTGTCTGTTTTTGGAATCTACCTTCTTGTTGATTTAATCCATTATTTTCATTTTAAGTTGATCAAACAACTCTCGATTTTTTTCAAGTACTCTCAAAAAGTTTAACAATTCAATTGGATCACAATCATCAATGATTTTTTTGATAATCTTTACCGACAGTGTAATATCTTGATTAGCATCCTTTTTTGAGGCCAAATATACTATGTTCGCCAAGCCTTAAGCACTTGACATCTCATTATTAACTGCTTGAAGACTAAATTCAACCAATCTTCCTAGATTTGGTAGATATTTATCAATCTATAGTAAAATAGCTGCTAATTCCTTGACATTAAAAGCAATATCATAATACTGATAATCAACTATATATGTAGAAATCATTTTTTAGAACTATTAATAGGTTGCTAACTTCATCACCCCAGGAATATCGATTGACTTATTTTTTAAATATTCCTCAACCAAGGAATCTAATTCTAGAACATTATTATTGTTTATTGAAATTAAATTTACAATGTTCTATGGATGAATTATTTGTTTATTTTTTGTTATAAACTCACATAAGTTTATTTGATAATTTCGATATAGGTTGACACTAAATTCACCCATTTATTTTGGTGTCATCATAAGTATGATTTTATACAAGTTTCCTTCTTAAAATTCTTAATCTATGCGTTTTGGTTCAATTTATTTGAAATAAGTTCCGCATAAATAATATAATGGTAGATCTTCTTCATTGATAGTCAAATTTCTCAAGACAAAGAAGAGTCTCTGTGCCAACAAATCATCTTTGGATTAAGAGACTCCAATCAGCAATTACATCAAATCCTTTAATTCGACCTTGTCATTTATAATAATAAGGTTGGCTATCCTTCTTAGCAGCTCTTGTTTGTTTCTAAGAAGACTTAAATTTTGATATAGAGTAATAAGGGACCATTGATTGGATTGATCAGAAGATAGATCCATTTTTTCGACTGAATTGGCCACCTAATTCAGATAATTAGTGCCAACATCTGCATAAATTCGACTTAAGAGTGCTAAATTCTTGAGATTGTAATCTTGTAAGCCGAATTTGGAGAGTTGAATATACTTTTAGACCCAAACGCATTGGAGCAGTTGTTTTAATAGCTTTTTGTTATGAAGGAAATGGAGGACAGTGGTTGATTCCTTGTAATCTAATTATTGCGTTGTGATGATTTTGTTAAGTACAGAATGTGGCAGTGTATCGATAGCTGTATTAGGCATGCTTTGGAGGATTTCTAGATTACATTGAGAGTTCAATTGGAGACATTTAAGCAAAAAGGGTTTTGAGGGGAATCGTTTTTGGATAACATCATTTAGGTAAATTTAGTAAGAATCAAGAGGATCTTGTGTGATATCTTGGGCGTACTTGACGAATTGGACTAATTAGTAGGAATCCTATTTAAACATGCCAATAATTCGATTCTGATTTTCAGTAAGAGATTGATGTATAAGTGTTTTGTCAATTTGTTATTGATTCTGAAGGAGTTGTTTCAAGTAGGATATGGCTGACGTACAATCGTTTAAAGGTATGGTATTCAAAGATATGGTGAATTTAGCAGCTAATTTCATATTAAAATATATTGTTGTGAAAAGAAATAATAAATTCAATATCTAATCAATATTAATCAGAGAATTCAGTGCTTTCTAAAATTGCTGAATTAAACTTGTTTATCAAAACTAACCTTTTTGTTTGATTTAATAGATGCTATGGATTGTTGATCATTTGAGATGTGTTCAGAACTAGGATTGCCATTTTTGTGGATTCTAAGGATTGATTTAGGTTTCAGCAAATCAAAACTAGTGCTGTTTGGTTCGAATGATATATTCTATAGGTCATTCTTAGCTGAGCTTTCATTACATATTGGTTATGGGCAATTCTTCTTTAGCCAAGGATGTGATATTGTATTGTCCATTTCTTCTGACTGTTATGCGGTAAAGGACATCTTTAACTCATCCATTTCAGTCTTCTGTAGCTGAGCGAGTTATGGAGAGTCTTCTCTCTCTATAGTGTCGTCTTCTAATTGGATTTTCAAGATTTTCTCCAGTTTCACGGTAAATGGAGGTCTCTTTATTGAGACTTGAACTAGGACTTCTTGCTTCGTAGAAGGACGCTACTTTGGACAGATGCTTATTCCCATTTGATCTATTATGATTTGAATATTAATTATATAATACAATTTAGAAGAAATGAATTGTAATCTTTAGCAATATTTTAATAGAATACAAACTGGTTGGCAAAAAGGGAGAAGGAACGTTCTCAGAAGTGATCAAATCACAATCATTCAAAACTGGAAATTATGTTGCCATTAAATGCATGAAAAATAAATTCACATCCATCGAACAAGTAAGACATACTGAATATGTGTAGGTTAATCATTTACGAGAGATATAGGCCTTAAGAAAGCTAAGTCCTCACGATCACATTATAAAGTTGATTGAAGTTCTTTAGTATGAAAATCATATAAATTTAATTTAGTGATGAACCCACAGGACGTTTGGCTTTGGTGTTTGAGTTGATGGAACAGAATTTGTATGAACATATTAAAGGTATTATTACCAACATTTTAAATAGGCAGGAGATAACCTTTGAATCCTTAAAAAGTTAAATCTTTTATGTACTAACTGCTAAAATCTATTGAACATATGCACAGAAATGGCATCTTTCACAGAGACATTAAACCGTAATCAATATTCAAATCATTAGTGAAAACATTCTGCTAAACGCAGATCATCTCAAACTTGCCGATTTTGGATCATGCAAAGGAATCTACTCCAAACATCCCTATACTGAGTATTACTATCAATTCATATCTCATTCTAGATATATCTCTACTAGATGGTACAGAGCCCCCGAGTGCTTATTGACAGATGGCTATTACGATCACAAAATGGATCTCTGGGGAGTAGGATGTGTCATGTTCGAAATCATAGCCTTATTTCCACTCTTCCCAGGAACCAATGAATTAGATCAAGTCAACAAAATACACAACATCCTGGGAACTCCCAATCAAAAAGTATTCGATAGATTTAGAAAGTATCATCTTTATACTATTTTAGACAAGCCACCCATATGGAAATCAATTTCCCACCTAAACATGGTAGTGGCATTGATAGATTGCTGTAGGGTTAAAGCAAGGAATGTATAGATCTAATTAAATTGTTGCTTATTTACGACCCTGAAGAACGAATCAATGCTCAATAAGCCATAAGACATGAATACTTTAGAGAATTATATGAGGCTGATACTTAAAAGAGCTTTTAGCATACTTTACAATAAATCAGAATATCCAATCACCGAGAACAGTATGATTATAATTTACATGATTAGGAATGACAACTCTTTGGAAAGAAGCCAGAGAATAGAGGAAAGCAAATAACAACATTAGTTGAATTTCAAGAAAACTTAAAATTATTATGCGAAATCTTAGAAGAAGTCAGGAGTATAGAATTATGTTATTGTTAAAGTTACCTTCATTGTAATTTGATTTGAGAGTAGAGAGCATCTATAAAAATACTTAACATCATGACAGTGATGATGATCTTGAGAAATAGTCATCTCATAAATAAATGATGCTGCCATAGATTCCAAAATCGAAAAAATATGATCCTAAAAAAATATATGGCAAATAATAATACGGATCATCAAATTAGCCATATTAGTTCAATTCCAAAGGTAAGGAATTCTTCATAGATTAGTAGGAAAGAAAATGACTCATGGCTTGTAAGGTGATTATATAGTTTTGGGAAAGAAAGCAATGAATTAATGATATATTTTAAGTTTTTAGTTGACTGATCAAATAATTTTGAATTTCATTTAGAAATATTTACAAATTTATATAATCAGTAAAAAGTTTTCTATTATTAATTTAATATTTTAGATGGATTACTCTATGCTTTGAGAATCAGATTGTCCATTCCAATATACAAAACTATATTATTTTATTTCTATGAACATAAATTATAAAATTAATCATTAATTTTTTTACTCATCATCCACTTCATAAATTGCTTAATGTTAGTGATAATTTTTATATGTAAACTTTCTCTTTAATGTTTAACTCTATACAAGTTTAGGACTATTGTTAATGATTAATGTAGGATGTTGTCTTGCAGAATCTGGTGAACAAGTATCAGGTGATTGTTGATCGAATTCTTAAGTCGAAAATTTTTTGAATGCGCTCTTTTTAGGATTTTCTGTAGGTGAGCCATCAGCTAATGCTAAATTTTTACGTTTAGCATGTTATGCTAATCTAGGACTATTCATCACAGGAACTTTAATTTTAATTTTTTCATCTTCTACTTCATCTTCATCTCTTTATTTTGATTTCTATTTGATCTCTGGCAATTATAATTTATCTGATTTTTCCATTCGAAATGTTGAAGTCTGCCATAACTTCCCTTATCCTTAGCCTTTTTTCTAGGATTAGAATTTCAATTTTCTATCAGTAAAACCTCCCGAAAAAAATGGGTGTTCCAAGGCCTATTATGCAGAGATTCTCTAATGTGGATCTACTTATAACATTAATTAAATAAGTTCCATGGCTGCTTAAGGCGTTCTGTAAATGCTTAGATTATCTAAATTGATAATGCACTTCTTATTCAACTTTAAGATTTCATGATAATCATTTCCTGGAAACAAATCCTTTTAAGTAATTCTATTAAGGTTAAACATAAAACAATTACAATTTATAGAAAATGCATCCAACACTGAAGATATCGCAAATCTTATCATATTTGAAAGTTAAATCTTTAAGATTTGCTATTTCAGGTGCAACATATCCTGGTGTGCCACATTTAGGAAATGGATAACTTGAGACATGTGTTGATGTTGCTAAACCAAAATCTACAATTCTCAATCCTGTGATTTGATTAGCTTCTTTAAACATGATATTTTCAGGTTTTAAATCTCTATGCATTATGTCCAATTAATGCATTCTTGAAACTCCTGTCAAGATTTACTATAATACTTGATATAGATAAGTACCCATAATATTGATTTGATTTAGTCCCAATTTAATTGTGTTAGTTGACCTTTACTTAAGACGTCGTGCAATGAATTCCCTTTGAGATGTTCAAGAATCAAATAAAATGTATTTTCTCCTTCATAGACTTCCTCCAATTTAACAACAGATTCGTGATCTAAGATGGCCATTAAATTTATCTCATTAAACAAGGCTTGCTAATAATATATTTAAATTTCTTACAAATCCTCCATCCTCTTTTAGATATCTCTTTTCAACACATTTTGATGCGAAATCTTGCTTGTTATCTTTATCCACTACTAAGTACACCTAGGAATAATGAAGATGTTTACTTTAGAAGATCCTCCCTTCCCCAATAATTTCAACGGTTAATAGAAATCACTCACGTCCTTGAACATGATCTTATTTCTGAGATGAAATTTCAATTTTCTGATTTCCTCATCTTTAGCAACAAAATATTTGACTGAACCTTTGTGCTCAAACCCAAATTAAGAAAGTTATCTGTCCTTTTCAAAAGTCCAAAAAATTCTGGTTTCGAAATTCAATGGTAGTTAGTATTTAGGCTATTAAGATTCGAGTTCCTTGAAAATTAATATTAATGTATACATTGGTAAGAATCATAGTGTCATCGATGATATATAGAAAGTAAGTGATATCATTAAGTATATGCTTTCTCTGGCAAATTGTGCTGAAAGTAGCTAGGTCGTAATTGATTTGTGTTTTGCTTTGCATCCAATTTTATAAATATTAAATAAAATTATTTTAAATGCCCTGTTTAATATGACGAGCATAAATAATTAATCAGAAATTTGTAATTATATCTTTTTAAATGTTAGCGATGTATAAACTTAATGTACACATTTGGAGTAGATGTAATCAATTTAAATGTTGTTACATATTATTAAATTAAAATTATTAGATATTTCAGAATTCATCATCAGATAGCACATCATAAGTATGAAAATACTATTTTGATATTTGAGTTTGCATAATTCCTATTTTAATGTCCATATCTCTTATGTCATTCTATCATAATATTAACATCAATACTCTCAATTAATTGATTAATTATTTTTGCTTAGATCTATTATCAACCAAAACGGGTGTTCTTTCTTTTACATCCAATAACTATTAATTTAATTGTTAATCGATCTCCTATTTTTCACTGTTTCCTTTATTCAATTGTGAAATTTGAAATTGCAAATTGGATATCGTATTCCTGTTCTCTTTTAAAGTAATTTAAACGTTTTCAGGAATTTACTGAGTAACCTTAGTTTCTAATTTAGGTAACAACTCCAGATAATTAATCCATTATTATTGTATTTCCTAGACCTCGTTTGACTTCAAGTGTTCAGAGAGTATAGATAATTACTTAAATTATAAATGGAATTACCTTAGAGCATTTGGAAATTGTGATTATTGTTCTCTCATAATCTTTTAAGTATTGTTTATTAACTTTAAGATTAGCCTCAAATTTAGAGAACTCCTTCTCGACCCTATTGAACTCTTTAGTCCATTCATTAATTGCAACTTTGGTTTCAATCACTTATCTATCTTAAGGAACTTGATTGTAATCAGTTTATTCATTATTATATTTCTTATGATAAAATAGAATACTCTGAGTTAACTCATCTTATTCTACTTCTTCATTTTCATTCTCTTCCTCTTAAATCTCTATAAGATCTTCATTATCTATTTTATTAACCTAAATTACAGAGCTTTCCAAATCTTTACCAAAATTGGGGGATTCAAATTTAAAATTTATTCTAATTAATTCTCGATTGAGTAAGTCATTTAAAATGAAGCAAACCATATCTCCACATCCTTATGAAATGTGAGGAGATCCCAATTATTCTGGCAGTTTTATACCCCATGCTTTGATATCAATCAGTAATTTTCTGGCAGTTTCCTCAACATTATGATAATTAAGTTTTATTGGTTGTGCCATTTTATTCTTTTTTTGTTTCGGCAAACTCATTAGCCAGTAACATAACTCAACAAAGTAATAGAACCTTTGATTCTGATTTACATTTTCATCTAAAGAGAAATAATATTTTGAAACTGGTTTCTTTTTCAATGGAATACAGAAATATTCATGATATTGAACCAATGACAACTTCTCATAGATGTCCTATATAAATTACGTGATTTAAATACTTCCATCATCAAAACATTAATTATCTATGGAGTCTTCTTAGTATCAAGAAAAGTGTTATGAATTTCCTTTGATCTCTATAAAACTGTGCTTGCATCAAGTCTTTTTTAAGGGTCGACTACAATCATCCCTTCTATGACATCCCTTAATTATTGGCTATATCGATTCGAGACTGGTTTAAATTCCCCTTTGGTGATATTATTAAATAAATCCATAAGAGACATCTTTTCGCTTTATTTGAAGGGACTCTTGAACTCAGCCATCTCATATGCGATGCATCCCAATGACCAGATATCTGATTTCATATCATACCCTTCACCATGAAGGAGCTCTTCCTTTTTAATGATAATTTACCTCAGGTGACATATATAATGGTGTTCCAACTTTAGAGTAAGCCTCTATAGTCTCCGATGAAAATATGCGACCCAAACCCAAATCTCCAACTTTCAATGAGCCATCTCCTCCTATAAATATATTGGCTGGTTTCAAATCTCTATGCATTATTCTCTTTTCATGCATATGGTCCAATGCACTTGCTATTTGCATTATGTAATTCCACAATTACACTTCCTCAAACGGAGTGTCATCAGATTAAGCATTTTTAATTAGTTTTTTCAAATCTCCCTTCTCTGCCCACTCTGTAGCTATAATCAATTCGTTATTGTAGATGAATGAGTCCAAGTATTTTATAATGTTAGGATGATCCAAAGGTTGCATTAACTTCACCTCTTTTAAGCATTTCTCCCTTTGTTTTGGATCCATCATATCAAAAATCTAACATAAATTCACAAATCACTTTAATCTTCTTCAACGCAACAACGTTTCCTTCCTTATTCATCGCCTTGTACACTGTTGAGAATTTCCCCTCACCTATGGCTTTTTAGACTTTGTATCCATTTATCTCTTGATCAATAAATTGAGACATTATTTAATTATGTTAAACACAAAACTAACTAAGTTCATAGATTCAAAAGCAGATCAAGTCAATTCATAGCTTAAGTCTGCTCAAAACACCCTCCAAAATTAGACATCCCAATTAACTAATTAAATTACAGAAGCAAATCAAACAATGAAGGTTGCTGCTCCTTTACTAAAAGCCATGGGTAAAGCTCCAATCCTATTTTTTTAAGGTCATTCAGAAGCTGCCCAAATTTCCAAGGGATTAGATTTGGCTTAAAAAAACCTGGTACCCATTATTGATTAGACCAATAAAACTATACAAAAGGGCTCAGATATCGTTAATTCTTAAATTTAAAAAGCATCTACCATAGCAAATTAGCAAATTCAGAAAATTAATGTAAAATCTATATATCAATAATTAAGGAACAAGTTATGCCATAAATAGAATAGGGTTAGCAGATAATAAAATAATAATATGAAAAAGGTATGGAAGCGATTAAAGAAAATTAAAATTTTTAAACTATTGCCGTAAAAGCTGCCGTAATAGGAATGGCAGTTAATTAAATAATGGAAACTCCAACAGATGATGGATCAGAAATATTGAATTAAAGAAAAGAAAATACATAATAATTCTAATAATAATAACAATAATAATAATAATAATAATAATAATAATAATAATAATAATTATAATAATAACAATAGTCAACTAGTTATAATGTATCAAATAATGATCCTAATAAATAATAGTTAAAATAAGAATCTCATTTCTTTCAAAATAAAATTAAATAATACATTAAAAAAATAACAGGCAAGTAAGTCAATTCAAGAATTGAATATTTATGTCTTATCCAATAAAAGCTAAAAGATAACATTGATTCCAATTATTTATAATAATCAAAATAGTCATTAAAAAATGAAATGTGGAAAGCTGCTTATTAAGAGAGAAGAATTTAAAGTCACCAAATTTTTATATAGTATATGACAAAAATGGTTGAATTCATTTTTGAATACTTAACGATTGTTGAAACAGTCTTTTAGCAAATCAAAATGAGATACAAATCTTCCAATAACTCATTTGAAATGATTCTCAACTATTGCAACAATTTATCAATACAATTAGACTACTACACAACCTATAGTTATGTTCAACCATAGTAAAAATTCTTGAGTAGACTATTCACTAATCAAACAAAATTATAAATAAAAAATGGTCAAAAAATGAAGAAATCCACCAAATCAAGTAACTAAAATGAGAATGCAGAAACTCCAAATTAACAATAAGTCTAGAAGGAGGAGAAGGAAGATGTACAATTCTACCATTAGGAGCTCTGCTAAAACTTTAATAATCTCGAAAGTGAATATTAATTGCATACAAATAATATCCAAATCTTAAAGAACAACTTGAAAGGAGAGTTAAAAGATAAATTAATAATATGCCAATAAATGAATTAATAAAGGATATCTGATTATTTGATGTAGGTTCAAGGTTAACGAAATATCACATTTGAGGCAGTTGAACAATTTTACAAGAGCTTCATCCAATATGAATAAATCTATTCTTAAAATGTAGAAGCAGCGTTTGAGGGAGGACAACAGATAAGGGATATCTACAATGAAGAATACAGAATGTATTGTAAATAATTAATTAAATTTAGATTATTTTAAATCTCTCATAAAATAATAGTAACAGTTTGGATTATTTACAACCTATATTCTAAAAGAAATATCCCAATTTGAATACACACGAATAGAATTCCTTTAGAAAGCATTCACACAATTAACTGCTGAATTGGGAAAGTATTTTCAATTTCCAAACTTAAAAACAATTAACTTCTCAAATCCATTAATATTATAATAGGCAAAGACAGCATTTGACATAAATTAATTACTAACGTCTGAATAGCTTGTAATAATCAAGAAATACTCAGGCATACCATTGCAGAATAACATTTCAACAGATATATATTCAGCATTTGCTTCAAATTTCACAAGTAAGTAATATTCAAATTCTAGTACCTTCTCCCGAATCTCTTTTGTCATCTTCTCCTTTGATTCTAAAAAAATACGATGTTAAAAGGGATGTGGCATGGGAAAGATCCCTAAGTTTTGGCAAAGACTTTGTGCCAACCAGTTTCATAATAACTGTTGATGGGTTTCTGCTATTTTTTGATACAGACTGGAAGGAACAGAATAACGATGAACCAACTCAATGTCATAATTTTATGGTCATAAATGAAGTATTTAATGAGATATAATTGAACAGTTAGCAATAAAGGAGAGGTAAAGTGATGAGAAAGTCGTAGAATTGATAGTGAAGAAGCAAGGGAAACTGTTTGATACACATAAGAAATAAATATTAATGATGAATGATGTAATGGAGAAGGAATCCTTAAAATTATTACTAAATTAATTTAAATGATTTATTATTAAAATAAATGATACTTGAAATAAATATGGCATAAATAGTCCATCATTATCTTGATAAAATATATTGAGCATTTGTTGGTTAGTTAACATATTAATTATATTGAACTTGTTAAGACTATTCCAAATTGAAGTTTTGATTATAATAATAGTTATTGTAACCCGACAAATTATCTTAACTGAAGGCCATTTAAGAAGCATTCTATTTTCTTTCAAATTGTTAAAGTAAATCTTATTACTGATTTTGAGATGGTTATTCATTGGGACTTTGGTAATTTTTAGATTTCATTTGGATTGGGGTTGAGGCTCTAACGCTTTGGTCAATAGAGTTCTATTAGAATTATGATTAAGGTTATTATATTTGTGAAGGTTTAAAACTCATAATTAAGGCTTTGTTTTAAGTGGGTTAAATTTTAGGAGGTGGATAAGTTTCTTAATTTTAAGTAGGTTCATTTTGGTATTACTTTTTAGAAAAATAATCTTATTTGTCAGAGACATTGTAATCTTTGGATGTAGAGTTTAATTTGAGTTTATGATCTTCAGGTTTGAAAATGAAATCGTCTCCATCATGGATTTAATCCTTGCCCAACAATTAGTCCAATTGCTAGTCATGATTGAGAACATATTCCTAAAATCCGTCTCTTGGTGGTTACATTTCCTTAATTAATTCTTTGCTTGGGAAGATAGCATCGCTGAACTCATCCTTTTATAAGATCAAGTCTTCATTCCTATTGAATCTCTTTAGAAACATGTTGTATTCCTATTGAGTTAAGGATTGAATTTCGAATTTATTTAACAATTAATCCAAACATCGTTTATCAATAACAGGCAAATTACCTGCAACGTACTTAAACACCGTTGTGAATTTCCACTCTACTAATTGAGCTAAATTCATTTTCTCTATTTCAATAGTTCTTAAATAATCGATCTCTTTGTAAATCAACTTAGCCACAAACTCTTCTAAGTAAAATGACAGTTTGTCTATTAGTTATTAATTATTGATGCATACATTTCCCTGCTTCTGAATACAATTTTCTGACTATGCATTACATCGCTGCGTCTCTATCGTATCTGGGGACTATGAATTCAAGAAATAATTGGTATCTTAATTTATCATCCCCTTTACTCCATGTGAAGATCCAGAAATCACAAAACTTTTAGTGCACACTGCATCCATTCTTACACATGAATCGAAAGATATCCTATGAAGTAATATAACCTTTCATGTTTGAATCAATAGCTCTAAATGCATCACTGATATCAAATCGGATATTTTCTGCTAATGTTATTTTCAATTCCTCAACCTAAAATAAACAACACTTAAGACTTCTCTTTCTGTGATTAAAATAGTTCGAATAATGGTTATGAGTTTTTCACCTATTTTTCGTTGTTGTTCATTTTCTGTGACTGTTGGGCTTAACATTAATTTTAAAATGAATTATTAAATATATTTCTTATAACCATTAACTATTATATCTATCGTATATTAAAGAGATATTCGACTCAATCATTGATATATTAGTGATACTCATTTTAGAATTAGCATAAAATGTAATATAATAAACTATCAAATATAAGGATGTTTTTGATTTTTTAAATCAACTTATTTGATCAATTCTACTTGATGTTGAAACTTCAATTCTAAATCTTCTATTTTGTGAATATAAGTTTGAGGATCTTCATCTTAATGAGATTCTAACCATTTTTCCTAACGATCAAACTCATCCAAGATTATTCTTTTGTAATTGTATATCAATGATTCAAATTTATTCTTTGCTTCATTTTTTTATCGGACAACTTCTTCAATATTCTTTTACCTCTCAGATTCTTCAATTAATCTCTAGATTTCTTCATCTTAAAGAGTTGTCTATTCAAATTACACTACAACATTATGTTTTAATTGATCTTCTGTTGATATAACCAATTAGTAATTTTCATCAATTAAAAAAGTTATTTTTATTTCTCCTTATAACTCAATATTATTTGTATCTATAGTAAAATGGCCTAATTTTCTCTAATTTTCTTTATCCATCTAGATATCTCCCTCATATAACAAGACTTCTAATTATTTTACATTTGCTTATTAAATCTTAATCTTTTGTTATTCTTTAACTGGAATATGTGCATTTTTTTTAATCAGATAATACTCATAATAACCATTTATTCCGATTCCTAAATTATAAGGAATTGTATCAAGAAGCAACCATTTCCCACATTTTTAAGATTATTTCTTGAGAAGTGCACCCATGAAAGCAGCCCCAAAAACAGCAGCTTCATCCTTATCTATTGAATTGTACAACTATTTTCCATTGAAATATTCTTATATTAACTCCTAGATCTTTGGAATTCGAGATGATCCTCCAACAAGAATAATCTAATTCAGGGAATTTTTGGTTAGGTAGGCTTCCTTAAGAACTTACTCTACATAACCTATACATTGTTTGAATAAGTCTTAGCAAAGCATTTCAAATGTTTATCTTGTTATTTGGATACTAAGATTTATATCTTAAGCTATGAACTCAACCTCTATAGTAGTTTTATTTACACTTGATAAGGTTTCTTTAGATTTTTAACATTGAATTTTCAATCTACTCATAGCTCGTGCATTTTATCTTAAATCAATTCCATACTATTCTTAGAACATCTTACAACAGTGATTTACTAGGAGATTATCAAATTCTTCTCCTCCCAAGTCCCTGTTTCCGCATGTTGATTTTATTTCTATTATTGAAAACTCAATATCACCAACACTAACTGTTATGGATCCTCCTCCAAGATTGAAAATTAAAATTGTTCTTAGGTTTTCATTTTAAAGATTCATACCATAAGTAAAGTATGCTGAAGTTGAATCAATTATGATTCTAAGGATTTTCAAACCAGAGATCAATCCAGCATCCTCAATAGCACGTTTAGAACAGAAATTCAAATTGCAGGAGGTTGTTTAACGGCTTAATTCACTTTTTGACCTAGATGAATTTCTGCTGTTGTTTTCATTTTACTCAGAATCATTGAACATACTTCTTCTGGATGCAACCTCAATAGTTCCTACTTTTATTAAACAACAATCTTGGGTTTGTCATATTCATCAGCTTCAACTTTGAATGGAAGATTTAAAATTTCTTCTTGGACAATTTTATCACTAAATCTTCTTCCCATCAATCTCATTACATTATATATAGTATTAGTAGGATTTTTAGTATGCTAACTTAAAGCTGCTTCACCAATGAGTATTTCATGATCTACAAAGGCCACATATGAAGGAGTAAATTTATTCCCAAATTCATTGGCTATTAGCTCAAATTTATCATCTATCATCACTCCAACTCTGGAGTATTTCAATCCCAAATCAATTCCTATTGCTATATCTGATTATTATTTCATTTATAAAATTGCTAATTAAGTTTTAATTATAAAACATTTTTATTAAAAAAATTGAATTATTAAGGAAATATCTCTTTTCACACAAATATATTTATTAAATTGAAAATTGATAAATTACTTATAATATATTGTTTATATTTGAATTACTTCATTTTAAGGATGCAAATAAAAGAATTTCATTAAAATATCAGCACAATAGAATACATTTCACATCAATATAAATCATAATTCAATTATATAAATTTCCAATTAATTAAAAATATAGCAAATGGGTATTTAATGTTTTAAATGCTAAAATGAAGAATAATAAATTATCACTTAGAGTGATGTTAATCATTATATTCAATAGAAAAATGTCTAAAACTAACAAAAAAAGGATAACAAAGAACAAATTAATGATAATATAAGTATATCTTAACATTCATATTTTGGCCCTTCAAAATAATAGTATGAATGTTAATGGAATCCAAATATCTGTATTGCTGCAAAGAATGATTCCAATTTAGAGGCTTTTGAAGAATCATAAGTTTAGACTAATCAAAATATTAGGCCAGCCAACCCAGAATAATAACGATAACTTATTTCCTTCATATACTCAGATCAGACCATTCCAACCATGCTTCAATTGTCGTAAGTATCAGAATAATTAATAATGGGTAAAATCTGCTAAAATTATAAACATGATTAAAATCATTAAACTAGAACTAAATCAGAGAATGTAATTAATAGAAGATAAACTTAAGAAAGGAACTTTCTAGACTCTAAAATTATCAACAAAGAATTGAAAAAGGAGAAAAATAGAATGCTTTCTAATAAAAGTATAAAATAAATTCATCCAAAATAAGTGCAAAATAAAAATTAGACACTTAAAATTTTTATTAATGGTTAAGGGTTACACAATAGTTCTGCTCCTTCTTCTTAACAATCAATTAGATGTAAATCAATGCGCTCTACTCCAAATAAAGTTAGACTTTTTAAGATTTGATATTTTGAATGAACATAAATTCATTAATTAAATAATTAAGTATTGTGTCTATTATTAGAATATTTAAACTTTAATTGGTTAATATGGCATTTTATATTATAGTATCTATTTATTGATTTTTAATAACCACTACAAGTTTTTCAATCTTGTCTATTTTGAGTCCTTTTACAAATTACAGAGTACTTTAATCCAACATCTTCTTTAAATCCAATATCTTAAATAAAAATCCCAATTCTACTATGAAAGGAGATCAGGAACAAAATGGAAGCTTTTCTTTTGAAAAATTTATTTATACATTATATTTCATCTAAAATTTTATGAATCACAGGAATATCATTAAAAATTCTAAATTAAAAATAAATGACTAGATGCGTATATGCAAAAAAACCTATAAAAAATAAAATAAAAATATATGATATTCAATACAACTAAGGGTTGACCTTTAAATTATCTCTAGTTTTGGTTGAGAATAATTATTTATAGTATTTATAAAAAACTTAGTCAAAACTTTATATTAAAATTCTTAAGAATATATTTTAAATAACATATTTATATGATTTAAAATTTGCATTTTAATTATCAATTCTTTATATCATGCAATATAATTCAATTAATATTTACATTTCAAAACAAATGTTATTGTTTAAAATACTGTTTCTGATTTTGATGTGAGATTTTTGCAATATATTTAGCTTTGAAGTCAATACCTAGGATTGTGTAACTAAATTTGAAGTATTAGAAGTTGATGCTGATTAAACATAAAATGATCTTGATACAACTAATTATTAAACTTTAGAGGCTTATTCTAATTCATTCTGGATCAAGTATACTAATCTTGATCCAAAATATAAAATTAATGAACCTAAAGATAGTTAAAGTTGGTGCAGCGGATATTCATATATTATTTGGTAGTAAGTCATAGATGGAGGTTTTTAAAAGACATCTTTGTTAGTGCTAAACATTTGGAAAGACGTTTGCGAATTCATCTTTTTTTATGGTGAAATTGATGCTGATGAACCTTTAATTTTAACAATCTAGTAGGATCCATAAAGGCTTGATGGTCAGTGGATTTATTTTATGATATCATATTTTCCTAATGAAAAAAATGTAGTTGTTTAGAAAGATTCTGATATTGCGATTTTAGATGTTCAAACCATATATTCAGGATATGTTGAAACTACATTAGGGTGGGATGGGGGTTTTGTATTTTAATTATTTATTCTTAGGTCGTAATTGGGAATTAATTTAAATGGGTCGAACAATTTCCTGGGTATTTGACTAACTAAATCTATTATGACAAGTTAAAAATGCCAAATGACTTGTAATACCATGGTTTTTTAAATTGCAAGCCTATAGATGATAGTTAACTCCAAACTAAAATATATGTAGATGGATTATAAAAATTTAATTCAGGACTTATAATAGTGGATAAACTCTTGGTGGTTGGTTCAAAATATTTTATTCATAGTTGGGTAAAGTTGAATCTTGATTTGGTAACTATTACAAATCCACTTTCTTAATTACTTATGAGAATGACGATCAATTCATATTACAAAGATATTACATATGAGGGAGACAGGGCATTTTATTATAGATATAACATTTATCAATAGGAAGTATAAAGTTCAAACATTTACATCGAAACCTCACATTATAAAATACCATTTCAATGTTATAAATCTAATTCAATAAAGGGGGAAGTTGATAATTTTGAGAAATGGTTATATGAGGATGATTAGCTCTATAATTAGGTTCAAAAGTGGCATTTTTTTATTTTTGAGCAAGGAGGAGGAGAGAGCCTAGAAGAAAACTCTTGCTTTTATTTATATTTAAATTCTAGGACTGAACCCATAAAACAATGCTTTGGAAGTTAGAATCAAAGGAACCAATATTCAAATGGATACTATTTCATATATATCGGATAAGACGATTTTATCAGTAAGAAATTAGTTGGATCAATTTCAGACTTTACTATTAAGTACAATTATAATGAACTATAAGAAACCAAGATGAGTATAAATATCAATAATTTTAGTTTGTCATTTCTCATGCTCAACCTGTGATGGACCAACAGCAAATGATTGTCTAAGTTGTGACAGTGAATAAAATCGGATCTTTGATTCTATTAATAGATCTTGTGTCTGTTTAAAACATTATTTGCAAGTTGAAAAGAATAAAAATTGTTAATCAATCAAGACCATCTTCCCTTTTTCAGAAGAAAATTAAATAACTACAATCAATGAAGACTATTGTGATTTTGGGTATTTTAAAATCCCTAAAGATGATGGGTTTATATGTAAAAAATGGTAATTTATTTATAATCTATTTAGTCCATTTGCAATTGTTAATCATATTTATTGCTTAGATTGTTATGAATATCCAAATGAATGGTATCTGAATACTCTATGCACTATTGATTTTCTGTAACAAGACAGAACTTAGGATCAAGGCTACATCTTGTATGAAAGAAGTGAAAAAGAATATGAAGTCTTCCTACTTGATATTGAAGATAATCTGAAATACTTCGAATAGTATAAGTATATTTGCAGTGAATCTGATATTCGATTAGGATTTAGAAATTGTGTTTAACTCAAAATTCCTAATTTGAAATAAGAAACATTTGTAGAGTGCACTTCGAATTATTATTATGAGAATGGAGATTGCATTTAATGCCAAAGTAATTGTTTACAATGTCAATCTAAAAACTAATGCGATCTTTGCATTTCATAATGGTATATCCAGAAAGAAGAATGTTTTCAATGTCCTATAAATTGCCTTTCATGTTAATACAATGAATAATTGGAAGATGTTCAATGTCAGTCTTGCAGATAGTACAAATTTATTTACTATTAAGAAAATTTGCATTAATCAGAGGAACTTGTTAACCATGTGGAAACTATTGTCTAACTTGTATAGAAGATTTTGACCCTGAGACACAAGAATATTTCAATAGGTGTTTATAATGCATAGACACTTCAAAATATTATATCTCAATAACGGGAGGATATTGCTTAGAGAATACAATTTAAAATTGCTTATATGCTTATGAATACTTATAAATAGATGATTTAATGATTAATACTTTGGATTATAAATTTTAAACTAATTCCTAAATTAAGCCTACAATTAGTTGTGCTAGATGCAAAGATTATTTTGGAGTTGATGAAACCAATTAATGCTAAGATATAACCAATTTTAATTTTAATGATTGCTTATTTTCAGCTCATCTTGATACAATCTAAGGTTAGGTTTGTATCATTGGATCAGAAAGTAAACAATCAAACAAATGTGCTTTAACCACTCTTTATTGCTAAATATGTTTATATTTGAAATCTGTTGAAAAGAACTTCTGTATCGCTTGTTAAAATGGGTATTATGCAGATAGATTAACTGGACTATGTTTTTAATGTCCAAAATCCTTATTCTGTAGTACATGTTATTAATAAATGAAAACCAATCAGGATTATTGGTTAATCAATATAATGAATTATTATGAGACCATCATCAATAAGGATGGATTACATACTTTTCGAAAGAATGCTCAAAGTCAATCTAATTCTGACTATGAAGTCATTTGTTCTGCTTGTATCGATTCATATTAAATGTAAAATAACCTATGCATCAAATAATGTCCAGAGGATTGTGCTTAATGTATCTTCTAAGATAATTAATTTGTTTGTCTTAAATGTATTTATGAAAGTTAAGGTCGCATGCTAACTATTTTTAATAATTAATGCTTAAGATGTCCCTAAAATTGTAAAGTTTGCAGAAATAGATCTCAAGATGAAATTACTGCGCTTAATCCATTTTTTTAGGATGAAAAGTACATCATGTATACAAGGCAGTGTTTAATACCTTTAAATGACTAAGTAGTTTTTAATAAGGAATATGGCATTTTTCAGGAATGTAATCTTGAAGGCTTTTGTGAAAATTATATGTAATTTTTAATTAAACTATATTGTGATTATGAAGAATATAAGAATGCTGAGTAGTTAAATCAAGATTATTTATAATTTTAGCAAGGGAATATGTATTTAAATGATTTACTTAAAAATAATTTTTCTATCTTTTCCAATGATTTGCTATTTTAATATGGAAACCAAGCTTAAATTTCTTCTATAAATTTTTAAATAATAAGCAAACAAAGCCAAAATTGTATTTTAGATGAAGATTTCACAATATCCTCCAACCTTAAAGAGCATATCTTTACCTTAAAGTATTAAATTATATTATTTTAGAACTGTAAATATTTAGATAATTGGTGAAACTCTATTAACATTTAAATTATCTGGCAATTTGTAATTTGTTAACTTTGAAAATATTTTATTATAAAATATTAAGTTTGAGGTTGCTCCTTTTCTCAATTAACAACTGTAAATTCAAGCCTAATCATTAACTTATCAAAACATCAACTTTATAGATTTGACTTTTACATCATCCATTGATACTCTTGGATGTTCAATTTAAATTAAAGATGCATAATAATTACTAATACAAAACGTTATATTGTAAGATTATAGATAAGATGGACCAAATGCTTTTTTAGACATTTATTCTTCAGATTAAAAGGGCTCCACATCAATTTTGGATTTTCAATTAATTAATACAGATATTCGAAATTCTGTTTTATTTTAATTTTAAACTTAAAAAGATCACATAATAGAATTGTAGAATCTCTTTATTAATCTTAATTTATTAGAATCTTAATTTATTTTCTGTGCTTTGACTTCTGGATGCGGAGAAATAAAGATTTCAAATTTCGAATTTATTTAATCAGTAAGTATTAACTCTCACATATTCTCACTATAAAAATTTAGTGATGCTAAATTCAGCAATCTGTTAATCAGGAATATAGAATTAGCGGAGTCCATCTTTATTTAATTTATATAAAAGCTTACAATCACAAATTTTATTTTTAGGGATTCAAGAATACTAAACGCTCTATTATTCAAAAATGATTTACAAGCAGATCTCTAAAAATCTATTGCCATATTTTCAAATATTTAACTAATATCAAATTCATACAATAAGAAATCAAAATTTATTACTATATATCGATATGCTGCCCAAGAATCATCACTATTAGTTTAAGGAGCCAGTTTCCTTGAAAATTATTTAATAGATGTGATAATGATGGAAAATTTAAAATAAATCGATTAATCTCTAATCATTTTGTAAAGTGATTAAATTATGCTTAATGATGTAACCATCCATCAAGGTAATGGTTTACCTTTAATATCTTTGATTAATTCATAAATTATTGAAATTAATAATCTATATATCAAAACCAGTGATAATGTAAAAGATTAAATTCAAAAATAGGAATTAAGTATATCATAATTAGGATTGATTATATAGTTTTTTGCAACTCAATAATTATAAATTAATAATATGATTGTTGAATCAGTATTATTAAGTAACTATCCTGTAATAAGTTATGAATCAATTACAACTTCTATATCTGAATAGAATGAACTTTTTGTAATTAACAATTCCTCTTTTTTATTAAATATTTTAGTTTTTGATTCAACAAGAAATAGTGTTAGTCTATTAGAGCTAATTTCTGAGTAATATATTGTTGTGAGATTTGACAATGTTAATTTTAAGAACAATATATTATATCATAAAAATCAAGGTTAAAAGCAGAATTCTGCCACCCTGCTTTACTTGGGTTGTTAAACCTGTACATATCACTTTAATTCTAACTAATTTATATCCAATATTGTATTAAACGCAAGTGTTAGTATAATCTATGCTTACTCAAAAGAAGTAATTATAATTGGCTCTCAATTTTCAAAAAATGGTGTTTATAACACAGAAATCAAAAACTAATTGAAAGTTCTTTCTGTAGATGTAAACAATAAAATGATCAATTAAAGGAGTGCGAATGGAATATTTTATTGCTCTTTTCTTAGAATTTATGATACATTATTTGAATTTTCAAATGCTATCCTGGCTAGCGGATTTTACTTTTTATCATCATCTTATGGATACCTAGATGTTAAAAGGACAATTTTTTAACATAATTACAATTTCATCTCTAGTGATAATTCATAAGGAGGATCAATATACATAGGAGGCAATAGCAATTAGTATTTAATTAATCTTGAAAATAATATATTTAAAAATATCTCATCAATATGTGGTGGAGTCTTGTAAATTTAAAATAATCTAGGTAAATCGATGATATCCATTAAATATACAACAATTGAAGATGTTAATTCATTATACGGTACAGTTGTCTATGCGGTTTTTTCTTAGTAAATTCAAAACCCAGGAATAATATCTATTTCTGATCTCATTATTAATAATAGTTTTTCTAGCTATGCTAAATTTTAAGCGAATGTATTAGAATAACTGCCAAATTCAGAAATTGAGAATCTTTCCTAAAATAGGTCTATGTTTTATTCTGAATATGGAAAACTCTCTATCAACAATATGCATATATTGCAATCTCATTAAGAAATAATTATCTTGGATTATTTTATAAAAGGACTAGTTCTTTAAAATGTTAATATTAAAAATACAAATTATTCTTAAAATGGATTAATTTTTATTTATCCTAATTTACGTAAATATATGTATATATATATAGTTTAGAAAGCTGAAATTTCAATAAAGGAATTTTCAGTCTCTGGATCATTCATATCTGATTTAAATATTTATTCTGATGATTTAATTTTTGGTTTGATCAATATATAAAACCTTAATGAGTAACATTATATAATTATAGATGATATTTAACTCTAAAAAATCAACTGTAGTGTTTGTTAATATGGATTAATAAATATTTATGGTACCATTACATAGGCAAACTAAATAATGATGAGGAGAATAAATTTATAAAACAATACATGTGGTTTGAGGGGATGCATCAACATATGGACAGACGAGAAGACTTTAGATGATACATCTAACAATAGGTTACTTTAATAAAAAAATTTGAAATTAAATTTTCCTTACTCAATCTTAATTGAGAACTATCTTTGTATTGGAAATATAGCTAATTCTGGAGTTTGTCTAAGGAATAAAGACTATTCAGTTTTGCTTGAGTCTTCTTAATTTCTAAATAACAAGGCAACTAATAAAGGAGGAGCTATAGTATTTTAAGGGAGCAAAGCTATTTTTAAGATATTGAATAGCATAGTAGCCAATAATGTTGCCGAAGTTGCTGGAGGAATTTATTATTCTCAATCATTCTCACAAAATTATTCCTACCTTAATTCTTATATTTTGAATAATAGTGCAACTTACTATGGAGACGATACTATTGAATTACCAAATAAACTACTAATAACTATCAACAATTATTAATATTCAAACAAATAAATATTCTTCGAAAAGTAAATGGTAATCGATTAAGCAGTGATTGCAAACTAACAACAAAATAATTACTCTATTATTTAATTACCAAGTGCACAGCTTATATATTTATATTAAAGGTTTGACTGGCAGAATAATAATTATATAATGATGAATTATACTTTAAGATTAATTCCATATGATTAAAGGAATAATAGAATAAAAAATTTAACATATAGTAAATGTACTATTAAAGGAAGATTATATGATTTTATGAAAATAGAAGAAAGTGAATAAAAGAGTTTTAGTAATAATTTTACAAATTTAAATGAAGTAGTGTATGATAATTCATTGGAAGAGTATAATTTTGATCATTTAATTATATATTTTGATCCTGATTTACCTGAAAATATAGTATTATAATTTGAATTTAAATGTGATTCAATTAGAATACCAATTATAAATGAAGATTCATAATTGGATACAATAATGTAATAATCGGAAGAATATTATTTAAGATTGAATATTAAAACATTACCTTGTTAAATAGGAGAATTAAAAAGTGATGAAGATTTCTCTTGTCATCCTTGTGATTATACTTAAGATTATTATTCAGTTAATCTAAATTCAAATAAATGTAAAATTAGAGATAATATATAAATGATAGAAGTAAAGTCAGCGTAAATTAAATTAAGACCTGTAAATTATTTAAATTTTATTATTTTTTAGAATTTCTGGAGACCTTATTTTTATGCAGATCTAGTTGAAAATTGTTATAATTTTGAATTTAATTGTTTAGGAGGATGGGATTATGGAGATTATTCATGTTCTTTAGGTCATATTGGAGCATTATGTGAATAATGTGATATTTATAATACAAGAGGAGATGGATCATATTCAATTAGTTAAAAATATAAATGTGGCTCTTGTGATAATACTGATTCAAATACTTTAATCATTATAGCCATTTCATTATGGTACTTATTAAACGTTATAATAGGACTCTTATTTCTATTTCGATTTCTGTTAAAAGCACAGTAGAAATTATTAAATAATTAGCCAAAGCATCCAAATTAAAGTAGATTGGTATTATGATAATAGTCACAAAAAACAATGCTGTTAATTTCATTAAGATTCTTACCAATTATCTTTAAATTATTGCATCTATTAGTACTTTTTAATTGGAATTGCCTTAAAATATGGAATATGCTATGAATTCTTTAGGAAATCCAGTAGAAACAATGGCATATTCTTTGGATTGTTTTTTAAAAGATATGTTCGAAAGTATTTCAATTCATTATTCAAGAACAATATGGTAATTAATTATGCCAATTGTTTATATTCTATTATTTTTATAATTTTATGGAGTAGGAGTAATTCTTAAATATTTTGATTTTAATTGTTGTGTTATTTCAACATCATTAATATATATGTTCATATATTTCTAACCTAATATTATTGCTGGATAAATTGGATTGTTATCTTATAGAACAATCTCAGGATATAAATGGNTTTGACTGGCAGAATAATAATTATATAATGATGAATTATACTTTAAGATTAATTCCATATGATTAAAGGAATAATAGAATAAAAAATTTAACATATAGTAAATGTACTATTAAAGGAAGATTATATGATTTTATGAAAATAGAAGAAAGTGAATAAAAGAGTTTTAGTAATAATTTTACAAATTTAAATGAAGTAGTGTATGATAATTCATTGGAAGAGTATAATTTTGATCATTTAATTATATATTTTGATCCTGATTTACCTGAAAATATAGTATTATAATTTGAATTTAAATGTGATTCAATTAGAATACCAATTATAAATGAAGATTCATAATTGGATACAATAATGTAATAATCGGAAGAATATTATTTAAGATTGAATATTAAAACATTACCTTGTTAAATAGGAGAATTAAAAAGTGATGAAGATTTCTCTTGTCATCCTTGTGATTATACTTAAGATTATTATTCAGTTAATCTAAATTCAAATAAATGTAAAATTAGAGATAATATATAAATGATAGAAGTAAAGTCAGCGTAAATTAAATTAAGACCTGTAAATTATTTAAATTTTATTATTTTTTAGAATTTCTGGAGACCTTATTTTTATGCAGATCTAGTTGAAAATTGTTATAATTTTGAATTTAATTGTTTAGGAGGATGGGATTATGGAGATTATTCATGTTCTTTAGGTCATATTGGAGCATTATGTGAATAATGTGATATTTATAATACAAGAGGAGATGGATCATATTCAATTAGTTAAAAATATAAATGTGGCTCTTGTGATAATACTGATTCAAATACTTTAATCATTATAGCCATTTCATTATGGTACTTATTAAACGTTATAATAGGACTCTTATTTCTATTTCGATTTCTGTTAAAAGCACAGTAGAAATTATTAAATAATTAGCCAAAGCATCCAAATTAAAGTAGATTGGTATTATGATAATAGTCACAAAAAACAATGCTGTTAATTTCATTAAGATTCTTACCAATTATCTTTAAATTATTGCATCTATTAGTACTTTTTAATTGGAATTGCCTTAAAATATGGAATATGCTATGAATTCTTTAGGAAATCCAGTAGAAACAATGGCATATTCTTTGGATTGTTTTTTAAAAGATATGTTCGAAAGTATTTCAATTCATTATTCAAGAACAATATGGTAATTAATTATGCCAATTGTTTATATTCTATTATTTTTATAATTTTATGGAGTAGGAGTAATTCTTAAATATTTTGATTTTAATTGTTGTGTTATTTCAACATCATTAATATATATGTTCATATATTTCTAACCTAATATTATTGCTGGATAAATTGGATTGTTATCTTATAGAACAATCTCAGGATATAAATGGATATTAGGTAATGTTGCTAATAGATATGATACAAATGATCATTACAAATGGTTACTATCATTCAGTTTTCCAGTTTTATTTACTTTTGGTGTTTTATTACCTGGATTACTATTTAATAGACTTTATAAAATCAGAAATACTTTATAACATATGAAAAACAGATTGATTTGGGGTTATTTGTATAATGAATATAAAGAAATTGCATATTATTGGGAAATCATTAAGATAATTTAGAAAGAATTAATTATAATTGTACTTACTTTTTATCAAGATTAAATTATAGTTAAAGCAGTTTTAGCTTATGGGATTATCTTTATATACAATTACTTAACTTTATAAATATTTCCATATTAATCTATGTAACTTAACATTTTAGATCATTAATCAACTAGAGTTTGTGGTTTTTCTATAGTTTTGGCAATAGGAATTTATGGATCTTTATAAAGTGCCATAATCGAGGTTTAAATTCCATTTTATATTATTATGGCAATCATCAATTTTCTATTTTTGGCTAAGTTAATCTTATAAATAATCAAGGCTTATTTTTAATAATTTGAACTTATAATTGATATAATTAGAGATTTCATTAGAACTAAAATCCCATCACTATAATAATATCCTGTCTTTTAAAAATTATTAAAAAATTAACAATAAACTCGATTAAGAGCTTAAAAGAATTTTAGAAAAATCAAAGCCTCTGTTATATTATTGTCAAGATAAATTCTTTAAAATAAAAAAGTCAACAATACTTAAGAAAGAAAAGGAACTTTCGTTTTTGAAACTAAGTTAACACTTAATTAATTAGAAACATAGCAAAATCAGTAACGTTCATCATTAGTAGAAGATAACAAAAAAATTTAATTAATAGGGTTAAATGTTAATTGAATTTATAAAATATGTAATTTATTTGAATTGTTATTATTGTATATTTAATCATTCAAAGCATCTAAATCCATCCTTAGGTATATAAGGAAAAAATTAAATAGTTGTAGGTAATTTGTATTCCTTTTGAAATAGAGGCTATTAACTATTAATTGAAATATTCCTGATGCTATTTACTACAGATTCGGCTTTGATGCTATCTTCTAATAAACCAATATAAGGAGGAATTATAATATCTGATTAATATAACTCTGAAATTACTTGATCTTCCCTTCCTAGGATCATTCTGCTTCTCTCCGATAAGTAATTTTAGTCTTCCTTTTAGTATCCATTAAATATGCGATGATTATTAGTTATTTATGGAATCTTTATTTCAAAGCTGGGTTGTTCATTATTTAGTTCCCTATCTATTTTTTTTAAAGGGTCAATAACTGATGGCTTCGGCTAGATAAGAGTGTTCTTTTAATTTTTTTTGATATCATCATAATATTATGTAAGTTATTCAATTGAAAATACTTTGTCAAATAGCTAAATAAATTAGTCTGCATACATTAAGGCGTAATTGATCAAAATTTTTCTATTCTATACATACCATAAAATTAAGGTAGATCTTTAAACTAGTTTCACATCTCTCATTACACATCNTTTCTAACCTAATATTATTGCTGGATAAATTGGATTGTTATCTTATAGAACAATCTCAGGATATAAATGGATATTAGGTAATGTTGCTAATAGATATGATACAAATGATCATTACAAATGGTTACTATCATTCAGTTTTCCAGTTTTATTTACTTTTGGTGTTTTATTACCTGGATTGCTATTTAATAGACTTTATAAAATCAGAAATACTTTATAACATATGAAAAACAGATTGATTTGGGGTTATTTGTATAATGAATATAAAGAAATTGCATATTATTGGGAAATCATTAAGATAATTTAGAAAGAATTAATTATAATTGTACTTACTTTTTATCAAGATTAAATTATAGTTAAAGCAGTTTTAGCTTATGGAATTATCTTTATATACAATTACTTAACTTTATAAATATTCCCATATTAATCTATGTAACTTAACATTTTAGATCATTAATCAACTAGAGTTTGTGGTTTTTCTATAGTTTTGGCTATTGGAATTTATGGATCTTTATAAAGTGGCATAATCGAGGTTTAAATTCCATTTTATATTATTATGGCAATCATCAATTTTCTATTTTTAGCCAAGTTAATCTTATAAATAATCAAAGCTTATTTTTAATAATTTGAACTTATAATTGATATAATTAGAGATTTCATTAGAACTAAAATCCCATCACTATAATAATATCCTGTCTTTTAAAAATTATTAAAAAATTAACAATAAACTCGATTAAGAGCTTAAAAGAATTTTAGAAAAATCAAAGCCTCTGTTATATTATTGTCAAGATAAATTCTTTAAAATAAAAAAGTCAACAATACTTAAGAAAGAAAAGGAACAATTATATTTTAGACTAATCTTACTCATTCTTTAGATAAAGTATTATTTTCAGAATCATCATCTAATAGAATAAACAAGAATAATTCAGAAAAATAAAAATTGATTGAATGAATTCAACTATAAAAAACCTAATATCATTGGCATCTCTAAATTTTAATCGATTCTCTTGATTAATTTTTTTCTCTTCGTTATTAATCATTATATGAAAAATATATATCCAGGTTATTTAAAAATGAGTTCTTATTTAATTAAATTATCAATCAAAATCTTAATTTTAAAACAATATGTAAAAACATCTGATCTTTATATTTTTATGGATAAGGTAATAATAGCTTGTTAATATTAAAGAGTACTAAGCTAATTTGATGAATTTCCAAAACACTTATTTAATAGCAATTAAAAATAGAAAAGATTACTTTAATCAGAATGCCATTATTCCTGTTAAGAATGTGACGGATCTACTGAATAAGATTGTTTATCTTGTAATTCAGGAGTTGGCCGATATTATGATTCTATAAAAAGAATGTGTTTTTGTGAGAACAATCTCTTTGATGTTGGACTATAAGAATGCTAAACTTTCAATGATGCTGTTCCATCTGGAGAATTAAATTAAGAAAACTATCGAAATGAGGGATATTGTAAATTTGGACAATTTTAGGTTATGTTAGAAAACAATACAATCGTTTGTTTAAATTGGTACTTAATTAATATATATTCAGTCCAAAATCATTAAATGGCAATATAAATTGTTTAGACTGCTATCTTTATCCAGATCTCTGGTATAAGTAGCCTAGATGCACTACTGATTTTATAAGACATAAAGCAGATGAAAATTATGGTTATTTGATGTAATTAAGAAAAGAAATTGATTTTGAGACATACTTTATAACTGAAACATTTTCTTTGATATCAAATCTCTACTATTAATACCTATGTTCAGAATAAGATTTGATTCTAGGAGAATTAGATTGCAAATTGATGAATTAAAAACATTTAGATAAGCAAATATATGCAGTATGTAAAGATAATTCCTTTTACAATTCTAACTCTTGCATTTTATGCCCAATGTTTTGTAAAAAGTGTAATAAAAATGAATGCATAGATTGCATTAATCACTCATACTTATACAATGGAGTATGTTTTGAATGTCCTTAAGAATGTAAAGAATGTGAATACAATTACGAATTGAATATTGCATAATGCAATTTATGCTATGAGTAATTATTACTGTTAATTAGGTCTTCTGGATTAGTTTAGGGAAAATGCATAGAGTGCGGATTAAATTGTGCTTCATGCATGTTTTGGAGATTTTTTGATGTAGATTATGGGGTTTGGGTATAATATCTCAGATGTATTTAATGTGTTGATCCTTCTAAATACTTTCTCTCGTTCAATGGTCTTGATTGTTTAGAAAACATGCTTCAAAATTGCTTATATGCATATCAAACAGATGATCTTTTCTATTTTTATATGACAACTTATGATTATAAATTCAAGAGCTTTTCAGATGTTATATCTGGATGTGCTAGATGCAAAGAAGGATATGATGTCGATACAAAAGGAAATTGTGTTCCTTCAGAAAACGCAAACGATCCTTGCTTGTTTATTTACAGAAATTACTATGATGAAAATTAATGTCTAATAAGTAATTAGCAAGGGAGTATACAGAACAACCAATGTTCTGAGATCATTTCAAATTGTTAGAAATGTATTTTAGAGTCTTGGACTGATAAATTACTTTGTATTCAATGTCAACCTGGGTACTATGCTCATAGATTATTTGGTTATTGCATATAATGTCCTGAAGAATTGAATTGTTAAGAGTGCTATCAATAGTAAACTCTCTTTTAAGATAGTTGGGTAGTAAATATCAGAAGCTTTTATGAGGGTGCTATTGATGCTGTATTTGTTTAAACAGAGAACACACTTCCAAAAACTTTTCGAACATATGCATAAAGTTAGGATGTCAGTGATTATGAGATTTCGTGTGAAATATGTTTAGATGGATTTTAGCTTCATAATAATATCTGCATTATGAAATGTTCTTAGGATTGCTTAGAATGTTAAATTGAAAATAATCAAAACATTTGCATAAGATGTTAAAATGATTAATATGGAAATGTATAATCCTTAGTTAACAACAAATGCCTGTCCTGCCCTTCAAACTGTGAATTATGCATCCCAAGGAATCCTGAAGAAATTAATAATTTAAATCCTTATTTTCAAGATTAAAATTATTATAATTTTGCTAATCGATGTGTTAAAAGCTCTAATCAATAAACATTTGCTTATAACCCTGACTATGGATATTTTATTAATTGCGAAACTAAAGATAATATATGTTAAAATGTTTTGGCCATTACTCTAAAGTTGTATTGCAATCAAGAGTAATATAATTAAGATTTAGAACTTTCATCTGACACTTTGGAAAAAAGGAACAAATTTTTGAAAACCACATTATTATTAGATAATCTTTTGATTAATTCATTTTAATATTTCGAAACTGATTGGTTTTACTCTTTATTGAACATAAAATAAATAAAAATTCTTAAAATAATAATTTAAACATATTTGAAATAAGATTGTTTTATAAAAAATAAAGTGATTATTGCTTAACTTTTTCGAATACATGTATTTTCCTTAAGGTAATAAGTATATTATTATTAGTTCTGTAAATCTTGAATTTATTGGGACTCAGGATACTAATTTTTTTATCTTTGACACTTTAGAGTTTCACAACTTTACAAGCATATCTTTTGATGCAATAAACTTTAGTTTCATGAAATCGCCTATTATATATCAATAAAATTTTAAGTTTATAAGTGTTTTGCAATAGACAATACTATTTAAAAATTTAAAGATTATGCAGGAGACTAATCAGATTTAAGATATCAATATTTAATTTAAAAACATTGAATTTATTTATATTTTATATGTGTAAGTCTTAAATCTAAATTTGAATTCTACAAATGGATTATTTTAATTTATATAACCAGATTAAACCAATACTGGGATAATTAAATTTGAAAACTTAGATATTTAATCAACCAATTTAATCAATTCTACACTAGTATCTTGTGAGATTACCAACCCATTTACGATTTATTTATAAAACATCTCGCTTGGTTTGAATTTGGCAAATTCGGAATTTTTTGCATCCAAATAGGTGATTAATTTCGGAAATTTAATCATAAATAAATTAGAACTTACTAATTCAGTAATTAAAAACTCTTCATGCTTAATTTAGGGAAATTTTTTCAAGCTAATTGATATAAATTTTATTACTTTACAATAAAATTAATTTGATAATAGCAATCTATTGTCCTTGAACAATAACATTACAATATCGAATTTAAAAATAGATAATTGTGTTTTACTAAACAGTCATTTAATACTGAATCATTTAGCTGAAAAAAATCAAGAAGATATTATCTATTTATTTTAATTCAGCAATTTTGCAATAATAAATAATAAATATAATGTAGGCACTAAGTACATTACAATCTATCGTTATACTTCTACTACTTCTAAGATTATTTTAGATTAATTAAAAATGAAGAATAATTAAATAATTGACACTGAAGTGAAAAACCAAAAGAAAGAATCAAGCGCCTCAATTATATTCGAAAGTGATGATATATCTCTTAAAAATTTTGAAATATTTAAATTAAGAGGGATACCTGATTTTTCAATAATAAATTCGCAAAGTTTAAATATAAATGATTTATACATCACTTCTTAGATCAGCAAAGAAAAGTTGTTTTTATAGAAATCATCATCATAAATCAGCGATTTAGGAATAATATTTCATATTTATTCAGTAAAATTGATTAAATTTATTGGTGTGCAAATAGAATCTCTATTTCTTCATAATTACCCTATTATTTATTATGAATAAGCAACAAAAACATTATTAAATTAAGATGGTTAAATTGAAATTTTGGATTCAAAATTTACAAATAATCTTTTATTTTAAAGTAATTCTTAATTTAGTACTAACCTAATTGAAATTTTCTCTGGATAAAAGGTAATAATTAATGTCATTAATTCTACATTTGAAAATAATACCATCTATTTTTAAACATCAAGTACTGGTGATTAATCAGCTAACCTCTTAGATATTGATTGCTCTGAATGTTCAGTTAGTTTTAAGGAATTAAACTTTTTATCCAATGTAGCGATTAATACAACTTCTTCAACGCTCTTTATCAAGGCCGCCTAAATCTCAATCAGATAGAGTGTCTTTAATTAAAGTGGTTTTGTGAGTAAATTTATAATAAGTTTCTTAAAACAAATATAAGTAGATTATGATAATAGTTTATTTTATTAAGGATCTGGAAGTGGAGTCTATTAAACTGATACTATGTATGTAAAGGATTGTAAATTTTTGAATCAATATGGCTCAAAAGGGGCATCCATGTTATTTTCCACTTTAACCACAGGATACTTAAGAATTGAAAGTACTATAATTGATACTTCCCAAAATTACTTCCTCTAAAAATACGAAAAAGGAGGTGTAATTTTTGTAAGTTCTTCCACAGTCAAATTTTAATTGGAGATCATTAATTGCTAGATTTCAAATGTTTATTCAGTTTAAGGAGGGCTAATAATGATAGAAAGTCCATAAAACAGCATTTAAATTTTAATCCATAACTCAGAGATAGTGAATTCTTTCTCTTTGATTGGATCATTAGTTTATCTTAATTTTGAAGAATCATATGCTAATACATCTTTCCTACAACTTTAAAATTTAAAATTATCAACCACATTAGAAGGCTTTTCTAAGTATTTTTCGTTGTTTTATAACAATAACAATCTTAATCTATAAGAAATAGAAGCATTAGAGAATTTCTTAATTTTATTGTATGAGAGATCTATAATATTTTCTAAGTTAGGTAGAATTTCAATAACTAACCTTATAATTTCTGGACTAATTAATGAAATCATTATTTATGATTAATCTATCAAAATGCTACAAGTAAACTCGCTTTTTATAAAAAATTCATCAATAGCAAATAAAGGCTTGATATATGTTGTGCCATATTAAAGTACTATTTAGATATTAATTTTTAGATTCAAATTTTTCTATTGATATAAATTCTTTTCTGGTTGAAAATCTGATAACAAATACAGATGAAATTCAAAATTTATATTTAAAGTCTACAAATATAAGCAGAGAAAATATCTTAGGTATTATCAATATTATAAATATCCATAAAAATGGGAATATAAAATTTAGGAACATAAAATTTTAGAATAATTATTGTTCTAGTTGTTTAGCAGGTCTAATGAACTTTCAATTTAATACTTATAATAATAATAATTTAAATATTTATGATATAACTTTTAAATAGAATAAATGTGGATAACGAGGCTGCCTAAACATAATTTAGGATAGCATCTATTATTATCAGATCGATTATGAGGATAATATGAGATTATTAGAAAGCGTAGATGTAAATAACAGCATAAATTATGTGTTCAAAATTTAAGATTATTATTGCTATTAAAACTAAGGGACTTTTGGAGTTTGCTTATTTATATAGAATTTAGCAGGTTAGATCAATGGAGCAATATTTGCTTAAAATACAGCTATAGTATCAGGAGGTGCAGTTTATTCATTTGGAAATAAATCAAATTTGCTTATAATGAAAGCTCAAATAATAGAAAATATTGCTGCTTTTGGAGGTGGTATGACAATTAGAAATCATTTTTCTCCAAATTTAATTTCGTATGAAACCTTTTCCTTCGAAAATTCTGCTCTTTATTTTGGAAATGATTATGCAGAGTATCCAACTCATGCTGTCATTTAAATAAATAATTACAATCAATTTCTATATAAATAACATTCTATAAACACACAATAAAACAAAGTTAGAATATACACTGCTACTTAATTGAAAAATGAATCTGAAATAAAATGGATTTCTTTACCAAGTGCATAACATCTATATTTATATGAATAGTTTGACTGGCAGAATAATAATTATATAATGATGAATTATACTTTAAGATTAATTCCATATGATTAAAGGAATAATAGAATAAAAAATTTAACATATAGTAAATGTACTATTAAAGGAAGATTATATGATTTTATGAAAATAGAAGAAAGTGAATAAAAGAGTTTTAGTAATAATTTTACAAATTTAAATGAAGTAGTGTATGATAATTCATTGGAAGAGTATAATTTTGATCATTTAATTATATATTTTGATCCTGATTTACCTGAAAATATAGTATTATAATTTGAATTTAAATGTGATTCAATTAGAATACCAATTATAAATGAAGATTCATAATTGGATACAATAATGTAATAATCGGAAGAATATTATTTAAGATTGAATATTAAAACATTACCTTGTTAAATAGGAGAATTAAAAAGTGATGAAGATTTCTCTTGTCATCCTTGTGATTATACTTAAGATTATTATTCAGTTAATCTAAATTCAAATAAATGTAAAATTAGAGATAATATATAAATGATAGAAGTAAAGTCAGCGTAAATTAAATTAAGACCTGTAAATTATTTAAATTTTATTATTTTTTAGAATTTCTGGAGACCTTATTTTTATGCAGATCTAGTTGAAAATTGTTATAATTTTGAATTTAATTGTTTAGGAGGATGGGATTATGGAGATTATTCATGTTCTTTAGGTCATATTGGAGCATTATGTGAATAATGTGATATTTATAATACAAGAGGAGATGGATCATATTCAATTAGTTAAAAATATAAATGTGGCTCTTGTGATAATACTGATTCAAATACTTTAATCATTATAGCCATTTCATTATGGTACTTATTAAACGTTATAATAGGACTCTTATTTCTATTTCGATTTCTGTTAAAAGCACAGTAGAAATTATTAAATAATTAGCCAAAGCATCCAAATTAAAGTAGATTGGTATTATGATAATAGTCACAAAAAACAATGCTGTTAATTTCATTAAGATTCTTACCAATTATCTTTAAATTATTGCATCTATTAGTACTTTTTAATTGGAATTGCCTTAAAATATGGAATATGCTATGAATTCTTTAGGAAATCCAGTAGAAACAATGGCATATTCTTTGGATTGTTTTTTAAAAGATATGTTCGAAAGTATTTCAATTCATTATTCAAGAACAATATGGTAATTAATTATGCCAATTGTTTATATTCTATTATTTTTATAATTTTATGGAGTAGGAGTAATTCTTAAATATTTTGATTTTAATTGTTGTGTTATTTCAACATCATTAATATATATGTTCATATATTTCTAACCTAATATTATTGCTGGATAAATTGGATTGTTATCTTATAGAACAATCTCAGGATATAAATGGATATTAGGTAATGTTGCTAATAGATATGATACAAATGATCATTACAAATGGTTACTATCATTCAGTTTTCCAGTTTTATTTACTTTTGGTGTTTTATTACCTGGATTACTATTTAATAGACTTTATAAAATCAGAAATACTTTATAACATATGAAAAACAGATTGATTTGGGGTTATTTGTATAATGAATATAAAGAAATTGCATATTATTGGGAAATCATTAAGATAATTTAGAAAGAATTAATTATAATTGTACTTACTTTTTATCAAGATTAAATTATAGTTAAAGCAGTTTTAGCTTATGGGATTATCTTTATATACAATTACTTAACTTTATAAATATTTCCATATTAATCTATGTAACTTAACATTTTAGATCATTAATCAACTAGAGTTTGTGGTTTTTCTATAGTTTTGGCAATAGGAATTTATGGATCTTTATAAAGTGCCATAATCGAGGTTTAAATTCCATTTTATATTATTATGGCAATCATCAATTTTCTATTTTTGGCTAAGTTAATCTTATAAATAATCAAGGCTTATTTTTAATAATTTGAACTTATAATTGATATAATTAGAGATTTCATTAGAACTAAAATCCCATCACTATAATAATATCCTGTCTTTTAAAAATTATTAAAAAATTAACAATAAACTCGATTAAGAGCTTAAAAGAATTTTAGAAAAATCAAAGCCTCTGTTATATTATTGTCAAGATAAATTCTTTAAAATAAAAAAGTCAACAATACTTAAGAAAGAAAAGGAACTTTCGTTTTTGAAACTAAGTTAACACTTAATTAATTAGAAACATAGCAAAATCAGTAACGTTCATCATTAGTAGAAGATAACAAAAAAATTTAATTAATAGGGTTAAATGTTAATTGAATTTATAAAATATGTAATTTATTTGAATTGTTATTATTGTATATTTAATCATTCAAAGCATCTAAATCCATCCTTAGGTATATAAGGAAAAAATTAAATAGTTGTAGGTAATTTGTATTCCTTTTGAAATAGAGGCTATTAACTATTAATTGAAATATTCCTGATGCTATTTACTACAGATTCGGCTTTGATGCTATCTTCTAATAAACCAATATAAGGAGGAATTATAATATCTGATTAATATAACTCTGAAATTACTTGATCTTCCCTTCCTAGGATCATTCTGCTTCTCTCCGATAAGTAATTTTAGTCTTCCTTTTAGTATCCATTAAATATGCGATGATTATTAGTTATTTATGGAATCTTTATTTCAAAGCTGGGTTGTTCATTATTTAGTTCCCTATCTATTTTTTTTAAAGGGTCAATAACTGATGGCTTCGGCTAGATAAGAGTGTTCTTTTAATTTTTTTTGATATCATCATAATATTATGTAAGTTATTCAATTGAAAATACTTTGTCAAATAGCTAAATAAATTAGTCTGCATACATTAAGGCGTAATTGATCAAAATTTTTCTATTCTATACATACCATAAAATTAAGGTAGATCTTTAAACTAGTTTCACATCTCTCATTACACATCAATCCCACATTAGATTCATATTAAATTAATTATTCCTAATAATTTGAAAAGTGCATTACATGAATATCTTCTACAATTTTTTCCATGGGAGTGCCCGACACATTGAATAAACGATCCACCTGTATTTAAAGGTGCTAAGTCCCAGCATAAAAAATTGCTTTAATTTTATTTTTGCTAATTATTTCATTAATCTCCAAAGGCTATTTCGGTAACCTTAATACAAAAAGAGAAAAGCTTGACATAGAATGCCTGATTTTTTCTTCAAGATATATCAGATCTGAATTCATTTCAAAATAATTTATAATAAAATTTATGCTTCTAAAAGCTAATAAAAAAAGCTATTAAACAATAAAAATAAGAAATATCAATATTAAGAAGGTTCTAATAATACCTAGCAACCTCTATTTTATTTTTACTTAAATGTTAGTTTGAACAGACTTATGAATGGACCAAATAGAATTTTTTCAAACTGTTATAGGATTAAATAGGAATTTGAGTGACAATAAATCGGTTAGATGTAGTATATTAAATGCATTTAGAGAATAGAAATAAATTGACATGAAAATAGCCTCCTTCTAAAGTCATACTAAATATAATGTAAATTAAATTTGTTTTAAATTATTTATAGAAAGCTGAAAGAACAGAATGTTTGACAATTATAAAAGGTATTATTTAGAATATTATGAATAGAATAACTTTCAATTTTATATTGTTAGTGAAAGAATAAGATGTTTAGGCATTAATTAACTACTGCTTTGAAAATTAGTTAGAAAAATAATGTTCTGTTCAAGAATTACTATTTAATAAAATGAAAACAATGGCAATTTAGGGATAACGAATATTATTAGAAAAATACTACATTATTATTTATATTTATGCATCAAATTAGGAAATGTATTTCTAGCATATTCATATAATCTTTTATACTGGATTGATATAAATATTATATATTCTATGCGTTATATATATTTTAATATCATGAATCACTTTGATTAATCTCTAACTTTTCTCGACTAGGTTTGTTAGAGTTCAAAGATAAATATTTGGATTTGACAATATTTTTAAACTTCTTCTCCTCATACATTTTGTTTCCTATTCTTCCCCTTGCGTTTATAAACCAAATTTAAATCTAATAATTATAATAATGTACTTGTTTTTAGGTCAGATTACACTTCTCAGCTAATTGTTCAACCTATTCTTTACTTGGATAAGGATAGGAATAGTGTTTATTTAACCAATTTTTTAAAATTAAGTTAGACTTCTTAGAAAACTTTTGGCTCTTTTTTTCAATAGTCTTATCATTTATTTTCATGGTTTATCTTTATTGGGATAACTTAAGTTCATTCTACAAGATTTGGGACATGTAATCAAAATACTGTTGTAATGATTTTAATGTATGAAATTCCAATTGAGAAGGATTTTCACTTAATGATTTAAGGTACATGAGAAGACCTTAAAAATGAAGTACATTGGTGTGGGTTTAACTTTATGAATGAGCTTCGTCTGAATGAGATTGTAATATATCCTCACTAAATGTAATAATTCAATACTTAGGACAATTATGTGAAACCCATTTTGTTAATTATGACTCTAGGTTGGAAACTTGCTATAGAACAAATTGCTTTCTCAATTCTTAGTGAATCGTCAATGATTGAGACATTGAGACTTTGTGATTAAAAATCGAGAAATTATTAATGAAAATTAGATTTAATAATTGATGACATAAATATTCCAAAAATAAAATTGATTCCAAGTTAGAAGACCAAATATATCCCTAAGGGGTTCTAAGATATTGGAATATTTTGTTTAAATAACTAGTAATATTATAGAGTGGAAATTATAAAGTTTGGATATATTTTTTATAAATTTATTTCCTAACTCAATCCCAACTACCTATGCATCTATCGGTACCAAGTTTTACTGACTAACCCTTATCGCATTCTTCCCATCCATAAATTTTGTTGGCTTTACAAGAGCTAGGTTCACAACAGCCTTGAATTATACAAATTAATAAGCTTACCCTTTCTTTTTCCACCACAATTGACTCCTCCTTTGCTTGTGCACAATTTGGTGCAAAATTCATAATTGGCTTCATCTTTTGAGTATGTTTCATGAGAAAGCCTTCTTAAGTTCTGCATAATTAAACAATAAATACATAATATTCTTCCAAAGGTGCATATTAATACATCACTGCTGCTAAGGTGGCTGCCAAAGCAAGGAAAACGAGTAATTTGATTTTTTACATTTTAATAAATGAATATATCTTGTAATAAATTTTTTGGTTGGAAAATTGTCTTTAAATAATTATTTTTAGTATGTATAATTTCATATAAATGAATAATACTTGTATTTTGTGATTATTTAATAATAATATACTTAATCGTTATATTATTTTGAATGCTAAATTCTTCATTTAATTTTTTTGAGGAGAATGACATAGGCAAATTGAGAAAATATGTACCATCATATTATATAATTACAAGTTTATCACTAAAGAAAATGAGTGGAAAAAGGATAAAGCAGTTTTGGAGTAAAAAACCTAATTACTTGAACTTCAATTAGAAGACTATAAGTTGAGGGAAACAAACCAAAGAAAACTAAATGACACTATTACTTAAGCCATCAATGACTCAACAGCCAATTAGAAAGTATTTGGTTGTTTTTACAGTTTAGAAATCGATTGCAGAATTATAAAAGAGTATCGATATTTAACAGAAAGACCATAGTAAGACTAAGTTTAAGGAGTAAATCAAACAGTTTGAACTTTAAGTAATGCTCCTGTTAAATTTAAGGTTAGATCATTATAAGAATAACTATTAGAAAAGGAATCCTAGGCAAAGGAGTTAGAATTACAATACTAAAAGCAATATTTACTATATGATCATCGAATTTCTTAGCTTGAACAAGAAAAACTGATTAATAACCAAGAAAACCAAAGATTAAGAGAATAATTAGCCAAATAGGACGATGTTTATAAATAGAAAGAATAATAATAAAAATTGTTAAATGAACAAGAACTGCAAAAAGTAAAGGAGCTTAGCATACACGATCAGAAGTAAAAGTAATAGGAGTATGAATCCAAATTTGTATAATTATCCACCTTACATGAAAAAGAGAAGGAACAACTCTAATTAAGAATCAGTAAATGCTAGAATACAATTACAAAATATCAGTAACATATTGAATAAAATATCGATATCATTAATTTAAAAAAACAGCATGAGGATTAAATTAAATAGTTAAACAATAACAATACAGAAATTTAGGCGTAATTCTAATATGAAAAACAAATTTTATTAAAACAAATTGAAGAATTAAAAAAACTAAACCGAGACAGCAATTTACAGGAAAGTATGTGTTGTCATGAAAGTACTTCCAAAAAGAGAAGTATCGATGCTGTTAAAATAAAGAGTTCAGTCTAATCATATGATAGTCCTGTTTAATGTAAAAGTTTTCACATAGCATGTCCTGAAAGTAAGGTCTAAATTTATAATAATTACTTGAAAAATTCTTCAACTTAATCTATCATTTTAGCTTAAAAATAATAAATTTAATAGCAATCATATGTAAACAATCAATCTTTTGATAAATCTTCAAATTTAAATGATGGAATCCCTATTTCTATTGATTAGTTCAATTTAATGAAGGATAAAAAATAAAAGTCGTCATCAACTTTATCTATTCCAACCAGCAATAATTACAATCTAAATTCCTACTTATAGGACTAAAGCATATTTTAATAGAATCAGGAATCATTTTAATTAGACTCAAAAAGTAATCTTAAGGATGAAACCTATAAACCTAAAATTATAAAATAAATAAATCCAAATATTTCTAATAGATAAATTTAATTTGATTACAACAGATCAATAAAACACTAATTGTAAAAACACAAGGAATTGAATTATCAAAGATCTATGTCCTAAGAAGGAGTTAAGTAGTAAATTTCAAATCTAAGTAAAATATTAGGTTAAACAGATGTAAGTTATTAATAAAGTACATCTACTTAGCAGATAACAAACAATACTTCACTCAATAGTTTCAAAGTTCCTGCTTTTACTCAAAACTAATTGAGTTGTTTAAAGAATAGTTCATAATATATGTATCCATGTACAACATTAAGGATGAAAGAAAGCCACATACAAAAGTTCAGAAATAACAACAACCATAGTACTCATGAAGAAACCAAGTAAAATAAAGAAAACTATTAACCAATTAAAAAAAATTCGAAAAGTGACATCAAAGTTATCATCGGCAGATTGTTGTAAAATAAGGGGAGATAAAGTGAGCATCAAGAAAATACTGGATATATCATAAGAAATGATAGGATTTGAACCATTTTTTTACTTTATAGCTAATACAACCATAATTTATGTAACATTGCTTATCCTGAATTCTATTTTGACCCACAGACAAAAATTTATTTTTAATTGATAATATTTTGCAATCGCCTAATTTTAAATCAAGAAATAGTTCCTAGGCCATCTATAATCTAATTTAATCTATGCTTAGATAGAGGTGATTTTGTTTAATAATTTTCACAATTAATATTTAGTCTTAAATAAATTATTAATTAAAAAAATGTTAAAGAGTGTGATCAAAACCTTTAGGTTTTCTTAATTCAATACTAAAATTGATCAAATTTAACACCATACTTATGGCCCATTATAGGAAATAGATTTTAAATTGTTGAATATTCGCTAAACTACATCCTTAAGGGAGATCTATTATTCATATATGAAACATATGAAATTATATGAAATTTAGCAATAAGAAGAAAAAATGGAATTAATTAAGAGAGCTTATTTAAGGATTTTGTCGAAACGATTAAATAATATAGATGAAATAACAGAAGAGGAATAAAAGGATTTAAGATTCTTAATGGACAATAATTTTGGTTTCCCATTTGTTGAAGGATTAAGAAGATCAGAGATGATTGCATAATTTTAAGAGGAAATAGAAGCCAAAAGGCTTTACCATTATCCCCGTATAACAATAGCTTTGCTTTGGATAATATTGGGCATTCCTAGTTTCTATTATAGTGACAATTATGTATATGAAAAATGAGTAAAAATAATTAATAATTCATTGTTTTTCAACTGATTAAGGTATTATATAGAATTCTGTATCTTATATTTATAGACATTGATTTTTTAATGGAGTTATTATATTTTCTAAAGCTTAGATTATTTAATTGTTTCTGTTTTGCAAATGTTTACTTTTGCTTAATTGCTTAACATTTTGATAGATTTTAGTATCAAATTCAAAAATGGGTGTGACATCTGATAATATTATGGCTTTGTAACTTTGAAATTACTCAAAATTAGTTTGATCACAAATTAATGTATATGGTTCTTCATTTTAAACGAAAGATTACTTTTAGTCTAACTCAATAAATTCCTATAAAGAATCTGAAAATGTCATATCCACAGACCTTTCTTCAGAATAAACATCCTCTGCTACTTCTTCTTCTGAATCTAATTCATATTCAATGAATGAATATTGACAGAAAGGTGATCTTGGATTGACTTACTTATACCCAATAAGCTTGCCATTATAGTATCTACAAGAATCAAAAACATCAAAATAGACCTTTCGTTTATTAATTTATAGAGGTTTTTTTGGTTTATTAGTGGTATCATCGTTGGACAATTAATGTGATAATTCAGAGAAATTCTAAATATTATTTGGTTCTAAACAAGAGATTTTCTTTTCAAATTCTAATTATTTATCTTAATCCCATTTTGATGAAGGCTCTTAGTTAGACTTTTTGAAATTGTTTTTAGTTGACTTTCTCATAAACTTTTGCAGATTATCATTTTTAATTTTTATTTTGGTGGATTCTTTATTTTCCCTTTTTGATTTCATCAAATTATCTTCTTTAGGCATTTTATTGATTTCTACTATATTATAAAAGATTACTTTTTGTACTTTGATCTTAATTTTTGGACTGATCATTTATTGGTTTAGCAAAGGAGACTTTATTAAAGGTCTATGCAGATTCATCTGTAATGAGATCTTCAGAAATGTATTTTTCGATGAAATCTTCATTGACAGATTTTGTAAATGGGAATTGTAAGGATGCTTTAATATTAATATATTTTAGGAAAGCATCTTCAATTCTTGCAATATTCAAGGAATCAAGAGAATCTAAAATTTCAGCTATAGAATCAATAATCTAATAAATTTGTTGTCTCATTTTTCTCACGGCTATAAATGTTTCAACTTATTCATGATCTCTTAAATCTGAAATATTTTTGATTTCATAGTATCCAGTTAATTCTGTTGAATTAAATGTGAGATTGTTTGGCAATGGTTGTACATGATTGATATTAAGCAATTTAAGGAAGAGTGCATAGTTGAATTCTTGTTCATAGGTTAATTGTGAATAATCTAACCTTTTAATTTGAGCAAAAGTAATAGTTTCGGTTGTCTTTTTAATTAAGCCAAGCATATGTTCTAATTCTATTTGTTAATTGGAGTTTAGATATTCAGCAATGAAGTTCTTACAGGAGTGAGCTAATTTGCAACGATGATAGGATAATGGTTGTCCCTCTAATTTAATAGAAATGAGTCTTTGGAGTTATGGAATATCTAATAGGCCGTTATTGATAGAGTCAATAAGTGTTTGGTTGGGACTAATAGAAAGGACTGGTAGGCCCATTTTGACTAGGCGATCGAATAGAGATTCATAAAATGGTTTTCTGGATAGAAGGGCTTCAAGAATTTCTTTTTCTGGAGTTGCCTATTCTAATTGTGTAATGGATTGCTTATTTACATGGAGGGATGGATTTGCTAATGTAGTGGTTGGAGGAGGATATTTGAACAGACATAATAATAATTAGTAATAAATTAGCCCAAAATATTTGTGTGATATTTTGATTAACAGAGAGCGAGACTCTAATTTATATATAAATTAGGATGGGGGTAGATTTGATAATATTGATGAAATTTACACCATTCTATAATATAGTTAAAGAATAGTGTGTTTCAATAGTATTAGGTATTTGAATATGAGTTATAGTAATATAATTAATCAATTTATCATGAAATATTCTGGAAAGGATGATAAGTATTTATGTGATTTTATCAATCTAATAGTCAAGAGGATTCTGATGACCAATAGAAAATAAGTATTTTACCATATTAAGCGAATAAATTGAAACAATAAGCTAAGGAAATGCATGAAATGTTGATGTTGTTAAAAGAAAACTTCGAGGATGAAGATTGTGATAAATACTATATTTTGAGCAAAAAGTATTTAAATCTAATTCTATTACTTAGTTGGTTTAACCAATGGAAATAGTTTGTTTCATATGATTAGGTTGTAAATGATCAACCACCAGACAGTAAATTTGGATAAAAAATGATGCAAAGTTATAATAATGATTTGCTAGACATGCGCATTAATGAATGCTTCAAATTTCATCCACTTAATACACACCCATGGAATACATGGCTAAAACCAAATTTGTAAGAAGATAAAGATTACATTGTGATTTCATAATAAATCTAAGATTATTTGAATTAAAATTACAGAGGTACACAGATTATGAGAAACTCAATAGGATAGGGTAAAAATAAGAAGGTTGTTGTGAATTTGTTTAGGGTAAATATCATTTGATTTTAAAAGTTCAATGCCACTCTAATTTTAGCTAATACGATAATTTAAATTGCTTAAGATAATCTCACTCAATTCGAGAAAGAAATTTTGTAAGCTGATGAAAATTGTGTAATCAAGGATCTCTATACATTGATATAGAAGACTGTGCATACTTTCAGGGGTAATTACAATACTCAGAATGGTGTTAGAATTTGGAGATACAAACATTAAACTGACCCATTCAAGGGATTGTTTGCAGAAATCAAAAAGCAAGTTTAAGACCTTGATTTCAATGATGATTAAGTCTTTGATTTTTCAGGAGATCCTATTGAGAATTCACCAGATATCACATTGAAATCTTTGAATCTAACTTAGAACGATCTTGTTGTAATTGAAGTAATTTGTTCATTTTATAAATAAGTTTTAACAACACTATAAACCATGGTGTATTAGACATCCCTCTGTTCCAGTTGAAGGGAAATGTGAAGGTTGCGGTTCAATCAGCGAACTTCATTTTCCGTGCAAATGCAAAAAAGTAGCATATTGCTCTGAAAGATGTAAAGTGAATGATGAACAATTTCATCTTCCAAAATGTGATCCTTGTGGTTCTGATGATGAATAAGTAAAATAGATAATTATCAATGATCAATCTGTTAAAGGAGTAGCCGGATTGGCTAATCTAGGCAACACATGTTTTATGAATAGTGGTACTCAATGTTTATCAAACACATATTAATTGTCAGAGTATTTTATTACAAATAAATATTTTGATGAGATTAATGAGGACAATCCTCTAGGAACTAAAGGATAACTAGTCAGAAAATATGCTTCACTTATTAAGAAATTATGGTGTGGTGATAAAAACATAGTAATTCCAACTAGTTTTAAAAAAGCAGTTGGATAATTCTAACCAATGTTCAAAGGATTTTAATAACATGATTCTTCTGAATTAATTACTTTTCTGTTGGATGGATTACATGAGGATCTTAATAGAGTCAAAAAGAAACCTTATGTTGAATCTAAGGATAATCAAGGGAAACCAGATTTCGAAGTGGCTAAGGAAAGTTGGGACAATCACCTTGCTAGAAACCAATCAATTATTGTGGATTTGATGCATGGATAATATAAATCAACTCTTAAATGTCCCACTTGTTCTTAAATTTCTATTACTTTTGATCCATTTCTGACTTGTGGACTTAGTATTCCAAATAAAAAATAAAAGTCCATTCAAGTTAAATTTATCAAATCAATAGTCTAAATTGAAACTAAAAGTTTAAACTTTGATGGGTCCAAAAAAACGATGCCCTTATATGAATTTACTAAGGAATAGATTATTCCTGAATTTAAAATTGATCCAAATGCAGAATTGATATTTTACACATCCTTCTCTAATGATTTTCAAACTCTTATTGATCCAAAATCTGAGATTAATTCAGTAAGAAAGAATTCAAAGAGAGGATATCTTGTTGTGAAATTAATCAATGAAGATGAAAAGGATATACCTGTTGATGATAGAATCTATTTGAATTATTCTTAGAAGGCCTTGGATGGATTTGGATAGTAATACAAGAGAACCATATTTTAATCATTCTATGTGATTATATAGAAGGAGTTTAATCTAAAATAAATACATCTTGCAATTTTTAAGGCTCTTCTTCCAATATTTTGCGATGTAGTTTCTACAAGTGAAATATCAACTCCTGAGTAATTGAGATAATACTACGAGAAATATATTTAAGGAAAAGTAATAGCATGTTTAAAATATTTAGTACTACAACGTGTATTTCAGATCCCAGAGTGCTTATTGGTAATAATGTGGTTTTTGCGGCTTGAAGAATTGCTAAGATTGTGAAGCAGATTACAAGGATGACACCTATTAATAAATAAAGTCAAAAGTGTAGGCAAATGATCAACATAATAAGATAGAACTTATTGTATTTTGGATTTAGAGTCCATTTTAAAATGTGAAGCCTGCTGATATCTATCAGTATTATCAGAATTAACAATAAAAAAAGTAGATGGAAGGTAATTGAATATAATAATTGTTTATAGAGGAGAGGAATGCCATAAATAATAATAATGATGAAAATAATGATAATAATAATTAGAACAAAAGATATGTGATGAAATCTAATAACTATCCTAATAATAATCTAATAGCCAAAGTGACACTATAGGAATGTTTGAGATAATCAGAACAACCAGAGTAATTGGCTGAAGATAATGCTTGGTACTGTAAGGTTTGCAAGGAACATGTCTAAGCACACAAAAGTATGTAGATATACAAGGTATATATGTCAATAAAATAATAAGGCCTCTGACATTTTGATCTTCACATTAAAGAGATTCAAAGCCTCAAGTGGATTCTTTAAGTAGAAGCTGGAAACCTTTGTGGAATTTCCTGTAAGAGGCTTAGACTTAACAGACTTCATTTTGAATAAGAATAGACCTTTGGATTATGAGTAGGAATTGAAGGATTAGGAGAAGATAGAAGAGGAGTTCCCAGACCAAAATGAGACCAATAAGAAACTCATCTATGATTTATTTGCAGTATCAAATCATTTTGGAGGCATGGGAGGAGGACATTATACTGCTTTTGGCAAGAACCATGTACTTTAACTGTTTAGTGTTAGTTGAATGGAAAATGGTACAATTTTGATGACGCTTAAGTGAGTGAAGTGGATGAAGATTAGGTGGTAACTAAGAGTGCATATGTTTTGTTTTACAAGCGTAGATCTAATTATGAGAATACACAAGACTTCAAAACACAAGATTGAAAATTTATCTATGTTTAAGTTGAAAATATTTATGTAAAATAAAAAACTAAAGTGGAAATCTGATTTCGAAAAATCTGTGATTATTGAGAACTTTGTGAATCGAGGATGGACTAAGTCATAAGACAAAGAAGAGGATTCTTCAGATTGGAATGTATATTGGGCGACTGTGTGGAATGTGAGGAACATCTTCAATCCAAAAAGTGGATTTAGATTAAATGATTAAGTATTGATATCATCATCAATTATAGTAAATCATAAATCATTTTCCGAATCATTATGAATTAACCAGAAAAGATTGCATGGTCAAAAACTTGAAGCGCTTTAAGAGGGAATAGGATAAAGAGACTTATGAACAACAAGGGTGGAATTTTGATTTTTTACCAACCACATATGTGTTCCCAGGAGAGTATTCCCTATTTGTGGAAGAATTTCATAGATGTCCAAATTAAACATGGATTGTTAAACCAGCAGCAAGGAGTCAAGGAAAAGGAATATTCTTACTAAGAAAGATTCAATAATTAAAGAAAATTGCAGGAACCACAGTAACAAGCAATATGACATAACTTAATCTTGCATCTAAAGAAAATTATGTTGTTTCTAAATACATTGACAATCCACTCTTAATCGGTGGCAAAAAGTTTGATTTAAGAATGTATGTTTTAGTTACTAATTACAAACCATTAAAAGTATGGATCTACAACAAAGGATTCGGGAGATTTTGCAATGAATAATATACAACTGATGTAGCTGAAATTGAGAATATGTTTGTTCATTTGACTAATGTGGCCATTTAACAATATAGTGATAAATATTCCCAAAAACATGGAGGTAAATACTCAATAGATGCACTCAAATTTTATGTAGAGTCAGCTTATGGAACAGAAGCATTCTAGAAAATGATGGATGATATTCATAATATTATGTTGACATCCTTGAAAGTACTTTTTATATCCATTAGAATTTAAGTCAGTATAAGCTGTAATCCAGAATGATAAACATTGTTTTGAAATGTATGGTTATGACATATTGCTCGATGCCAATTTAAAGCCTTGGTTGATTGAAATAAATGCTAGTCCCTCATTGACAACAACTACTCCAGTAGACAAGAATTTAAAATTGAATCTAATTAATGATGTTTATAATATTGTACTACCAAATGATGATTTTCCAGATAATGAATAGAAATGTAAAATCTATTGATATTCAAGAACAACAAATAACCAAAGTAGGTGGTTTCAGTGTGTTATATGATGAGAGTCTTGATTTAATGAATCGTAAAGCTTAGAAAAGACAAAGTGTTAAAATATGGAAATGAGCAAATATTTTCTATATTTATACTATTCTTTTTGTGCCAAATATTATATAATTAAAATTATTAACAACAATTATGGCACCAAAGAAAAAGGCATAAAAAAAAGAAACTTAACCAAGTATCATTTTATCATTATTCTATAAGCCAAAAAATAACCAGCCAAAATAGAGAAAGTTCAACCTGCTCCTATACCTCCTAGTGTGGTCTAAAATAAACCGAAGAACATTAAACCGGACTTCTATTTTGTGATTCCTCAAGATGAAGAAGAGCATTATAGAAGGGAAGTGTACCAAAGAAGAGAAAACAGGAATAAAAGTTGCATAGATATGAATGAAATTAGACAGTACAATTATAATTAAAAGGAGGGATAATTTCGCGCCTCAAGAGATTCCTGTTATTAATAAGGTATCTTAAAAAATTGTGATTGAGTAAGAATGTACCAATGATTCCTCCCAGTTATTTACACTAAATCAGTCGGAGTTGCCTACTTGTGCCTCAAGACAATTAAATAAACCTAAGATATTATCCATCAAACCAAAGAAATTAACTATGACTGTTAAACCTCAAGATGATGCCATGGACATGGAAGATGATTGGTATGAAGAACTTAACAAGGATATCAATCATACAAAGCATTTCCTACTAGGAGTTCCAAAATAATAATCATCTCACAATGAGAAATCATTGACAACAGAAAGGAATTCCATTACAAAAAACACCAAGAAAATGGATCTTGATTTACAGATTGAACCTACTCAAACTTAAACAACTATTAAATTGACTAAGGCCATGAAAACAAAATTAGATTCCATGAATGAATGCTACAACTCACTACTAGAAGCCACAATTCCAGAAGAAATCTTATGTAGAGATTAAGAAAAGGACTTGATCACTAAATTTATCGAAGATGGAATCAAGAACAATGGCTAATCTTAAGCCTTATGTAATATTCATAGTTATTAATCTTAGATATATCTGGAGTCCCAGGAATTGGTAAGACTGCAACTGTTATGGAAGCTTAAAAGAAGTTATCAACCAAAAAAGATAACTTCTAATTTATCTATGCCAATGCAATGAATTTTGGATTGCCAGACAACATTTACTCTTATTTATTAGAAAAAATCACTACTATAAAGGATGCTTCTAAAGCCTAAGCCTGCATTCTACTAAGTATTATATGCTTATTATACAATTAGCTGAACTATTCACCAAGGGTTCTTTACCTGCTACATACAAAGCTTATGAAAAATTAGTCATCAAAAAGAATAGGGTTATTCTATTAGATGAATGTGATAATCTTTTTACTCCTGATTANTTATATGATGAGAGTCTTGATTTAATGAATCGTAAAGCTTAGAAAAGACAAAGTGTTAAAATATGGAAATGAGCAAATATTTTCTATATTTATACTATTCTTTTTGTGCCAAATATTATATAATTAAAATTATTAACAACAATTATGGCACCAAAGAAAAAGGCATAAAAAAAAGAAACTTAACCAAGTATCATTTTATCATTATTCTATAAGCCAAAAAATAACCAGCCAAAATAGAGAAAGTTCAACCTGCTCCTATACCTCCTAGTGTGGTCTAAAATAAACCGAAGAACATTAAACCGGACTTCTATTTTGTGATTCCTCAAGATGAAGAAGAGCATTATAGAAGGGAAGTGTACCAAAGAAGAGAAAACAGGAATAAAAGTTGCATAGATATGAATGAAATTAGACAGTACAATTATAATTAAAAGGAGGGATAATTTCGCGCCTCAAGAGATTCCTGTTATTAATAAGGTATCTTAAAAAATTGTGATTGAGTAAGAATGTACCAATGATTCCTCCCAGTTATTTACACTAAATCAGTCGGAGTTGCCTACTTGTGCCTCAAGACAATTAAATAAACCTAAGATATTATCCATCAAACCAAAGAAATTAACTATGACTGTTAAACCTCAAGATGATGCCATGGACATGGAAGATGATTGGTATGAAGAACTTAACAAGGATATCAATCATACAAAGCATTTCCTACTAGGAGTTCCAAAATAATAATCATCTCACAATGAGAAATCATTGACAACAGAAAGGAATTCCATTACAAAAAACACCAAGAAAATGGATCTTGATTTACAGATTGAACCTACTCAAACTTAAACAACTATTAAATTGACTAAGGCCATGAAAACAAAATTAGATTCCATGAATGAATGCTACAACTCACTACTAGAAGCCACAATTCCAGAAGAAATCTTATGTAGAGATTAAGAAAAGGACTTGATCACTAAATTTATCGAAGATGGAATCAAGAACAATGGCTAATCTTAAGCCTTATGTAATATTCATAGTTATTAATCTTAGATATATCTGGAGTCCCAGGAATTGGTAAGACTGCAACTGTTATGGAAGCTTAAAAGAAGTTATCAACCAAAAAAGATAACTTCTAATTTATCTATGCCAATGCAATGAATTTTGGATTGCCAGACAACATTTACTCTTATTTATTAGAAAAAATCACTACTATAAAGGATGCTTCTAAAGCCTAAGCCTGCATTCTACTAAGTATTATATGCTTATTATACAATTAGCTGAACTATTCACCAAGGGTTCTTTACCTGCTACATACAAAGCTTATGAAAAATTAGTCATCAAAAAGAATAGGGTTATTCTATTAGATGAATGTGATAATCTTTTTACTCCTGATTAATAAGTATTATATAATTTAGTGGATTGGCCATAACAAAAGCATGCAAAGCTTACCATAATTATGATTGCCAATACTATGGATTTCCCAGAGAGACTCAAACCAAAGTTATAATCAAGACTTGGAAATCATAGAGTAGTGTTTAGACCATACACCAGTGCTCAAATAGAAACCATATTACAATAAAGAATGAAGGATAAAAAAATCAAAGAATTGTTTGCCTCCAACACTCTTAATTATCTTGGTAAAAAGATAGCAACAATTTCAACTGACATCAGAAAGACATTGTGCGTTTGCAGAAAGGCTATAGAAATTGGAAGGGAAGAACTTCAGAGAACTGGATAATTCAAACAAATTGAAGTCAATCATGTCAAATTAGCTTATGATAGAATTTATAACAAAGCCTATCATGCATGCTTAAATTCCTTCAGTAAATCTCTGAAGTTGTTGTTAATTACTACTGCTTTGGAAATACATATCAAAGGGTACAACGTAGCTTATCTTCAATAAGTCCTTCAGAGATATAATTAATATTTAATATAAAACAAAGATGATCCTATTGGTTATTAAGAAATAAAATAGATACTCATGAAATTGAGTGAATTAAATTTAGTTGAAATGAAAGAATAAAACATTCTGTTGACAAAAACTTCTTGGTAATAGAAAGTGAATGTAAAAAACAAATATATTTTATTAGGATTCACTTTAAAAGGATAATTTGAGAAATATTAATGATGTAATAATTCATCTGAAAATCAACGTTGACGATATCAAGAATGGCCTCTCAAATGACACATTATTTTAATAGTTTTCTTTGTTTTTCTGATTTATTTAGAATTTATATATAATATTATATAATATTTATTATAATAAATTATGCCAATAACTTACATTAGAATTTAAGTTGTTAATATATTTATTTATACCTAAAACTTAGAAAAACGAATCGGCAACTAAGAGTTATCATAATGTTTAACGCAATTCAACCAAATGAAACTTTTAATTACAATTAAATTTATTCGTTTGCAATTTGAACTCCACTCAAAATTATATACTCTTAGTACTTTTAGTATTCTTATAAAAATTATATTGCAATAATTGCAATTAAATTAATTATATAAATATATCAAAATTAGTATATTTATTTAGTTGTATTTAGATTCATTTCTGGATTATTGTTACTGTAACTACTTTTGAGAAAACAATTAATTGTTGATTGATGCGGCGATTTATTTATAAAAATTATATTTTAATTAAGAAGGAATGGAATTCAAATAGTATATTTTTGATACATCTAGAACTAGAATGGAATAGTCTAATTTATGAGTTCTTTTTGATCTGATTTAGTTTGAATTTATATTTATATACTTTAATAAGCATAGAAATAATTAAATGTCATATTCTTATTTAATTTTGTAAATCAAAACAATTTGATCAATGAAGGGATTTTAAAGAGATATCAGTTGAAGTTGGACTTAGTGATAAAGAAATTTCTGAAAAACCATTTTAAGTAGTTATAATAAAATTAATATAAAACTCATTTATGAATTCATGGACTCTTTCATTTATGGATTCAAATTTGGAATCCTAATTTTCACATGCTCAACAAAAACATGTTCTGAGATGTTAAGATAGACAAAGATGGCTAGTTATTGTTATTTTAGCTCTTCTGATAGTTGAATAGGTGTTGGCAGAGTTTTGGATTAGTGTTGCGATTTGGGGTTTTAGTTTGGGATTGTTATTCATTTCATATAGATTTAGAAATTAAACCAAAATGATCGAAAAAATATTTTTTATCACTATAATTATGTTACTTGCCATATATAAACAAAATTCGAAATTTTTTGATGGTATATCAAAGGAATAATTCAATATTGACTCAGTCCTGACTACATCTGCAACTTTTTGGTATAATTGTCATTAATTTAGTATGATTCGAAATTTTAAAATTGTGAAATAATACTTAATTTTGATGATCATATTTATGTTTAATATGGTAATTTAATACAGAAATGTTGGAGTTTCAGCTTTAACTATTTTATAAAATATAATTTATATAGCTATGATAATTCAACATCTATATCAAAAAGAATAGCATAGAAGAATTAATTATATTGAAGATATTAATTAAGTGAACATTAATCAAATACTCTTCAATTAATTAAATTTGTAATTGTTTAGAGTTGCTTATGATATGTCTGCTTGTCAACTTATTTTACTTCAACGGAATTTACTATCATCAATCAATTAAGAGGATTAAATAGAATTCAATAATTAGATAAGGTAGATTAAAATATCAATTAAAAAAAATAAGAGAATTTCGGAACAAATTGTGTTGAATCAAATTAATTAACAAATGACTTTGGAATAGTTTTTAGTTTTGATACTAAACATAAAGTCTTCTAAATTAACTCAAGAGGTCTTGAATCAGAATGAGTATTAATTAGTAGGAGTATTGAATTATGAGGATTTTCAGATTTCCATACATCGAACCTTTTATATCATGCCTAGTGTTATAATACTCTTTAAGAAAAACTACAAAGAACATCAAATTGAGGAGTTGAAATTGAAAAGAGATACATTCAAACGTGGATTTGACACGATTCAAGATATATTTGTTACTAATATCAGGCCTGTGTTAATATATTATACTTGGATAAAATAACATTCAAACATATAGAAGGATGCATCTAAAATTAAAGTGCTTCATAAAATAATATAAGCCAAACTTTACAAAGCATAACATGAATATCAAAACTTAAAAGATTTCTTTTAAATTAATAAATCATTCTAAAAAACAATCATTTTATCCTTTTCCATAGATAAGATCATGTCTTTTATTATTGATGTTGTTTGTGATAATCTATTAAACAAGAAAAATCTCAAAATACAATTTATCAATAAATTACAACATAAGGAAATTAATTAAGACTAGGCCTAATTTATTTAACTATTTTTCAATTTGTTGTTCTTCATTTCTGAGAAATCAGAGGATATTAAAATCACAATCAAAGATTTTTAGATGCCTGAAATTATACATCAAATACTACAGGTGAAGATTGATTATATAGGTCATCCTATTTCAAGACAATTCTTATAAAAGTTGCCAATAATCAATCCTGAAAATTTATAGGATTATATTCATAACAGTACTGGTACATTTAGTCTTGATTTACCAATTGCTCTGATGATCATAAGGAAATTAGGACCTTAAGATAAATTAATTTGGAAGTAAGTGAATAGGGGTGAGATCTCTTTAGAATTTTATCTATACAGAAATCTCCCTAGTGATCTTCATCTTTTACCTGTTATCTCATTAAAACCTCACAAAAACATTATATACAAATCCAGCCAAACGAGAAGGAAAACTCTAATATACGATCACATATATGAAACTGTTCACTTGCCTGCCATTCAAACAGATAGAGAGTTGCTATGAAGAATTTTATTTGTTTTTTTATACATAATTATATTGATATTAATCATTATGAGAGATTATCATATATTTTTTCCACATATATCAAAGTCTTTAGGAAACTGTCTTCTCCATAAACCGATTGTGGTGGTAAAATGTAAGGTAATTGTCTTATTATAAAAAAACGATTCTTGAAAAATCGAAATAGTAAAAAAGATGCCAAACATTGGTAGATGATAATAATTGATAGGAATAAAGCAAATAGCAACCGTCTTGTAGTTACTTCATGATCGAATTTATCTATTAAATAGGACTGCCCAGATGACATAATATTTTCAAATCCAATTGCTATGAAATTTAAACCAAATAAATCTAAGATGGTTATGTTTGATACAAAATCTTTTTTATAATCGTTTTGAATATTATCTCTAACCTTCTAGCTAAAGTAATCTGTCGAATAGATCAATCCCTGAGTGAGTTTTCCATCAATCACATTTTTACACATGTCATCTTTAATCAAAACACAAGCATCTGTAGTTAAGAATTACAATAAATCATAATAGTTTGTTTATGCTTAAGATGTTATTTCTTAAGTGAAGGTCACAACTTAAATATAGGATTCGTTAACCAATTGTTTGTATTAATCAATTACATCTTCGCTTAATTTAGAATTTTATTTATTGTAAGAATATCTCAGTAGAACAGAATCAGCCATCATCATTTAGTAAAATTATTCAGTATAGATGATATTTTAATTGTATAAATCTAAATTATTTTGTAAATCGTTAATATTCTAAGAGTTAAACAATTTTACTGTTAAAAAATAAGCAAAACCTAATAAATAAGTGATTATAGAGAACATAAAGAAGAATCTTTAAAAATAGGGCTTTCCATCAGCTATCAGAAACTGTTTTTTCTACTCTAATTATTAAACTATCTATTGATAACGTAATGAAACCTTTTTACTCCCAAAGAAATCATTAAAATTAGTTGATGGATTACATTTGTCTTTAAATGAAAATTGATATTTATATAGATTCAGATCAGCAGATTACTAGTAGTGATGTTGTAATGAAAGTAGTCTAATAGATTCAGTTTCCAGTGCCTTAAAAGATATTTATTCACAACTTCTCAGAATCCTATTCAAAAGTTTAAAGGATTGCGAGAAAATCAATACGTAAGTAATGACAAATAGAATTTCAGCCAAAGTAAATAAAATTAAACACAGATTCTACTGAATTTCCAAATCAGAAACATTAGAATTTAATTAGTCTTAGAATTTGATAGTCAATTCCTCATATGTTTCTTTGTGTACTTGATACTGTCTTATCAAAGAGGTCAATGAACTATTAAATCTTTAAATGGTTGTCACATTATTCAAATCTATTCCATACAATCCTTACAACATGTAAATTACATAGAATTGTTCAGTCCATGCACTCACAATTTATTCACTTCCACTGTATACATCAAATTAATTAATGTTTATTTTGGATAATGTAGATTTAACAAGACTGTCATCTAAATATTCTTGATAATGCGATAGATAGCTCTCACTATTATTTTACACTAATTCAAGTAACTTATCTTGATAATTGTTTTCTGTATCCATTAATCCCTCAAATTGGCTAGTGTCTATTCCTATTGCCAATAAAGTATTCTTAGTATAATCAGTAGTTACAAAAGCCTTTAAGATTCCAACAATTTTCATGTTATCATCTAATTTGGATTGGAAGCTAAAGTAGAAAATAAATGATAAAATTAGGAGCAACAACAAATTCAAACCATCTATCATCAAAATTATATTGATCAACCTGGGATTATTGCCTTATGAAGAAAACTTAGTATAAAGATGTGTTTTCTACAGAATTGAAGGAAATCCATTATTAGGAGTGGTGGCTGTCTGTGTGATTCTAATTTCTTGTTCTTTTTGGATTTGTTAATTTTCTGATTGATTATTTTCGACATCAAAGGATTTCTTGGATACAGACTTATAAAAGTAGGATAGTTGATGTTTCTGTTGAGGCCTAATATGTTGAGAGCTTTTGTTTATTTATTATAACTGTTGTAAACTCTGCCCATCAATTTAAACACTATTAATATTTTAATCTATATTTTGAATGTTTGGAATTTGGCTTTTCTCTTCATTGATTAAAGATAGTAGATCTCTTTAAGAGTCAAAAGGACTGTGAAAATTGGGGCCTATCTGAAATTGATATTCTTGAAAATTGACTGATTGATTAAGTTTTTATTCATCAATATTTGAGAATTCGCAATTTTGATCACTATCAGTGAACATCCTTTCTTCTTCATGTTTTTCTGAACCAGAGAGTTCTCTATTTAGAGATGGAACAAAATTTGTGTCTGTTCTAGTTCTTGATTATAGATTTCTTGAAGACTCTATCCAAATTTAACTGGTATTATCTGCAAATGTTATTTTCTATAATAAAATTAAGTATGATTTATATTCTTTTTAATTGACTTTTCCAATTGTCATAATGAATTTACAGGATATGCAATAAGTTTCTGGGGCTGTCCCTTCTTTAGGAATTCTAAATAATAGGTCATCCGCAGAAACAGAAAAGTGATTCAAAAGTTATTCAGCTTCATTATACTCTAATTTTTGAGAACAACTTCCTTATTCTTAACGTAGAGCTTCTTATTCTTGGAATTTCTTCTCTTTGCCATTCAAAAGATCCAAGTACTTTTTGAAGTTCTAGATCAAGTGGAATATCTTTTTTAAATATAATGCTTTTCCATTTTTCATTTTAAATTATTCCAAAGCCATAGTAGATATTCCTTCAATTCTTAATTCATGATTTAAGAAGATATGTCCCTTGACGTTTTCATAGGCTCCATCAGATCTAATTTATTTTAAGAAACAGTAAACTGGGAATATATCTCCTTGGATATTGAAACAGATGTCTATAAACATTTCAACAAATATCAAGTCTTTATTCTTTTTATATCCTAGCAACCCTCGCTTTTTCCTCAAGATTTGTGGTCTATTGGTCAACAAAAAGATCTCAATAAGTTGATCGTGAATAGCTGATAAATGAGGAATAACAAGTTGATGCACAGTCAAGACTTCATCTTTGAATTCTCTTAATCCATATCCAAACATATGAGGAGCATTATTAGAGAACTAAATGATTTCTCCTCTTGAGATCTTCCCTTTTTAAGCATGTCTTGCTAGATTAATTTTGAAATAGCACACCTTGGCTCCTTGTTGATGATTATTTGGGGCATTGAATTCAAAGAACTTATAATTCTTAGTTTTCAATTGATTTCTCAACCGAATGAATTTATCGAAGTCATTAAGGATTTCAATAGAATAAAACATATAAATTAATAGACTGGTTCTTGAAAATGAAAATAAATTAAATTATTCTATTTTCTGAATAACTTCTAAATTGTACTTCACCATATTATTAATTACTTAATATAGATTTTCATAGTTGTATTTTGTATCAATTAATTTTCTAATGAAGTCATATTTCACTTGAATATTATTAAACATTTCAGAAATGAGTTTATCTCTTCTGACTTCTGTTATTCGATAATCCTTGTATTGCAATGCTGCTTCTACCTCATCTATCTTTACTAAGGGATTCATCTTCTGTAAAATCTGATGTTTGATGTAACTCAGTAACACAGTCATTACAACATTATATGATTGATTCTTTAAATTTAGAACTTTCTCCTTGATCTCCATCACTAATAACAAGATTTAATAGCATTCCTCTGAAGTTCCAAGATAAGTCAGTAATTATGTGATTCGTATAATATCAAAATTCTCTTTTTCTTTCTCCAATTCGAATATGAGTTTAGTGTAATATCGAATGTATCTTTTAATCAACTCAACTTGAATTGAAATGTTTTTGATCTTGATTGATTTATATATTCTCATCTCCATTTCATGATAATTATTTTCAATAATCCTTCTGGCTTCTCCTCTAAATCCTTTGCAATAACAATAAACATTGTCACATAAAATGATGTGTTGTTTTAATAGCACTATCACATTCAATAGAAATTTAGATCTGCTGACATTGATGACAGAATTGTCTTTCTCAATCATTTATTGATTATCAAGTTTCATCAAATCCACTAATCTCAAATAATGAATAAAAAATATAGAATTTTGATTCTGCAAAAATTCAAGTTGAATCTGTCTTTGATTATTCAATTCCTTTTCTATAACAAATTATTGCTCCTCTTCAACAAGAAGTCCAGTTTTTGATTGAGCTCTTACTTTTGATCTCTATTTTTCTTTATATTATGAGTAATACAGAATTTATTCACTTCGATATTTTTTGATCTCATTCAAAAATCTTGAAACCAATGGCACTGCTATAAGAGAGATTGATATGATTTCAATTTGATTATGCTTTGAAATTAGTGATATGATAACAGTGATGGTAAATGGAATTATGATGAGGATTGTTTCAGTTTTGTAAGTCTCCATATAAGGAAGATAAATAAAGAACTCAAATAAATTCCCAATTTGAAGGATTAGAATTGCAGCGTTGTTAAGATAATAGTGAGTCGAATTATTATCATAATCACTGTCTTAGTTCATAATGAAATAAAACTCCTGGATGATTATTGGTAAGATAATGATGAGTTACGATAAATTAAACCAAAAAGATTTAATTAGTCTAAGATGATTATTGTCTCTGATTGTATAAGTTTATTGGATTTGCATAGATAAATACCAAACTAATAAAGTTCCAATGGTATTTAAGATATTAAAAAAGATCATGAATCCAAATCGAAAATTAACCAATTTTTCATCATAAAATATGATATTCCAAATTAAGAAGTTCCAAATTAGCAATGGGATTAGTATAATGTGAGGGTATATATTCAAAAATGAGGCTTGCATAAATTTCTCCATTTGTTTAAATGAGGATTGCTCATTGCCCATGAATTATTTTTACAGAAAGTATTCAATGTAGTTGTGCATGTTGTAGGAACGATTCAACAAATTTAAATTGTCTTAATTGATATATTTAATGCATTACAATTAAGGTTGTCTTGATCGTCAATTGAGGAACAGTATTTAATGGTAGAGTACTCGAATTTCTCCTTGTGCATCGCAAAAAATGTGAATACTATGGGTCCATACAGGAATAGGATAATCAGAGATTCTATTACAATAATCCCATCATAAGTTAGACTATCAAATAATAAGATAGTAGGAACAGTTATTTTTGACATCAATTCAAACAAGGAATATTGATCAGTTGTTTTGAAATTGCGATCAAAAATTCTTACTTGAAGAATTTCCATATTTACTTTGAATAGAAAAAGTAATGCTAGTTTTTAAAGATGAGCAACTACTTCAATGAAGATCCAGAAATATTTAGAGTCCCTTGAAAGTATGATCTATGAAAATCCGATAGTAAATTATTAATACTCCAGCCAATATTGCTTTATCATTTATAATAAATGATTAAATTCGGATCAAACTATGCTTCTAAAATATAGCATCTATATTCAAATAAGCCCTTCTCCTTTGCAGTATAGAAATCATTCAATCATTTAGATCATCGGGAGTGGTCCAGCAGGTCTTTATACGGCTAAGCACTTGTTCAATGATATTGAGAATATTAACATTCATATTTTTGAATAGGATCTCTGTCCTACAGGATTGATAAGATACGGGATGGCTCCAGATCATCAGAGAATTAAACGAGTAGCAGAAGAACTCTTGACCATCAAACAAAATGAACATTGTCATTATTTCGGAGGAGTCTCAATTGTAACTAAGTATATATAACAAAGGGTAAAGACATAGCCATTAATGAATTGGATCAATTGTATTCAGCAGTTTTTTATGCTTATGGTGCATAGATTGATAAACCATTGAATATTCAAGGAGAACAATTATAAAATGTTTATTCTGCTCGTCAAATTGTTAATTGGTACAACAGTCATCCAAATTACTATGATCTAGATATTAATTTTAAGAACAAAAATAATATTGCAATTATAGGGTGTAATTGAATTATTAATTTTTAGAAATGGTAATGTTGCTCTTGACATTGCTAGAATATTTGGATTAAATCAGGATGAATTGTAGAAGACTGATATAAATGAGATTTCCATTGAAAAATTGAAGAATAATCAAATAAATAATGTACAATCATTTCATAATATTAGATTATTATAATAGGAAGGAGAGGTCTGGTCTAATCTTAATTTTCATTAAAGGAACTAAGAGAAATGACAAAATTGTCGTAATTTAGATTCCTATTATATAAACCAGACTTACTTTGGAGTTTGAATGAGGAGAGTCAAACTGAATGCAAAGATTTAGGCGTAAATTACGGGAATGTGGTATGATATTAATGATGAATATGTAGACTAGAGGAAATAGAAGAAAACTAGAATTTATGAAAAGCTTTGAAATTATTGAGGATGAAGCAACTATGAACTCAATTTTGTAACAAGATAGTAATGGAAGGATCAATGTTATTTTACGTTTCTTGTTGACGCCTCTTGAAATAGAGAAGAAAGAGGATAGGTTGAATTTGAAGTTGCAACACAATTAATTGGCAGGGAAACCATTTAATCAAGTGGCTATGCCATTGAATTAACAATCAATTTTAGAATGTGATATGATTATTAAATCAGTCGGCTATTAGTCTCACAAGTATCAATATAGTTATTAATCATAGCATCGATAATGATCTACCTTGGAATTCTGAGTAAAATATAGTAGACAATTCTGATGGGTGTATTAAGAAGGATCCTACGAAGTTGAAGACAGGATCTTATGCTTGTGGTTGGATTAAAACAGGTCCCAAAGGAGTAATTGATTCTACTTTTGCTTCATCTTAAGAGACAATAGTTAATTTTAAGAATCATATGGATGCTGATTTGATTAGGAATGTTCACGATCCATACGAGCAAGTGGTAAATTTGTTAAGATAGAGATCGATCAATTATATTGATTTCAAGGTTTGGGATAGAATCAATGAATTTGAAATCGAGTAAGGTCAAAAAGCAAAGAAGCCTAGAATAAAATTAATTAGAAATAGAGACTTGTTGTAATTCTTATGATTATTGTGTTCGTATATTTAACATAAATATATTTATTCAAAATGTATATGAGATCGATCTTCAAATTGAGATAAGCCTTTTCAGGTATTTTTTTAATCTGAATGACTAAGTCTTGACTAAATACACCAAGGATCATGAATGGATTAAATACGATACTCAAACAAAGATTGCTAAAATTGGAATTACAGATTATGCATAAAAGGAATTGGGAGATATAGTTCATGTTGATTTCCAAAAGGTGGGATTGGTATTCAAAACACACCAATCATTGGGAGCAATTGAAAGTGTCAAAGTTGCTGCTGACATCTATGCTCCTGTTGCTGGTGAAATTGTTGGAGTAATTGACTCATTTATAATTAGATTAATGAAGATTTAAAGGACTCTCCCAATTTGATTAACGAGAAGGCTGAGGAAACATGGATTTTGTAAGCCAAAGTGTAAAATGAATCTGAATTAGATACCTTATTGGATAAATAATCATATGATAAGATCATCAACAAATGAGAATATTAATATTAGAAATACATCATAATCTAACATACATAACCATTTAATATGTATATATATTAATCACATAAAATTATAAATTCAATATATTATGCCTAAATGATTCTCTCTAATCCATCCACAACAATTAATCACTCTCCCATAATCCATTATTGGTTGCTCCACAAAATACTTGATTATTCTTTGTCCCTAATTATTTTATTCACTTGCACTCTCTTGATTATCCAAAATGGCTTCAATCAATAACTCATCTTCTGTCAATTAATTCCCTTTCATCTTTGCCAAATAGTAATTCTCCTCAACCTCAGGGAGTTGAGCAATTCTCTTCGTAATTAACTATAATATTATTTGAATCTAATTTACTTCTTCAATTCTTTCCAACCCAAGTTGTAATGGAGCCTAACTTAATTTCTTATAAAATTCTATTGCTTGATAGTACTTCCTTGATCTCAATAGTTTTTTCACAAATTCAATTAAGATTTGCTTGTCTGCTAAATTCTTAATGATTTCATTTACTATATTATCCTATTCTGATGTAAACTCTATCTGCAACAAATTCAAAATATCCTTCTAATTGATCATCTGTATAACAAAATATCTCAAAGCTTACTCATCCTTTAATTCTGTGACATACACATATGCTTACAAAGATCGTTTAGAGGCAATCAATAATTTAATAATGATGTCACTATTGCTTAGACAATTCCAATCTACTTTACTTGCTAATAGTAACTCATAAGCATCCTATTCTTAATGCAATTCCATCAATTCTTCGATTACTAATAATTTCCAATTCTCAATTTCGAAATAGTACAACATCATTAGTTTGACAATATCAGAAAACTATTGTTTTGGATCTCTATCCATTAGGTATATGGCTTGATAAAGTTGAACATACTTCCCTCTTACGATGTCTGCTTCTTGAATTTCCTTAGTGGATTGAATGTAAGTGAGTATTAATTCTTATTGGTATATTGTTAACTCTGACATCATCCTTAAAACTTATTATTCAGTCTCTTCCTACAACATCTATTGTATTTCTGTCCTGCACAGAATCACCTTCTTCAATAGCTTATATTGAGATGCATTCAAAAAGTCAAATATAGTTTTCCAATTCTGTTGATAAAATTCGAAGTTTCTCAACACCCAATTGATATCGTTGATTCTGCTGAATTACTGTTGCAAATTCTCAAGATCCTTTTATGCAATAGAAGATGGAGGCAACTTACTGATTTCCTTTCTTTTTCGATCTATTTTAAATATATTTTATACTTAAAACTGAGTTAAAGAGTTTCACTATACGATTTGATACTTATTTCTAACATTGATTATACTTTATTGCCAAATTAAGCAATTCATTCTGCATCTCAGAAATTATATGAGCCATGTCATCAAGTGTTTTCAAGTAGTAATAACCATTTAATGGTGATTAATCCCGCCTATATAATAATTTGATCAAAATATCCAAGCCAGTGTCATATTTTAACATAGTGAATAATAACTTCTTCCTTTCTTTTTGATACTCTTAAGATGATATCACTTCATGATTTATTTTTAATTCAATTGTGATCTTATCCAAGATATCTGGGAAAATCATAAAGTTCGTATCAAAGAAATAATGATCTTGATTAGCTATCAGCGTCTCTTCCTCTGCTTTTAAGAGATCAAAGTTCCACTCATACTAATATTAATTTTATGGGATTTCTTGATCCATTTATTTTTAATTATTTAAACACTAAAAAATAACTATTCCAAACCACAACTACTCTACTTCAAATACAATGAAATAAAAATAGAAATTTGATGAAACACTATATGCAGATGTAGAATATTTGGATGACAAGGGAAATTTCGATTTTAAGAAGTTTGCTGATGCTGCATCTGAATCAATCAAAATAAAAAATAAAGACAAAGCTTAAAATAATTTCATTCAAATTCAACAGAAATGGGATCAATAAAGATAAGCTATTAAAAATCAAAAGATGGAAATCAAATCTAAACCTGTCAGTGAAGTAAACAAAAAGTAATTGGAAATAATAGATGAACTAAAGAAAAAAAAATCCAAATTGTAAGACTTAGTCAAGAACTCATAAAATATCGATAATTAAATCAAAGAAACCAGTCATAAATAAGCATAAATTAAAAAACAACCTTCAGTTTAAAAAGTTGCTTAATAAATGGATAAACTAACTGCAGATTAGGCTTAAGTCAGACTCTTTAGATTTGATTAAATGGAAAAAGTCTAATTTCAATGAAAATTATAAGACTTATTATTATTATCATTTATATTTTGTGACTTTATTTTGTCTGTGTTATTTATTTTGAGACTTGTTAAGCTGCATTATCTTGTGTATTTGTTTTGGTTCTCAAGATTTAACTCACAAATAGATTTTCCCTTCTTGTAATATTTCAGTTTTTGATGAAACCATAAATTTATTTCAAAATTCTTGCAGTCTTACAATATTGAAATTCCTTCGAGAGCTTAGGAACAATCAATTCTTTCTTTTGGATCTGATTTTAGAAATAATTTAACTAAATCAAATGGTGAACCAGTCTCCTTTATTGTGAATTGACACTATTTATTATTGTAAATGGTTTCTTTTTCATTCTCACCTTTGAACAAACTTTCCAAAGTCAGCAATTAGTAAAAGATACACCCTACACTAAATAAATCTACTTTAAAATCATATTAAGCTTTCTTATTCCAAGCATTAAGTACTTCAGGAGCCGAGAAACCAGCAGTACCACAAGTTGGATATTAATCAAGTTAATTACCGTTTACGCATGCTAAACCAAAATCAATAATTTTTATTTGATTCTTATGATACATCAAATTAGCTGGCTTAAGATCTCGATGGATAATTCCAGCAGCATGAATACTCTGTAACCCTGTTAAAATTTACTAATAAATTTCAAACTTTTTTACTTCCATAATATTTAAAGATTCTTATAATGAAAAGGGCTTTTGCTTATATTCTAAGATTTACTTGAGATTAGAACCAGGAATATATTCTGTTACAATATAATAATTGTGATCGTCCCTATATATTTCTTATATCTTCAAGACATTCTAAGAATCTTTGAGTTTCTTAAGAATCTCTATCTCATTTCTTATTGTTGGACTGTGATTGTTCTCAACCTAAATTCTTTTAATAGCAACTAATTTCTATGTGAATCGATCAATCTCTTTCGTAACCTAATAATAATAAATATAGGTACACCTATCCAAACGAGCCAGATTAAATGATTTCTTCTTTTTTATAGAACCTATCTATTTTCTCATAACAAACCAATAATCCCATCTTACTCTTCAAACTCTAAATTTCGTTACTGTTTCCAAAAAATTCTTTAATTTGTCCTTAATAAGGAAGTTAAAATCCTATAATTTTGTTATCTTTTACTATCCAAGAGAATAGATTGTCTAAACTAAGCACATATCTATATTTGGGATTCTATTGATTTTGTTTCTATTGGTTCAAATAGTATTCTTACTTCACATAGTGTTAAATATTGATTAGTTAATTGCAAATAATATTTCTTATTTAGAAAAAAGTGCTTTCTCTCTACAATACATTAATACAATATCTTGATTTTATCCTATGAATTTTATTATTGAGATCGTTGATGAATCAAGTGTTTTTACATTTATTAATGTTAATATCTATAGTAATTTCAATTAATAATATATGGAGTTTAAGATAAAATCTTGAAAAATAAACTATTGATTTTACTAAATAAGTAGGAATATAAGAACAACACTAAGATTAAAATACATTTAAATTAGTAGAAAATAATCAATCACTCTCTTTAAAGTAAATTATTTAAAATGATATTTATGTTGACTTATTAATAAAATCCACCTATTCTTTTTATTCTGATGAAAATAACAATGATAATCTTTTGAAGCTTCTAATTTTTTTATTTAAAACATCAACAGGGAAAACATTAATGTTTTTAACTTATTCCAAAATTTATTTAAATCATATTTAGTTAGTGTTAGGACATCCCCCATTTTCTTACGTTTATGATACATCTATTAATTAGATTAATCAAACATAGATAAAATAAAAATAAATATTGAAATAATATATTTATCATAGATAATACTTATTATAATTTATCATATTACTTATTGCATAATTAATACTAACATATTATTTTGACAATAAATTACTCATTATTTAGCAGCATTTGACAATATGCCTCTGAATATTTTGGATCCTCCAAAATTAAGGACCTAGATATTATCAATATAATACAGGTGATTATTATTATTTACTTGCTTTTTTTCTTTCATTCCTTTACATGCTATTTACTGGTTTGTGCTCAACAGATTAAGATCTTTCTTTTCGATCTTCAGGAGTAGGTGGCAAATTCACTGGATTTGGCATAGGAGTTATGAATTAACCAAACTATTCTAATTTTCTTTTTCTTTTGACCTTATTCTCAGGTATTTTTGCTTTCTCTTTGTTCTCCTGAAATATAATGTTTTAAAATACCTTTTATGCTTTTTTATCACTTTCCTTTTGGGCAACTAAAATAAAGTTTTTATATATTAATGATTCTCTAACTAGTTTGATTTGGGTCAAATTTTTGAAATATGAATCAAGTAGCTATTATCTTTGTTATATAAGTTAAATATTAGAATTGACAGATTTCCACCAATAAGATCCTGGAAATGCAGGTAAGTCAACTTTTAATGTTTCTAAGGTTTCATGAAATCTTTTAAGCTCTGAATATCTATAATGATTTTCGAATGTTTAAAGTGACTTTAAGTTTTGAAATCTAATAAAATTAGTGATTTATTTTACTGAACTCGATATTAGACTAAATCCTCATTTTTCTTGAATTCTGGGACTGTAATGAGGATGTCTATTTCCTTATCTTACATAAACTTATTGTTTAAATTCACAAATATATAAAAATAATTATTTAAATTCTTTAGTAAAATGTGTTTTGAATTTCAAGAAATGAATAGAGAAATACACAAAGATTATTGAATTCATTCATTAGTTCTATGAATTACTAATGTAATGAATAAATCATAATATTAAAACATTGATTAGATACTTAAACTAATAAGTAGTTTGAGTATTATAATTATAAACAATTTTGATTCATTTTTGATATTTTTAATTAGATTCTTCTTGTTATTAATGTAATAACTATTTTAAAAATTTAACTTCCTCTTTTAAACTATTTTTTTCTTACTTCCAAAGTGCTTCTTTAGTTTAATAAGAGTTCAAGATTTTAGAGGTTTTTAAATATAATTCTTAGAGAAGATTTTAATTATGTTATTTTGAAAGTGACATTCTTTTATTTTCAGAATGTATTTTATTATCTTTAACTTTTTTTTCATGTTTTTCATCTTAATTTCGAGCAGTACCATTCTCTAATATAAATTAAACTCATACATTTTTTATGGCTTTTTTATTGTATATATTATCTTAGGACTTCGTTTAATGATCCAAATACGTTCATATGAGTCTGTTTAGAATGAGTACTTGTAAAAAAGCCTAGAATTACAAGCAATGATACCTGATGCAATTTTATTCATATAATTGGGACTCTTTTAAAGACTTTTTGATGTCATAACATGTTTTTCTTTCGCATTATCATCATCTTAGATAAAATCACCTAATTGAGGAGGTCTTTTCTTTTTATAATCAACTTTTGCGCTTTACTCCTTTTAAGCTACATTTATTTAAGGTTAAAGCAGCTAATTTAATGAATTTCCATTTCTTTTTATGGTATTTTCTTTTACATTTTGATTTTGTTTTAAAACATGAATTAAATCATTTTTCACGTTCCCTTAAGGTTTAGCATTTAATGAGGCTTTATTTATACTATGTCTTAAAAGAGACTCAATTCCTTTTGATGGACTTGGAATTTTTTATTTTAGCCTATTGTTGATGACATCTTTTTAAGGATTACTCAGGTATTGCTAGGATTTCTAATTGCTTTTGGAGTCTGAATGCTCTTGATTGCGCATTTCATGTGGATAAATTGGTGAATTAACAGATAATAGTTTCTGTAAAGCGGTTAATGCTTTAGGTGTTATTTGCATAAATAAATATTATTTCCTATATTAGAATAAAATTAAAACAAATGATAACGAAGAATATTATCAATAAACAATATATATATATCATTTAAATATAGTATCATTATTAATTTATTAATCTATTTTTGATTCACTTTGATTACTAGCTTTTTCATTTGATCTTTAAATTGAATGATGATATCTATCGTCATTTTCTTCTTGTATGATGTCTAAGTTATCATTATAAGCGATGACTTTTTTGGTAATGAACCCTTGGATTTCTAAATGCTCTTATTGATTATTTTTATTGGATTATTGTTATTAAGTAGCACAAACTGTTTCAAATTCATTTTCCAATTCTTCATAATCCACTAAATGATCTTGTCTATTGAAGTTATTTGAAGGAGAAGTGTTTTCTTCAATTTAATCATCCTCCTCAAAACTATCTTCAGCATTGTTATTCTAAGAGTATTAAGGAGCACCATCCAAGGGTCCATAACCAGTAATTTTATGATCAGAGAATATTGCCTTCTGTCTATTCAAAGTGCCATTCATATCAATCTGGTATTACTACTGTCTTGATTCCTATTAAAAAATGTGGATAGGAATTGCAATGGTTAATTGATTGCAACTGTAGAAATTCTATGAATAATTAGCTATCAGACATAAATTATAATGATAGATGATTCTATCACTAAAGAGAGTGGATTGAGGAAATATTGATTTTGGATCATTCTAGTCCTATTCTAATTTCAATTTATATTCTAGTTATCTTTTTTATCCACCTTTTACAACAACTACATTAAATAAAAGTGGTACTAGTATGTGTTTATTTTGATAGACCAAAATAATTGGATATCCTCAATTTTAAGACCGGATAAAGGATTATCAATTAAGATTAGACAGAAAAGGTTAAATTCAATAAATTTAAATCAGTTTTAGTATTGTCTACCTCGAGATTTATATCAATAACGTCGCCTATTACAAACCCTTATTTATTGATCTGTAGAGATATTGAAGCACTCTATTTAATATGAAATATTGTACTCCACCATTGAGAAAGCACAATTTCTTTAGTTCTCTTTGTTCTCCCACGTAGCATATTGATTACATCAGTGAAGGTGAAGGTAGATGATGAACATGAATCGTTATTTTGTGTGATTGATCTATTTTGTAAAGAGTTTATGAAGTTTCATCAGTAAAGTATACTGATAAAATGTATTACATCCTACATTACACAGTTTTGTAATAGTTTATACAAAAACTTGGGATTTCTTGGGGAGTTTCTATTTCAAAATGTCTTTTTTAAATTCCTTATGTAAGATGACTTTAAGATCAATATAACAATTACGATCCAAAATTGCAAAGCCACTTATGTTTGGTATAAAAAATGTCCTTGAATCTAAAAAACTAATTCGATTTATCAAATTGATTGACCTTCTATACCCCAATTAACTTAATGAATTAATGCAAATTACTTTTAAAAATAGCATACTACACTCAAGATCTGGAGATTTTGCTTTTAAATAGATAACACCTTTGATAACATCTCCTGCTCTATAATTAGCCTTGTCAACCTTAAGAGACACTTATAACTAACCATTATCTAGTTTCGTAATCATCAAGAATTTTTAAATTTTATTATAGCAATTCACATAGATATACATTCATCTCAATAAATATTTACATAATATTTTGGCACTTCAAATTAGATATCAAACAACAGTTTTTTATCGACTACATACATTTATTCCCTCTTTGGAGATTTGAATACTAATTAGTTCACATATTTCACAACCACATTCTTTGATTCATTGTCCTATTGAGAGACAGTTGACTAAGGTTAGACTTAGACATATTAAATTGATTTACCTTGTATTTCATTTTTATTCTACTCCAAATGAGAATAGTCTGACGATGCATTTTTTAACTAGAAAGAACTATTTAAGTGATCTATTTGTTTGACCTCCTCCTTTTCTAAATAGGGTTCTTATCCTTCCTTCTAAAATCTCAGCACTCCCTTGAATTTAGTTACCTCTCCTTACTGAAATATAGAATTTAATATACTTCATCAATTCCATTTTCAAATTAAGTATCTTACTATGAAATTCCAAAATTAGTGGGTGTTTCAGGCAATAAAATATCAGATTGGATCTATTCAAAATTTTATTGTTGCTTCTATTGATTATCTAAATCAGCCAAAATACTGCTTTCATCAATCTATTAAGAATTCTTCATCTCAACCTAACTGATTATTTATTGTTAATCAACACCTTATTAATTTTCTTGTTGTACTGATGATTTGGTATTCTACTTTGATTCACTTACTATTAATAATATTAATAATATTAATTACTTTATGAACAACTCAAACTTAATGCTTTATCAATGGAATGTTCTTAAGCATCATTAATTTTATCTAATGAAATTGATTTGTTAAGTTCCACCTATTAATCTTCTTAATTATTTAATATGATTTCATTTTATACTCGATTTTCAGATTATTATTTTTATTTTTATTCCTCATTTTGTAATTATTAATTGTCTTCGTGGTTTTGAACTTCTCTATTCTCATCACCTTCTTGAGGCTTAATCAACTATGAAAAATTGAAAGAGTGCAAAGCTCCTGATGCAAATTCACATCCTAAAGCTCCTGGTCCTCCCCAATTGAATTTAGGTTCTAATACAACAACTCTTGGTGACTTTTTTGTTAATGGAGAAAATATGCAGAGCTTAATGATGGATATAATGATTACTTCAATTGATTATTTAGAATATGCTTATCCTGTTACAATATCTGAGAATTCATCAATTGTTTAGCATCTATGAGATTTAACTCCTAGTAGATAATCTTGATTGCTTTTTAGTCCACTTGATTCTGCAGGACTACCCTTTAATACCTTGGTAATGTGAAGAATCAAAGGATTTATTGATTCGTATCTGATGTAAAGACCCAATTTAATTGTGGATCGAGGCTCAGAAATGTAAATTTTTCTGGTTTCCATAGAAAAAATGTTCAAGATAGACAACTCTATTGGCTCATCACTTTCGAGTAATTTGAGAGCATTCACTTAGGAATCTGATTTTATCTGGACTATATAATCTAGAAAGATTTCCAAATCTATAATGTTTTAGGAAGATTTATACTGAGGTTTGACCCAAATGAATTGGGTTCGATGGATATGATTCTGTATCCATATCCATTGCCAATTTGTGATGAATTATTGCCCATTTATAATATTATATATATTATTATTATATATATTGGTCATAATGCACACGCAAATACATTAACTATGCCTATCATAGCTTCAGTTTCATGTTTGATGGTGAGTGATCCATCAGTTTCGTTATCCCAATAACAAGATCCAGAAATGTTGAGACCACACTCGGCCTTCTACATCAATAGGCAATTCACAATGAATTTGAAATTTTTGTTATTAGTTGTTAATTGTTTCAATATCAAATCACAGATTTTATTACTTCTAGATTGAGCATCGCTGTGATCATATGTTATTTTGTCTAATTCTTTATGCAAGGTTTGTTAAACAAACTTCTAGACTTCATTTTTGAGAGGACCATTAAAACTAACTTAGTTTCCTAGTGAATCCATTTATATATTTTTAATTTAAATTATATTATATTAATCTATAATCAGTATGATGATTTAATTTAGAACTTATACACACCTCCTAAATGCTTTTTTTTTGTGAATAACTACTAATTAGAAATAGGTGTGTAATCTAGTCTAACATTATGAATATCTTCAACATTTGTTTGATGATGATCAAGTTTGGTAGTTTTAGATGAAGAAAACTAATTCTTATTGATATCAATAGTTGGTTAGACATTAATGGAGAGCTTTTTGAGTTTGTTTTACATGATCTTAGCATAAGTTAGAGAATTGAAATTTGACTAACTTTGAGATCTTGTTTATCCCTAAGTCTTAATGCTGGATCTGAGACTAAGTTACAAGTCCTTGCTTTTAAGATCGTTTTCAGATTGCATTTGCGTTCTGTTTCTTTGATACCTAGTCTCAGATCTGATCAGATTCATTTCATTAACATATGGATCACTTCTGAAAGGAACCAAGAAAGAGTACTTATCAGCTTGGATAGTCTCAATATTTTCAATGCTCTGCTTCAGATTTTCTATTTCATAGTAATAAATAGCCTTTTGTGCTTATTCAACAGTTTTCTCCATTTTCTTTCTCAACTTATCAATTTATTATTCTACTTTTATTTTCTTATAATATGATGATTTGATTTAATCCAGATCAAATTAATACACTTCATCTCCAATTCTTTCAGTTAAGTTCGGGTTTTGGTTGGTTTTCTGACCGAGATGACTCTGAATCTAGAATTTCACATTTTCATATTTAAGGAAATCATCAATCGATGAATAAAGTTGGAAATAGTCTAATAATTATCTGTATTTAATCCTATAGTAAGTAGAATCTGTTTTGGCCTTGGCAGTAGTGATTCTGCAGTTGAGTTATTTGAAGTGTTCATAATCCCCAAAGAATTAGCCAGAATTGATAATGGCCATGATACTAGGCTTAGGTACAAAATTGTGATGATTGGACACTTGATCTTTATTGGGAGTTGACCATTAAACAACTTCAATCTCCCCATTGATTACTAGATAAATGTATTCATCAGGTTTCCCTTTCTAAAAAACAAATTATCCAACTTTCTTGTTTTAGACTTCAAGACTTTACAATAGAACTAATTGATTCTAACGTTGCCACACACTGAAGATCGGTATTTTAGAAATAAATGCTATTTTCTGATTTGTTAATTCATGTTAGAATGCTCCAAGTATTCTTTGATAGAGATCATATGTGATGACTGCTAGAATGACTTCAGTTTTAGCAGCAACTGTCGCTGTTCTAGTAACTTTCTGTTCGATTGCTATTTCTCCAAATTAATCCCCTTCTATTTTTGTTGCAACTTATGTGTAATCAGCAAAAACGAATTTGACCCATTCTTCAAAAGAACTAATATAGAATGTGTTATACTTGAATTTCTGTTTCTTTTGAGGCGCATTTTCTGTAGTATTTTTAGTTTTTGGGATTAAGATTACTAATTCACCTTGAAGAACAAAATACATTCTTCTTCCGGGATCACCATGTCTGAATATGATTTTTGTGCTATCATACCATTCTAGAGTCATCTCTCTGAATAGAGATTTGCAACTTTCATGATCCAACTTCTCTTTGAATTTACTAATCTAATATCATTGTATTTGTACCTATAATATGGGAAATTCTCTTCAAAATACGTTTTAACTGCTTCCAGTTATTCATCTGTCCTATTTTACGAGTATTATTTCAAAATGTAAATAGTTCTTTGTAACTATATTGTTTTAGTATGTGAACTATCCCTTTACCAAAGTGTCGCCACCTTCTCTAAAATACTCATATTTCGACGTTCTTGATCTTCTTTCTATTTTGCCGATATTACCATTTATTAGAATGCATTTGTAACTCCTTTTAATGTTGTGCTGTTTTTCATATTAATTTAATTAACTTTCTATTAAGGTTTAAAATTATAATAAGTTCTCATTTTCAATATCTTCAAAAATTAAGTTTTAAGATTTGATAAATTCACTCCCTTCCAAAAAATCAAGGAGATTAGGTTTGTATTATCCATCACATAATAATAAAACCAATTAATTAAGATCATTAGTATAATTAGTCTGCCTAAAATACAATTCATTCTTATAAAAGATCATTTGAGAAGATTAAGCGATGAAAGGATTAGTTTTAAATTACAAGGATTATGATGAAAACTTGTAGTATTTTATAAATAAAAGGATTATAAAGAATTCTATCATTAAGTAGAAGATTTGAAAGGTCAAGAATTTGATCTCTATTCACAAAGTGTTTTTAGACTATTCACAGTTAAGTTATTCATCTAAAGATTTTCTAAGATGATTCAAATCTATAAATTATCACAATATGCATTAGTATGTTTCTACTCTTTTTTGTTTCCTAAGTAATTCTGCAGTTCAAATGTAAAATAAGAGTATGATTAAATACTAATTGACACTATTTGTTGAATTAGAAGATCATCAAGGAAGATTTTCAAGATGAGTAACTTTTGCAAGAAATCTTATACACAAATACAGAAAACTTAAGAATTTAAATAGTTTCAAAATAGAATAACCTTAAACAATGAACACACATTCCTTAAGTTAAAAGCGATTACTAAGGTATAATAACCAAATTTAAATTAAAAGATACTTATATTGAATTAAGAATGATCATATCATTTTAGAGAAGTGTAGAGATTAATGAATTTATAGAAGATAAAATACTTTAAATTATTGAAAATTTAAGTATAAATGTATAATAAGTAAACCAAATAGTTAGTTTGAAAGAGAAAAGCATTATAAGATGGTTATGGAAACGAGGTTTTTTATTGATTATTTAATTACTAAATTTATGGTTATAACTTTTAAATATGAATCAGAAAATTGTTAGAAAAATTCAATTAACTGTTCACTTTCTTCACAAAAACAAAAATGTAATCTACTTGGATTAAACTATCTCAATTTTATATTAAATTATTAAGAAGTACAAGAAGTATATCCCAAAAGTTTGTTGTAGTACAAACTATTTAATCTAAAGAGTAAGTTTAAAGCTAATGTGATGTATGAAAGTAAGGATTGCATTAATTATCTTAAATTTAATTGGATATTTTAGTTAAATAAACAATTATTAAAATATTCGTTGTATGTTTAAATTCAAATTAAATAAATATTAATTGCAACAGAATGTTCAGACATAGAGATTTAAATACGTTTTTATCTAATTACTAGTAGTTTGATCGATAAACCAAGAAACCCTACGAATATTTGAATCTGTCATATCATCAATAATTTGAACATTCGCCCATTAGAAAACAAACATATACTTCAAAGCCTAATGATATCTAATATAAAAGTCTTCAAGAACCTTCCTTCTTAAGACAAAGCTTATTGCCTAATTATGAACCAACAAAATGTTCAAATTAAAGAAATGGAATTATCAAAGCTTATGCTGCAAATACGAATTAAGGGATTGTTAGAGATTATAATGAAGATAGAGTCTCCATAATATTAAATATTATCAAACCTCAAAGTAGAAGCACAGAATAATGGCCAAAATGTTCATTTTTTGGAGTTTATGATGGACATGGGGGAGCTGCATGTGCTGATTTTTTGAGGGATAATTTGCATTAATTTGTAGTTAAAGAACCAGATTTCCCATGGAATCCAGTTGGTGCTATCACCAAAGGATTTGAATAAGCAGAAAAATAATTTTTATAAATTGCCCAAGAATCTTTTAATAAGGGAGTACCTGAAAGAAGTGGATCTTGCGCTATTGTAGTATTAGTTATAGGAGATACTTGTTATGTTGCAAATGTAGGAGATAGTAGAGCTGTGCTAAGTGCTGCATCTGGAAGGAAAGCTATTGCATTATCACATGATCATAAACCTGAGTTAGAATAAGAAAGAATTGTGAAAGGTGGAGGATCTGTTTATCAAACTCATGGGATCAATGAGGAAGGTTTGTAGATATTGGGACCTGTAAGAGTTAATCCAGGTAGATTATCAGTATCAAGAACATTTGGAGATATTGAAGCTAAATTTGAAAAATATGGTGGAAATCCAAAGGTTGTTATTGCTGAACCTGAAATTAAGTAATTCAAAATAACTAATGAACATGATTTTATTGTTTTAGGAAGTAATTTATTAAATTTTACCAAAAGGTGATGGAATATTCGACAAACTAAGTTCTTCTGATGTAATGAATATCATCTGGAAGAATATTCTAAATTGCCAAGTAGGAAATAGTTTACACAATGTACTATCCACATCAGTTGAATCTGTACTTAAGGAAAGCATCTAAAAAAAGAGTTAAGATAATGTTACTTTATTGGTTGTTGCTTTTTCGGTCGCATCTCTAAAAGAGGAGGAACTCAGAATGAAAACATCATCATCAATTGAAAAATTAGTTAAAGTTCCATTAACCAATAATATTCCAAATATGAGAATGAGGTATTAATTCAAATTTACTTATTTAGTTATTCCAAAAAGACAAATGATGAAAATAATCCTTTCTTCCTTAACACATAGAAGATGAATCCGCATCAGAAGTTAAAAGTAGAAGAAACAACCAGATACAAACCTAGTTATATTAACTGACTATAAAGATTAGAATAATTAATTATTTTATACCAACTTCTCAAGTTCTTCTACTTTTTAACTCTATGGTCTTTAAGTATTTGTTTAGGTTATTTCCTCATCTAGACCAGCTCCAATCAATTTGACTAAGAATTAATTTTATCTGCATAATTCATTAGTGATTACGCCTGCGAAATGCTTTGATACAATTAATTCAACTCTTATGGTCAATCCTAATTAGATTAAATAGATTACAGTCTTCCTTAATTCATGAATCATTGAGATGATATCTTTGATAAATCATTTGATAGCTATTTCTGTCTTTTTATCCTATTCAGTGATATTTTCTAGATTTCTCAGATCATTCTTCTCATTTTTGCCTATATATTTTAGGTACATTCACTTCATAAATCTACCCATTACTAAATTTAATGGATTAACTTACTTTTTCTTTTTTCTCATGATAACAATTGTAAATATCCATAATAATGTATTTTGATAAACCTGATACTTCTTCTTACAATTCTGTTTTAATTTCTCCATATCTTCATTCATAACTTTCATTTAATTTATCATTTTCTTGTCTTTTTCCTCTTATTACTTTAATTTGGTAGACAATTCATTAATTTCATCCTCTAATTTTGGTATACTTTCAAGCAATTTCTCAAATCTTTTTATCATTTTGTTTCAATTCATTTGCATTTCAAAAGTTTTCAAGCCTAACACCAAATTTGATTTCTAGAAACCTCCTATATATTTTTCATATTATTTAATCTAATAATTGCAATGTGATAATTCCTATTCATCTTGAGTTTCTGATATCTGAGATCTCTAAATTGAATCTCTTCATTGAACTTCAATTCAATTCAGATTATTGCATTAATAATAATTTTAATATAAAATATTTCAATATTATGACTTCATTTTCCAAATAATGTGCTTCTGATGATGGGCAAGGAATCTTAAAATGTTTATTCAGTTCTAACATCTAATGTGTTCTTACAAACAATCAAGCCATCTTTGGTTGTCATCAAAATTCCACCAAAACACTTTTTATCATTCTCAGTTTTTGATATCACCTACCATATATAGATGTCTTACTTCTGATGCTGATTCTTATAGTGAATAATCCTAAACACTTTTAGTTGAATTGTCAATAATTGTTCTTTCATCCAAGCATTTCTCTTCATCAATCTCTATTTTGACTTCAAATTCCAATCCGTTCAATTCTTTCCTTAGAATATCTTAGAATTCAGAAATAGCATCATCTATGACATTTCTAACATGTCTGATATCACGATGCAAACATCTTGAATGATATAAAATATATTTACCTCACTACAACCTCATGTTCAAATAATTTAATTAATCCTTGAACCATTAAATTTTTCAATAATTCCTCATAAAACCTTTCATCTTATCGAATCATTTTATAAATTTGATATTGTGACTATATTAATATGCATATGTACATCAGAGAAAATCTTAGTCAAGGCTTAGTTTCTGGCATTCATCAATCTCATTCTGGCTCCATTTACAAGAGCACTATGTTTGATTCTCTCTTGTTAAGCCTTCTTCTTATATTTAGTATTGATTTCTTCTTATATGTTCGATTTCTCCCTTTCCACAATTTGCTTTTTCTCCTTCTCAAATTACTTGAATGCCTTGACTTCAATTTCAAAGCACTTCTCTCTCGCTTCCTAAAGCACAAATTCAGCCAAAGATATCTAATCTTACAACATTATTAATAAATATTTATTTCTTGTGTATTATTAAATCCATCATTCTCAAGAGATTCTAAACTAAATAATCAATAGCATATAAATATATATATAATATGAATCAACAAAATAAAAAGTTAGGATCAATGTTATACTTATCAGTGAATCTTTACAGCCATTTATCTAATGAAATTGTCGGTACAACCAACATCTATTAATTTTTTTCATTATAATATATTTGCTTAGGGTAATCTTAAAGGAATCTGTCGAGGTTTTAGGCTATTGCCATAAAGTAATATCCCTGTTTTTCAGGTAACATAAGAATCATCTATTACAAATTTGGATCAATCTATTAAAGTTGAATCACGAGTTTTATTTAAGCTTGTTTGTTCGTATTAGGATTAAGACTAAAACTAGTTGAGAATATATCAGATGGCCTAGCATTAGCTATTGCTCCTAAAAGTTCAAGTTGACTATAAGGAGGATAGGAATAATATAAACAAGCAGCAGTGCCTTCTTCTAAGGGCTACATCAAGAAGAAGGCAATTGAAGTTATTATGGCAGGATTATTTACATCAACAACAAAACTATTGTTTATCTAAGTGAATTGAGTAATTGCTAATTATCCTGGAATCATAACTGCAAATGGGGTTATAATAGGTTATGAAAACATAAAAGGTGAAATTATTATTAATAATATATATATGTAATTTTTATATTATGAAAATTGCAAGAACATTCTAGAATTCAATAAGTCCATTCTGATATTTTCTAATCTTCAAATATCCTATTTTCATTTTTGTCATTTGTTTAAACACTGAAATATTAGATTTACTTTGGGGTATTTTATAATTACCATGCAGACTATTATTATTTATTAATAAACTGTTTATTTTTTGTTAGCTTCTTTTTTTCTTCAAATCTCTTCATTATTGCTTAAGCTCCTTATATCTTCTCTAGACTTATAGAAAATAATTCATTTATTGCATTATTATCTTGATTTGACAGAAATTTATAGAAATCTTAGAATTTAATAACATTTTAATCATGTTTACTATATTCTTTAGTGACCAAAAAATAAGCATAATGATCAACTGTAACATTTTTATTCTTACAAAATGATTAATATACATTAAAGTCAATTTAACAATGTAATTATTATTTGATCTATTATAATTCCATTAGTTTTGTGCAATAAAATTAAAGAAGTTCAAAAACTCTTGCATTTATTAGTATAATACCTTTAATTTTATATTCAACTTTCCTGAAAGTAACTTCTTATCTTAAAGTTGGATTATCTATTGATATAATCATGTCGAAAAAACTTGTAATGTTATTTAATATTGTACTCTGAAAAGTTTAGATTGCCATCAAGATCGCTGTCAAATACTTTAAATATCATTGCTATTCCTTGTACAGGCAAAGTTGGAAACTAATCTTAAAGTTAATTAATATTGAGGAACATTGAATTATTAGTCAATGCACTCCAATAACTATATGACTCAAAGTTTTCAAGAGAACATAAAGAGTGTTTTAGGTTCTCAGCTTCTTAACCTATTTAACTTAGAAAATTGAAATATTAATCCAAAGTGATCATAAAATAGTTTTAATATTAATTGTTATATAACATAGAATAATTTGAAATAAATCAGATCAATATGCTTCCTCCTCTTCATAATTATCATATTCACTATGACAACAACTATGGAAAAAAGGACCATATTCTGATATTAGATCGTTGATATTACACTCTGCCTCAGTAAATTCCATCTCATCCATACCAATCTTTTAATAGGTATATACAAATGCCTTTCTTCTAAACATCTTGGTGAAATCTTCTTAGTAATATTTTAAATAATTTTTAAATCCATTAGAATTTCCTAAAAAACCAACAATATTTTCATGATCTATATGCTAAACACTTGTATGCACTCTGTAATGAGTATCAAGATCAGGAATTTAATAGATATTTTCTTTTCTAATTAATAAAGATTTAGAATCAGGGATTTCAAAGCAATTACCTCTTAATTGGATTTGATAAGAGAGATACTCACTTGGTAGGTTATTTTCAAAATTGCACAACTTATATTATTTATCAAGAATATTAGTAATATTCCAATTCCTCTAATTAATTATCATATAACTAGGTTAAAAAAAATGTAATCTTGGGAATGGTATCAAATTTAAAGCAAGTTTCTTCATTCCGCCATTTATAAATCCTGGAAATCTATATGAAGCAGTTGTTTGAATTAAGCTCTCTGCCAGAACTTTGTTATAAATATCATAATTTTAATCTAACATATTGATTTTACATATATATTATAATGCAACATTATCGTAAACTGTCACAATATCGACAGTTTCAATCATTGAATGCATTACAAATACTGTATTATATATTTCTAAATAATTATGTGTAATTCCTTGTTAAAATATAGGATTGCAATGAACTATTTTAGTTGGGTCCTTCTCTCGAAAGTATTATATCAAATTAGATGCTATTCCTGAACCACTTCCTCCACCAGTTGAAAAAAACATCATAATTCCTTGCAGATTTCCTGATTATTCAAAATACTTATCTAAGATATGCTTGCATTCATCCATCAATTCAGCTCCTTCTGTATATCTGCCAACTGCATAATTATTACCGCTTCCACAATTCCTTGAGAAACAACAATTTGGATCTATAATCACATCCTTCTATAGAAATAATTTATCAATTGATTCTATTCATATGAAATATTGCTACTTGACTCTAAGTCTAGAAACAAACATCTAGGTATGAACTGCTATGTTGAATTTTCATTATAGAAAACATTTATTTTCTGCCTATTTCTATCTTAATTAATTAATTCTTAATGATTATTTAAACAATGATCATAATTTAATTGTTTTATGAATTCTAGTCCTACACCAATCCCACATTACCCAATTCCGATAATAATAATTTCTTGCATGTAAAATATATAAAACTTTATTTTACATTTAAATGATAAATATATATAAATCTAATTAAAACTAATTATTTTGATATTCAATTTGTAATCCAATCATCACTATCGTTTTGTAGCCATTGCTTACGAAAAATGGATTAAGTTTCTCAATTAAGTCAATTTTTTTTGTTAATTACAAGTCATCTTAATCATTTCTGGCATCTCAGTAATTATTAAGTATTTATCAGCATTCTTAATATTAATCAAATTTCTACTTTTATTATTGACTCCAAAACAGAACCAATTTAATCCTTTAAACCCTTTTTCTTTTTATAGCAATCCTTAAATTATCTGCAGAATGCTTCTTAATTTGTAATCTTCTCTTGAATTACATATAAAAAATGAATATTTCTTTATAACTTAAGTTTCAACTTAATTTCCAATTTTATTTATATTATCTCACAATCTGATGCATTTAACTAATAAAATCAACTAATTACACTTATTTAATTCAATTGACTCTCATAATCTTTCAATGAACATTATGATATATGTTTAATCGAATCTTCTTTAATATTCAAAATATTCTATTGCACATTTAAATCTTGCATGCTGCAAAATTGATTTTCAAAAGATTTCAAAGCACCTATGACTTTTACAACAAATTATAAAAAAAAATCGCTTGGTTTACGTACAATATACACTACAATTGACTATAAGATTAGTAATTCTAATTACATCTTAGTTTTCTGGGCATTTTTTATCCTAATTCAATGCTTAATTGATTTTTGTTAATTGATCATCAGCCACTCTATGAGTATCAAATATAGCTGAAATTTCATTACTATTAAAAGGATAAGATTTATATAAATTTTTTATGGATTTGCATAGAATTTAAATGAAAAATACATATGTATGCCTCAATAAATCTTAATATAAATCCTCATTTACAAATTGTTTACGATGAATAATTTGATCAAATCTATTACCATTTTTTTATTAGAAAGCCTAAGATTTCTTATTTTCAGACATAAGGATTTATTAATCAACTTTTGAATTAATTTCCAAGTATTTTTAATTTCGAATAGTATAATAAGGTTCATAATTTTGATCATAAACTTTTTGCTTTTAAACCAGAATACAAACCTATTTTGAACATCTTTTAAAGCAGTTAAATTACTCTTAAAGTATACTTAATTAAAAGAACTTTTTATTTTATTATTTGTTTAAAAAATAGTTTTAATTTTCAACACTTTTTAACTAGTTTTGAAGTGGCAAAATCTCTTCATTTAAAGGATTTATCTTTTATTTTATTTCATTTTTCTATGATTCAATTTGATTTAACTCTTGAGCAAGTTTCTCCACAATTGTTTTTTAAGAATTGATACAATCCTTCATTTTTTCTGCCAAAAATTAAATTTTTGATGTATTTTCTAATTCTATACCAATTTAAGGGTAATATAGTTATCCACTATAGGCAGTTAATTAATTATTCTCAATTCTTATTTATATCAAAAAATCCATTTAACAACTCATCAATTCAAAATAATCAAAAAGAGGTTGAAAGGCTTTCTAATTATTTTCTTCATTATTTATAGATTCTAATTAAGAATGTAATCGAGTTAGCTCACTTATTTAATATTATTATTATTCAGTTTCAGTTTCTCCATATAGTTTTGCCTTTACTGATTTAAATCTTGACTGAAATTTTGGGTAAGTTTTTTAAATTTCTACATTATATAGATTAGGGAGAGAATTCAAATTTTGTTAATTTTCTTGTTAATTCCATTTGGTTATTGATTTTGAGTTTCTATCTTATACTTTTAATGTAGGTCTATCTTTTGTCTGAGATTTTTTTTCTAGCATTTTAATTTTTAATAATTCTTAAAATAAATGTAATAATTCATTATTTGATTAAATAAAATAAATTTTATAAAATATATATAATTATAATCAACATTTCATGACATTGACTCTCTTTTGGATGTTTATTAATTTGTAAAGTTTTTGCTTAACCTCGGTTTCTATTTATATACCTTGGCTTATTCCTTTATATAAAGAAGTTTTTCTGGTTCTCCTTAATTATATCTAGTAAATGAGAGAGAACTTTCTGCTAATTTTATCTAGATTTATATGTTCATTTACTTCAAAGTTAATTTTTTGTAGCATAGATTGAGTAAATTTAAACAAAGGAGATTATTCCTCTAAGTTCTAATATAAATAACTTTATAATTTAAGTAATTTGCCAAAATCAAGTGACATTTTTACGTTGTAAACAATCAATTTACAAGCATCCTTAAATTTCCAAGGAATTTATCCACAATTTTAATCAAAGCTAGGTAGATCAATAACTGGTTGAATTATATCTAGAGATTAGCTATGATATTACCTGCAAATAATAGTTATCCGCTTCCCTATATTTCAGAAAATTAATAATTAACTTAAACATTTTAAAAATTTCCGTTTACATTAATTACACAGAATTCTCCATCTCCCTAATTTTTCTCCTTGTAATCAATAAATAAATTATCATCTTTTGGTTCCAATAAAAAATCATCCTAAATATCTGGCATTTTTAAACCTATTTTTTGCTTTTTTAGATCTAAGTTTGCTTCATCAAATGTTACTATAATAAGGTTTGATCCTATCGATGATTAAGGTATTATAAATTATGAATTTTCGATAGAAATTTTGTAATTAAAACTATCTTTTTCTTTGATGAAATCTTCTTCTTATTTAATTTATAATTAAAGATCAAAATCTTTTTGATATCTGTCCTTTAATTCATTTAAGTTTTTTTCTAAGATTTCCTCTATTCTTTGTTTAAAAGCTTCTAATTCTTTAATGTATCTTGAAATCAAATAAAATTTAACATTTTTTATAGTTATAATTTTATTTTCTAATTTAAAAATAAAAAGCTGTTAATTATCAATAGGTTCTATTAGATTTGAATATAGTTATTATTCATTGTTATATTGAGGTTTCATTTCAACTTAAGATAATGATAATTCTAAATTGGTTTGGTTTTTCTTCTTCATTTGTATTTGGTGAAATTAAAATAAAAAAAAGTCCTATTCTTGATCCTATAATTTTATAATTAAGGAATCGATTAATAATTCAATGGCATATTTATAAGATTTTTTCTAGCTGTTAGCATTTTTTACAAATAAATTAATTCCAACAGACTTCTCTTTTTATTCATTTATAAATAGTTCTTATTAAAATATATATTTTATTAAGTGTTATTTCAAAGATATTGACTCCTCAATATTGATTAAATAGAAACTGTTTATGGCAATCAATAAATCTTAAATCTTTTATTAAGAAAGTATGATTTTAGCCTATTCAATTTATAACTTTACAAGAGGGTAGGAATTCTAAAATGATAAATTAATATGGAGTGCATATGACGCTCTTTACGTTCCAGTTTCTTTGCCTGGCATAACTAATAGATTTTCTTTTTACCTTCCCATAATACTGATTTAAATGTCATCAACCGATAAACTAAGTTCATCTTTTTATTTGGTTACATTAATAATTTTTATATCTATTTATGATACCTAATTAAAATTAAATTTAATGAAATCACATCTGATTATTTAATCTTCATCATAAGAATTAACTGATTATCTATTTTTCTATTATTATACGTTTGAATTCATGGTAGGATAGAAACTTTAAAATGATCTCTTTTAAATAGAGTTACCTCTAACTTTGCCCATCAAATGCACTTAAATAAATGCTCTTAGTTAGCTTAATTTAAAAAATGTTTCATTAGATTTCAAATAAATATTTTAAATTAGGGCACAAACGATTACATCATTGAGATGTTTTAATGGATTTTATTTCAATTTTAATTTTTCTCTCTCTTATTTAATCAGATCTTTATTAGTTAAATTAAAAGCATTCTCTTAAACATTTTTAATTGTTAAAATATTTTTTAGTATTGTAATAAGGTTATAAGTTGCAAACTAATTACTGAAAATCGCTTTTATATTGTCAATCGCAAAAAAGATTTTTGTTTTAGAGTGCTTCTCCTTAAAATAATCATCTATTACGCAAGAAAGCAAATGGGATCTTAAGGGTATATGACAATAATATAACAAATAAATTGGATCTTCAAGGTAATTATTAGAAGACATATGATCTGATTATTACATAAACTCTTTATCTTTGTCTTTATCATCATATTGTATAAATTCTTAATTGAACATTTCAATTTCTTTACCTCTGCAATAGAATACAAATTTATCATCAAGTTTATCTCCTAAAATATGGGATTCTTGGACTAATAAAGATGGTTGGAATATAATATTATTTATATCAGGATTATTTTCATTGATTTCATCTTAAGAATATTATTGAAGTTATTTTTTTGGGACCATTTCTTTAAGAGATTTGTTTCTCTCTAATTGTGGATGCTGAATATGATCTAATTTGCTAAAGCTACTTTGATGAGATGCATCACTACATTATGGAGTTTTCTTACAATGAATTGCAACAGTATCTTTAAAATATCCTTTGTCATGAGTGATGATAAATAATGGCATTTCAACAACTGTAATATAACAAGTACTTTTTGTAGATTTTGGTGTACTAGCGAATTAGATTCTAATTCCATCAACTTTGGTATTTTCTTTTAATTACTAGGAAAAAGATTTCTCATTTGAAGAATCTTTCATCTTTCTCTCTTATTATCTTCGAAGTATCAATTTATTTTCATATTCAAATAGTGTAAACAAATTAATTTCGTTATTAATTTTTGGAACTGGACCAAAAACTATGTTTTTTAAATAAAGACTCTTCCTATATTTTATTATGCAATGTTTGCAGTCCTTCAATTATTTTTTATGATCGTTTAATAGCAATTGCAACTCTGCCTTTATTAAACTATCCTTACTCATCGAATATCTGACATCAGAATATTACTTTTGATGTCCTCTATTCAACTTCTTGTTGATGATCATTAAAAGTTCTATAAAACAAATCTAAGAATCATTTATCTATAAGTCTATAGATGGAAATTATATATATAGTTTTCTATCAGTCAATAAAGGGTGATTTTATATAAATGAGTCTAATTAAAATGAAATCAATTAAGTTTTTAAAATTTAAGATTTAATACCAGATATTTTGCTTTAAGATTTTATATTAGTTTAGCTTGGGATATTTGATAATATCTTTTATTCTTAATTTAAGGTGGCTGAATGTTTAATTTAATGTGAGGGAAACCCTTGGCGCATTGAATTTTTATTTTATTAGTTTTGAGAAGGGGAGTTAATTTATTCTCTTCCATTCCTTTATCCTTGCATTTATTTTTCATAATTTTTCATCTCTTCATTATAATATTTGTAATCTATTGAAAAGTATTTGTGTGCAATTTAAATTTGTTCGATTACTGCCTTTTTAATAAAATAATATCTTTGTTAAAGAATAAAAGCAGATTTTTTTTATTAATTAAATTCTTATAAATAATTTTGATATTCTTTATCATCAAAATTGACTGTTTAAATTAGAATATTTTTTAGCTGAAATTTTAATTCTGTTTTAATCTTACTGGAAATTGAATCAGAAACTATTTTTACTTTTAATTTTCCATCCATTCTTAAAGAAAACTTCCATTAAGGCTACATCTGAGCCTCTTTATTCAATGGTTTGCTTTTGACAATGCATTCTAGTAGTTTATGATCCTCTTTACATTATTGATATGCAGGGGACTTAAATATTTCTTATTTCTATTTTTAGATAAAATCTAATAAAGAAGTGACCGTTTTCGTCGATAACAGTGTTTAAAAAGGGTGAAACTAAATCATTATTTCGCTAATTTAAGTCTATAAGATTGGAATGGTGCCTTCCTTTTACAATCCTTTCTTTTAATCACTATTTGAAATTATTCTATATTCAGATTATTCCCCTTGTAGATATATATAAACTTATAATGCGCAAACTTCTTTTTATTTTAATTAAGAAATATTTGGAAATGTTAATTTGTCCTTTAAATTATAAATGCAAATTGGGAGAAGAATTTCACCATATTCTTCAATAAAAGGAATGAACAAGACCCTTCTGATTATGTCTACAAGCTTATTATGGGCATCTGATATAAATACACTCTTATCATTATTCTCGCCCTAGACCCAATTATTTTTTTTATCTCTTTCAAAAGAGGATATTGCGGCATTTCTTATGAACTCCCATTTTTTTTCGGCATATTATTATTTTGATATATGAATAAAGCAATTATCTTCCTATTCTAGCCTATCATCAAAATATTTATCATATAATTTAAATTACTCCATAGTAAAATCTTAGAAATTATTCTTATCCCTTTCATAATCATCTAAAAATGACTTAACATTACCCATCAAATTTTATTTTAAAAATTCTCCCAATAATTGATAGCATAGTTCACTATTTAGAAATTACTATGAGTCATTAGTAATTGAAATTTCAAAAATTTCATTAAAGAAATCTGAATATTTTATGTGTGACGTTTTTTGATTAGTATCAGATTATTCTTTCTTAACATTTTATGATTATTAACATTATGATTATGATAAAAATTATTATTATTAAGAATGCTATTACAATTACTATTACTACTACTACTACCATTACTATTATTATTATTGCTATTACTGTTGCAATAATACTGATTATTATTACTATTATTACTATTATTATTGCTAAGTTTAAAATGTTGGGAGATGCTTTAATGAATTAGTTTATTAATTAATATCAGAAAATAAAGGGGATTATATATTTTTTTTATCAATTTCTTCCATTACTTTTAACAACATCCCAGGAGCAATTATTCTAATATCTCCTATGTAAATTTTATCTAACGGCTCTTTTGATTTTTTTATAGATGGAGTTTAAATAGCTCCATTTTAATAAATAAATAATGGCACTCTTATACCTATAAAATTAATCATTAACACTAATTTTTGATGTTATTGTTGATCGTTTGATTATTTCAAATCAGAACTATTGCATTTTTCTAAACTATTAGAGGATTAAGAAACCATTGATCCTACTCCATTTAAATCTTCTATATCTTCATAAAAACTGTCTACTTCTTTGGCTGTATGAAATGACTTTTCTTCATTTTGTTTCTAAGTATCTTAATATACTTAATTAAATGTATTGATATGGGATGATTATCTTGATTTTTTTCTAGAATAAGCTGCCTTTTTTAACAAACGAATATGATATTTACACTGACAAAATTAAAATATCTTTGTATTTTCAGGAGTATATTTTACATAATTCGCTGTCCGTAATTCAAATAATAGAATAAAAATAGAATGTATATCTAAAGTAAATTAAATTTTGATCTAATCAGGATGATTATTTTCTCCTTTTAAATAACTTGATAAGACATTTGTTTTATCTCTCTCCAAAATCTCATACAAACTAATTTTTTCATCACCCTCTAATTCAATCGGTATATCATCATTTCGTTTAGTGTGATCTTTAAAAGAGTTTTAATTATTTATGGTATTAGTCCAAATTTCTAGTAATGGCTTAACACTTTATTTGTTTTATCCATCTTTTGATGAGTTATAATATCTTTTAGCCTCTATTCTAATTTCTTGAAAAGCCCATTCCCTATATTTTAATAAGTCCTTTAAGGATAGATCTTCTTCACACTTAGCTATTTTATATTCGTCTTTGGCTGTCCATGATGATAGCCATGGAACTAAAATAATTGTTTGCTTTCTTTTATACAATTCTATATATCGTTTCATTAGTACAAGCTTTTTGGATGAATAACCTAAGTCTAATTTTTTACTTTTCTGTTTAAGAATGATTGACTTAATGAAATATTTCCACCATTCTGAATAAGCATTTTTGATATCTTTGGTTGGCCTTAAATGAAAATTATCTTAAATCACTTCTTAACTTGATAGTGCTTCATTTAATTTAATTAAATATTCTTTTTATTCTTTATTCAATTGAATAATAATTGGAGATTTTACAACTATTGATAAGACTTAGATTGGTTGAGTTAATTACTCGTAATTTCTATTTAGAGTGTATTTGATTTCGATATCTATTGGTGTTAGGATCATCTAGTCATCTTTTTTTTACAAAACCGAGGATGGATCATTTTTATATGAGATGCTTAGCTTTTTGATTTCAATCAACTTATAGGTACAATTAAGATCACTATTGAACAATTATTTAAAGTCTTTGTCCGTTGCCTTAATTTAAGCATCAAACTTAACTCTCAACATTGTTTCATGACCAAATATTGAATGATTAGAGAATCTTAGAGAAAACTACTTAATTGTTATTGTTAAATTATTGTATATTCCATCGACAATTTTTTATATCCAATTTGGTGGAGATAGTTTTTCAAAATATTTTGCCATTTGTTCTTCCCACAATTTAAGTTTATGTTTCTTCAAATTATCAATTCCTTGAGTCTAACTATCCTTGTTCTGAGCAGATTAATTGGCCTCTTATATAGTACAAACATGCAAGTCAATTCCTTCTATGATCATTTCTGGTTGCTGTTTTTTGTAATTTAAAGGCATCTTTAAACAATAAAATTAATGAAACTTACATTGAGAGTAATCTAATTGATTTTCCCATCTTTTATGTATAATGGAAATTTAAAATTTAGTAATGCTTACTTTTTGATGCATAAATTCTTGAGCACAATATTAGACGATAAACCCAAAGAAAACTTAAAATAAGGGACTCATTACTTTAGCCATGTTGTTCTATGAAAAATCTTACAAATATTCTAAAAGATAAGATTAAAGCCTTTTAATAAAATATTCTTCGATATCCTTAGCCATTTAACTTATTTAATTTAATCATATAATAAGTAAGAAATAGAAGAGATTCCTTTATTCAAACAAGGAAGAAATAAAAATGAATTCTCTTCCAATGTAATAAACCAAGCAAAACATAAGATGTAATATTAAAACAAAGATTTTAAATTTAACCATGAAAATGATAAAACTTGATATATTAATACTTCATTTGGGATAAAGAATGTCATAATGTCCAGGTCTGTATAAAAGATTAATAAATATTGATTTTGGATCTGCATCCTCTGGAATTTAAAAAATTGTGGCATCAAATGTGGCAACATTTCCATCCAAATAGAATATCCTGATTGGGATTTACAAATAGTTCTGCAACGCAATGATTTACATCTTTATTAGAGATTTCTTATTACTTAATCTGCCTCCCTATCAATAGGATCAACTTCTTATTAACAAAATAATTCAACAGTTCCTGTTTCTATATATCCTTCAAATAAAAATGAATTTGCTTTTATATATCCAGATGTCATCATTCTCATATACATAATAAGATAGTCGGATGTAACTTTATTGCAAAATGCCTCAACTATTCCTTAAATAGTAATGTTATTAGGACATAATTTTATTTATTTCATTATTTCCTATATAAATATGCAAGCTTACGTCATAAAAATCATCAATGACAATTTATTCATATCCAACAGCTGTTAAGTCTGCTTTTGAATTGGCAATTATAGTGCTAAACTTATTTAAAAGTGGCTAATCTTTGGATTCTATTATATATTCGAATATTCTAAACAGAACTGCTCTATAAAAGCAGCTACCATCTCTCCTTACTCTTCTGAACTATGGATACAATTATCGAATTTTCTAAAATTCCTTTCAATCACTTACTTGAATCTTTTGAAGAAACCCTTAATTTTCTAAATATTCTGATTCTAAAATTTATAGTTCTATTGGTTAAGTAATAATAAATGGGTCTTGGGCTTCTATTTCGTTTTTTATTTGATCCAATTACTATATGTGCTACTCATACAATTCTTGATGATATGCATATTGGTTAGATGATTATTAACTCATTATTTTTTTATATATTATTTGTATAAATTATTATAAAATTCATTTTCATAATCTCGATTCATTTAATTAGTTTTTCTTACATATTTTACAATATCATTAGAAAATTGCATCATGCTTTTCTGAGGATATAACATTAGCTGGAATCTACAACCTTACTAAATTAATTATTGCATTTAAATATTCCTTTACCCAACACACATTCCATACTCATCAAATTATTGGAGCTAATAACTTATCAAATTTTACTGCTGTTTTTAATGAAAATATAAAATACATTTTTAATTCGAAAAATTTAAGAAACAGCCTTTTTCTTTCATCTATATCCTCTAGAGTCTTTCATATTTAGTAGTAACAATTTACTTGAAGTCAACTCTATTGTAATTTAATATCTATTTCATATCATTTATCACTGAAGAATTTGATTGACTACCAAATTTAATAAACAAAATATTACCCTTCCATTTTAAATAAACTATCTAGAAAAATAACTGATAATAATAAAGATACGAGAAAAATAGTAATAAAAAAAAAAACTACATAAAACATTTTAGGTCAGAAAATAGGAAAATCCATGGGAATTGAATTTTAATCAATTATTAGAATAAATAAAATTTATTTCAATCCTCTTCGTATTTTTGCTAATTTAAATGCTAAATGGAAATATATTAAGTTTGGATTGGTTGAATTTCTGATTAAAATATAATCTAATTTTCCGATTTTAAATTTAATGCTTTTTATAATTGCATATCAGGTTAAATTAGTTTATACAATTAAAACTGTAAAGTACATTCTTACAATTCCTTTCTCAGAATTATTTTATTGTTTGGCCCTAACAATCTTACAATAAAGATGCTAATTGGAATTTCAAGGTACATACTATTCTTTATATTATGGTAATAGTCATTCAATTTTAATGGATTAATAATTGGAAAATGATGCAGTTCACTCTTGGAGGTCTTAACTTAGCTGTTATAAGTTATTGCTATAGTAAATATATTATTTAAATTTGAGTATTCTTCCAATAAAGTTATTCTTATGTCATGCGCATTTTTTTCCAAAATATAACAGATTAGATTCAAGAATAATTACCTAACTTTACAAGAGTTTGAATAAATTTGAGGACATTTTAATTTATTAATCAGTTCTATTTAAACCTTGCTTTCAGGGTTTAAATGTTTTATTATTTAAATTACTTAATTAATTAACTGAATGATATTAAAGGACGTTAAAGGGTTAACGTTACAGGATAATTAAACAAAATCGATTATGTTTGTAAATTAATTCCAAACCTTTATCAGTTAACTTTATTGCTTTAACAACATAATTTAAACTTAATTAGACAACTTTTATAAATTTTATTTTTTATTAATAAAAGATGCATCTGTCAAGCATTATCTTAATGAGGAATTGAGAATATTAAACAAATATTTTATTATGAGATTTTAGTTTTCATTTTTTAACTTTAATTATTCTATTTAGGTTTTTGCTTATAATTATTTGATTATAATTAAAGCTTATGGGTGGGTATGATGATGCAGCTTGTAAACAACAATTTGCTAACATTATTCAAATGAATTACATTTAATTTTTCATCAATCATTCCATCTAATTCAGCTTTTTGCTAATGCTTCTTCAAGAATTAAATCAACCTCAAATCATTCACCTTTTAAGACTTATTTAGAAAATAAAATAAAAACAGTTCTAAAGACAACTTTCCTTAAAAATTCCTTTTATTATCGTCTATCAAATTTTCTGATCGTTTTGATTTTGGTCGAATTATAATATTTCTTATTCTTTGTTTGAAATCTAATTATAAAAATTCATTAACTCTTTATTTAATTTGTTAATTAATCAGTTATATCTATTTTAAATCATCACAATATTGAACTTGAAATGTTTCCACCATTTATTCTTTTTCAATAAAGCTCTAAACTATGGCATTACAAGTTAATTTTTAAAATTATATTCTTCTTATAATCTCTTATTGAAATTTAAACTAAACATCTAGTAGAATCATNTCAATTATTAGAATAAATAAAATTTATTTCAATCCTCTTCGTATTTTTGCTAATTTAAATGCTAAATGGAAATATATTAAGTTTGGATTGGTTGAATTTCTGATTAAAATATAATCTAATTTTCCGATTTTAAATTTAATGCTTTTTATAATTGCATATCAGGTTAAATTAGTTTATACAATTAAAACTGTAAAGTACATTCTTACAATTCCTTTCTCAGAATTATTTTATTGTTTGGCCCTAACAATCTTACAATAAAGATGCTAATTGGAATTTCAAGGTACATACTATTCTTTATATTATGGTAATAGTCATTCAATTTTAATGGATTAATAATTGGAAAATGATGCAGTTCACTCTTGGAGGTCTTAACTTAGCTGTTATAAGTTATTGCTATAGTAAATATATTATTTAAATTTGAGTATTCTTCCAATAAAGTTATTCTTATGTCATGCGCATTTTTTTCCAAAATATAACAGATTAGATTCAAGAATAATTACCTAACTTTACAAGAGTTTGAATAAATTTGAGGACATTTTAATTTATTAATCAGTTCTATTTAAACCTTGCTTTCAGGGTTTAAATGTTTTATTATTTAAATTACTTAATTAATTAACTGAATGATATTAAAGGACGTTAAAGGGTTAACGTTACAGGATAATTAAACAAAATCGATTATGTTTGTAAATTAATTCCAAACCTTTATCAGTTAACTTTATTGCTTTAACAACATAATTTAAACTTAATTAGACAACTTTTATAAATTTTATTTTTTATTAATAAAAGATGCATCTGTCAAGCATTATCTTAATGAGGAATTGAGAATATTAAACAAATATTTTATTATGAGATTTTAGTTTTCATTTTTTAACTTTAATTATTCTATTTAGGTTTTTGCTTATAATTATTTGATTATAATTAAAGCTTATGGGTGGGTATGATGATGCAGCTTGTAAACAACAATTTGCTAACATTATTCAAATGAATTACATTTAATTTTTCATCAATCATTCCATCTAATTCAGCTTTTTGCTAATGCTTCTTCAAGAATTAAATCAACCTCAAATCATTCACCTTTTAAGACTTATTTAGAAAATAAAATAAAAACAGTTCTAAAGACAACTTTCCTTAAAAATTCCTTTTATTATCGTCTATCAAATTTTCTGATCGTTTTGATTTTGGTCGAATTATAATATTTCTTATTCTTTGTTTGAAATCTAATTATAAAAATTCATTAACTCTTTATTTAATTTGTTAATTAATCAGTTATATCTATTTTAAATCATCACAATATTGAACTTGAAATGTTTCCACCATTTATTCTTTTTCAATAAAGCTCTAAACTATGGCATTACAAGTTAATTTTTAAAATTATATTCTTCTTATAATCTCTTATTGAAATTTAAACTAAACATCTAGTAGAATCATTATAGAAAATTTAAAAAATTGAGACCAAAGCAAATTGGATTCATGAGGGTCAACTGCTAAATTAAAACCAAATATTGGTATTAACATCAAATATCGAGTTTTAATATCGAATGAATTTATTATTCTAAGTTTGAGTTAAAATTTTACGCAAGAGTTCCTAAGCATATAAAGTAGCCATCTAAGTAAGTATCTTAATTTGGAGGAATTTTCATCAGTCGATTGAAAGGGTAAAAAAAGTTAAAAAGTTCAACAATTACAAGTAATAAGTATTTATAATATATTGATGTTTTGTTCACATATTTATAAGAAACTATGATAAAAATAAATCCAAAAGCATTAAATGCAAAAGATGACCAATTATTTTCCAGACCTTTTTAAATAGCAAATATAAGTAGCAATAATAAAATCAAGACTTTTTAATTGTGTTAAATTTTGATTGTTTACTGATTTTATATTTGAGTGAATAGTTTCTCTTACTTTTTATCTAGTATTTTGTGAAAAAATAAAGTCATATATTTTAATAATTAATTATATTTTTTATGAGAGATCAGATATTATGAAATAATAGCCAAAAACAATAGCATTATCACTTTGTGGATAGAATTAAAATCAATCATCTTATTAAGCTTATATAATTCTTTATAATATAACTTTTTCCAAACCCATAGAATTTCTAAACATAATCTATTCATTCAATCCAAATTTCTTTTTAACTAAATTTGAATGAGGAAAAATCTCATCCATATATGAAAATTCTTCGAAATTGAAATAGGGCTTAAAGTCCTGTCTTCTTGAATGAATTTATGATAGTTTATATTATTATAACTTATTTGCTTATTAAACATAATTGCAGATCTATTATTAGAGTTACGTCTTATCCTTGGTATTAAGGTTAATTTAATAGGAGGGTCGAGGCATTTTCTTCGCCTTTGGCCTAGGAATTTTATCAACATTCATTTTTTATCTTCTCAATTAATTAATCACTTAAGTGGGAGGTAATCTAAGTTATCTTTACTGATGCAACTAGCTGACCATATTGTCGTAGGAGTCGTTTTCGGTTTTTAAATATTAATTTATTTGGGAATGCTTATCATTTTTAACGTATTGAGTGATTGAAGCATTCTTATCTTATTTAAAGGATAGCTGGGTTTTAGATGTCCCAAGAAGTTGTTTGTGAGTTTACTTTTCAAGAATTATAATGGGAAGAATTTCTTTATTCATTCAATACAATATAATTATTAATTAATCAAAATAAAAAAAGGACTTTTATAAATGGATATAAGAGAAGATGAAAGGTAAAAGAGCAAACTAAAAGAGAAGGATAATATTCAATAATTTAAATGAGCAATTTTGAACTACTCCTACTTTTTAAAGGTGGCATTTTTAGGCAAAATAATTCAATAGACATGAATTTTTTAGAATAAGATTAAAAGATGCGAAGAATTAGAATTTAGGATGTTAAATTTTGAATGCAAAATCCAATTTGAACAAGAAAATTTATAGAAAAATTTAAGAGTGAGAAAAATAAGTGTGAAAACTTGAGATTTTTTCAATTGAGCATAAAATAGTTATTTGCCATTCATCTGCATAATGAATGTGGAGAAGCATTTTCTTACATGTTAGATATAAAATCATAAATTCAAAAATTACTAACTGTTAAATTTTTAATAGTTCTTAATTTATATTTAAATGAACGAATATTAGAATTGTAAAATTATCATTCTTGATTAATTAATTAATGAAGAATAGAAATTTTTCAATTATAAAACTATCATTCTTACTTTATTTATAAAATGAACAAAAAATAAAAATATGTTTGAATTTCATAATTATTAAAATAAATGGAAGATAATGAATATATGAATTCTCAAATTATTATTATTAAAAAGTTTATA